TGCCACACGCCCCACTAGCCCCACCATCCCCACCATCCCCACGAATACTGCCCCCAAGTGCCGGATGTATGAATCGAAGTCGAAGAAGTCGATTTTTTATGAATGACTGAACGAACAAATGCCGGAAAATGCGTCGAACACCACACACTGAAGTGCGGTGCATTATTATTTTTGTTGTTGTGGGTATTGCATTGCATTCGAGTCTGGTCTGTTTATTATTATACTTCTCGCTGCTATGCGTTCCGGATATCAATGATATGTATTACAATTGCATTCAAGTGGCTCTAAAGTGTGCTGCAAGGTGTGTGGCAGGAGCAGCGAAAGGGTGCGTTTGAGTTCGACCAATGAGTTGGTAATAATGAATAGAGGCAGCCAATCAATAGAAAGTGCTGGGTAAATGAAAGAAGTTGACGAGTGTATGTATGAAATAAAAATTAAAACATAATATGTAGTCAATCGAAAGAAATGTATAAAATAAACTTTTCTTTGAGAAAAACACGACAAAATGTGGAAATGCCAACAAATCAGCTGACAAGAAAATTTGAAAAAACAAAATAGGAATTTATGGTGGGAAATAAATGTAATGAAAATATTCTAAGAATTTTGTGACAAAATAAATTTCTTTCATTCTCCTAGATTGGTAATCGTCTTCAAATTGTTGTTAAATAGATAAAATTTTGTTCTAAACTATGTGTTCCTCATGTCAATATGATTTGATCTTTAAAACTTAAATAAATAATAAAAAAATAAAAATTAATATAATACTTTAATACAATACTTTAAGTAGAAACATACTAAATAACTAACCATCAGAAAATCTAAATTAATGAGAGGGGGTCCATTAATTTATTTCATTGCTAGATATTTAAAACAACTACACATTCACAGTATAGATGAATTCAAAGTATTGCACATTTTTCATCGACGACATAAGTTATGGTAAATAAAAAAAATGAACGTCTTCATCAACCCTTCCATCAACCATTTCACCAACTTTATCAATACAATATATATGTTCACCTACTTAAGTGAGAAACAGATTTTGATTATCATTACCCATAAACACAAATAATGAATCGCAGTTTTTTATTCATACATGTAGCTCGATAAACCAAAAACAGTTTCTGTATATCTTCAATTACATGTATTACGTGCCCATTGGTAAATAGACCAATAACGAAAACAGATATTGAAATGACAATCGGAACAGTTGTTTGGCAGTTGACAATGCAGCTGCACCGCCGGACTAATGAAGACACATAGAAATAAATGAAAACGTACAGATACAATCGTGTTCACATATATATCAGCATATTGTAGGTACACATAGAGAAATATAGTTCATGAAAAATGATATGGCAATGTTCAACTTTGAAACTATCTAAAGCTGTCATTTTTCAGAACAAAGTAATTTCATTGTCTTTTGAAGACATTTTCTACGTTTTTAAAAAAATTGTAAGCAATTTTTTAGCAACTAATTGAAAACAATAATTTAAAATTAACGAAGATAATATTGCGTTAGGAATAAAAATTATAACACATAATACAACAAAAACAACCATTCCACAATGTATTTCTTAAATCGTAGAATTGGTATTATTATCACTACTTGTAATTATAAACATTATTTTCCTTCAGGCAATTATTTTACATTTTTTCGCCTCGGCGTTTCTATGTTTATCAATCGATTTCGATAGTTCGAGCCTACCTAGGCGAAGTAAAATGCCACAAAAAGGATTAAAGGTTTTATTGTAAGATTTTTACCAATAACTACATAATAATATTAAACTAATACAGCTACTTCGTATGTAGCAACGATAAATGCTTAATTCAATTTATGTATGTATTTGTTTTTAACCATTTTAATTATTGATTGGATCACAAATTCGAGACTTTCTTTATTAATTCCAGCCTTGGCAATTTATTCTCATCGCCTATGATTTTTCAAAGTCTTATTTGCATTCAACATTTTGTGATTCACTTTTGAATTAGGGTTCCAACAAATTAACAATCAACTGTGCCGTTTTCTTTGTCATGTGTAAGAATATTTCTCTTACAAGGCATGCCAGTCATTCCGTTGAAAGATCAAGTTATCTATGAACGCATGTCAACAAACATGAATAACTACATATACATATGTATATGTGTATATAGTATAGTTAACTGATTGGCCATCTATATACGAGTATGTTTGTAAGTATATTGCTTACACAACTTGATCTGCGCGCTCATTTCACTTTCAATGATCACTTGACTGGCCTGTCTTGGCTTGGCTGGGCCAGACCGGCCGGCCCGGCCTGACCGATGACAAGACACAAAAAAATAAATAAATAAAAATAATAACCAAAACATTAAACAAAATTCCTATGAATACTCAAGCGGCAGCTTCTTGTTGTTGCTGTTGTTGTTGTTTGTGCATAAACTGGAGTAAACTTTTATTAATTGAGCGCGCATATGTGGCCGCCATCGTCGCATTGATGCTGGCTGGCAGCGTCCAACGATATGGACTGCAATGCAGACCTCTTCCCCCACCGCCCCACCATACCCCCCCTCCGTCCAATAGCATCATCAATAGCCAGTGTTGTCAGCCGCGTGCGTTGCTCCATAAAATGAAAAGTGTGCGCCTTGTTCGTTATTGTTGTTGTTATTGTTTGTGTTGTTGGCTTTTGCCACGGCTGTCAGTAAATAAATTTAAATTATTTTGCAACTAGATTTAGATTTCATGTTTTGTGTCGTCGACACATTGCGCCAAATGTGTCTAATGTATCTGCTCGTATCTATGTATCTGCATCTTACACACATATATACTATACATATATCTTTCATATTTATGCATCTGCGTACTGTCATTACACGGGGTCCAGTGTCTGGGGACGAGTTGGGGAAATTTTAACTAGCGCTCGGGGTTTTTTCCACCAATTAAAATTAAATAGTTTTATTTTATTATGCCCGCAAAACTAACATTTCTTTCTACTTCTCCTGCAATGCCAAACATTTAATATCTCTGCTGTCTGCTGCGCTTTGTAGTCAACTAAGCTAAGCTATATATGTATACACTGTGAAAAAATATAGTTTAATCAAGTGAAACAATTAAGAATATGGTGCAAAAGTTTATTGTGAGATTTAGTTGAAACCCGTTATACAAATTTGTGTGCAAATTATTTGCATGTCTAACTAACTAAAACAATACTCAGTCTAATCTAAGAACAAATGGCTTACCAGTCCCTTTTTCTCAGTGTATATATGTATATCTGCAAGTGCGAGTATTTCAACAGCTGGCTGCTTAGCGCCGCATGACTAATATACATACATATGTATCTTCTATATGCCTGCCTGCCTTCTACTAACATATGTCTACAACGAAAAAAAAAATGAAGATCTGCCTCGGTTTGTTGCCTTTTGTTTATAAACGCATATGCTATATTTAAACGAAAATTCATTTTGTTTACCCTAAAATATATAGATATGTATGCATATATACTATATATGTAATTGTCTGTTTGACATCGATTCATGATGAGCAATTTGCAAAAAAGAAAAATTTGTATTTATTTGAAGCCCATTTCGTTTATAATACAGATTTAATGTACAGTCCTTTACTTGGGAAGCTTTAAAAGTAAATAGTAAGCATTTTCATTAACAATGTTTAGTTAAAATAAATTGGAAATTTTTCAATTTTCATGAAACGAAAATTAAGATATTTCGCAGTCAGAAAAATTTCTTATACACTCTGAAAAATATCTTTGAAATATTCGTAAATAAAAATTCGCAATTAAAACTAATCAAATGAATTTCTGCCTCGACACATAAAGCGCTCTAACGCTTGGGTCATTTGGAAAGATTGTTTATATTGATTTTCAAAAAATCTATCTAAAAATTTAGAATTAGGTCAAAAGTTTCTTAACCTAATAAATAAAGAATCGATTGTAATTATAGGGTAGGGATTCCCAAGCCTAACCTGCTAAAACAAAAGAATCGATCGTGTTTTTAGTTAAGAAGGAATACTCCTTTTTGTTATAAACATATTGGGAAATACAAATTTTATTTTAAATTGTTTCAAATGTCCGTTTCACAGCGTCAGTTATAGCTATAAATAATTTTAGTATACTCAATAGGAATTTTGAGCTCATTGAAACCTATTTGAAGAACCAATGTATAAAAGAAAAAATATCAAACAAAACACAAATTTTTCAAATTTTATACAAACAAAGCAATTACTAATTATAATATAAACGATTCTACAACTATAACTAACTATAAGTAAAAAGCCAAACAAAGTACCAAATTAAAAAACAAACATTCTTCTACTTAAAGGCATAAGAATAACGGTTCTGACAGTTCATAAAATATATTCGAATTCAAAACTGAATACAACGAAAATTAATTACACAATTAGGCACGAAATTTTCGAATATAAACTCTTATGGGTTTTTTAAAATAGATTTAAATTTATGTGCAGTCAAATATAACAGCACAACTAATAAATTATCTTGCCATAAATATTTTTGGATATTAGTTGGAGTTGAATGAAGAAAGAGAGACTGACATAGTTGCAATCATTTAAAATTCAATAAATAGTTTTCCAAATGACTTTTCCCAGCAAATTAGCTAAGTATGTACCTTGGGGAGTCAAATAAGCATTTAATGCAAGTATTATTCATATGTTTATAATATTAAACACAATTTTAATAATCTATCTAGATTAATTGCCTTCCCAATCAGCTAAAAATGTGTTTTTTAATTTAATTTACGTTCTAGCTAACTTATACTATAAAAATTATATAGACGATCGATTTTTTGTTTATTTATGATTTATGTCGATAAATTGTATAAATTATCACTTTTATGGAACGCCATAAGTTTAATCCAATATCTTCAGACGAGTTAATAGAGTTCATTTAAAATTAAATAATTAATCTCAGCCAACCATTTCAATGATTGTTTACACACTAATAGGACTAAGATCAGTAATCTTTTTAGTTTCGATTATTTGAACTTACTTTCCATTTTTTCTCCACACAAAAATGCAGCCAAAGATCAAAAATATGATGGACAGACATGTTAGCAGATATTTCGCTCGGTCTATGCCACAAATATCGGTTCTTAAAGTATCGTATATGATGCGATCGTACAAATGATCGCAGCGTATTAACTGGAAATGCTGATCCATTTTTGAAATGTCTTTGAATTGTTAAAGATATATATAAAATTATTTAAATTTCACTGAGCACCTTTTTGGTGTTGAACTTTTTATTGTACAATCATTTTTGCAATTCTTTTCGCTCTTTTTAGCATTTTTATTGCCATACTTATATTGTTATAATGTATGAATTTTTATATTAATTTCCTTTCATCTCCGTTGAATTTGTTTTCATAAGTTGCTGAAAAAATATTTTTCATTTTTTCCATAATGGATTTTTACCATTTTCATTTGCAAATACACTTAAAAGCCACACACGAAACTTTTAGAAAATTGTTTAATATAAACAAATTTTATTTCACACAACCAGTATTTTCCAAATATGTACATTTCCAATACAAACTGATGGCTTGCGTTTTATTTCTAATAATTACTTTTTATTTGTGTGTAATTATTTGTGCATGTATGCGTGTGTGTATTATAAACAAACCAAAAAAAAAAAAAAACGAAACGGGCAAATTTTCGAATGTGCACGTTTTCCCCGTTAGACCGCGCCAGAATTTCGAAACGCAACCGCCTGCCACTGAGCCCCACGCCACACTAAATATCTTGGTGCAATCGAGAGACTGGGAGCCGACTAAGCACGTGCACGATCACACAGATGCTGAGAAAGCTCACTCTTTCCTCACTCTTTATTTCTTTTCACCGGCTATGTTTTATTGCGCAAGGTTGCTTTTGTTGTTGTTGCTGTTGGTTTTCATTTTGTGGCGGTTGTGTGCATTTTGTTTACGGCGTTTGTTTGTTTGCCGTTTGGCAGGCAGTTTGGGGTCTTGTGCTCTTTTTTATAGCCGGCCGTCAACAGTTTTAAAAGCACTGCCGTTGCTCAACTTTGATAACCGTTTTGACAGGTTGAAGGAGGGTTGGATGAGTTAAATAGGAAACAGAAATTGCTAATTCTTTCTCTTGACAGAGCCCCACACTATTTATTCCACACTTTATTTGTTTGAATGTTTGCATTAGTTAGCATAATTTTCAGTCGTATTCAACATCGTTAGTTCAACTTAATAAGGTTTTTTTTAAAAGAACGATTTCGTATTATATTTAATTTCTCGTTTAACAAATTCATTACAATTTCCACCATTAAAATTGCTATAATGTACTTATTTTGTAATTTTATTTTAAATCGGAAAGTCCCAATCAGAAATTAAAAGTAACGTCGCTATCAGGCGCTCATGCTATGACGTGTTGATGCTTTGTATACCCTGTACCCAAAGGTTAAAAGCGTGTACTAGTTTAGTCCGGATGTATGTACATATGTATTCTTATTCTCCCACTCCCCCACTATTAGATACTGTTCCGTATGTTAAATTCCCTCATGATAAATCATTTACGAAGAAAGTTATAGCCATAAATGTAATCTTTAGTTGTTCTTACTGCTTAAACTTAATTCTGCACTGCACACATACACGCACATAAAAACGCAGTGACTGTACATAAACATATGTCTCTACTTATGTATGCTTTGAATATTTTTTATTTAATTTAATTAACTAATTTAATTTTTTTAAATTAATTTTTAAATGATTTCCTAATTGTTTCCTTGATAACAGAGAAACTTTAAATTATTATATTCTGGTTAAAGAAAATCAAATGCTGGTAATTTGTTGAAATTGATGCCAAAAATTGAATAAAATTAGTCATTAAATTCCTAATTGACTTATTAAATTGGTAGGGTAATTCATTTCCTTGAAAGAAAGCCGCCTAACCCCTTTCTTAATATAGATTTTAAATAATAAAAATAAAAATAATAATCAAAATCAAAATAAATTATATTTTAATTTGAAAAAATTGGATCATGAATTAAATAAAATAATATATCATACTTGTATAATAATATAATATCACTTCTTTATATCGAATTAAACTATATAAATACAACAATTTAAATCGTTTATCTGTTTTACGACTATAGTTAATTTACTTTTTTAATATGTATACATGTGTACATATGTATATCTGATCATTAACTAAAATAATTCCATATTATAGTTTTCTTAATAGGTCTGGTACAAATATTTCAAAACTATTAACGTTTTTGTGTGCTGTGCTAAAGCTACCGTATCTGAGACATTTTAAAAGCACCGACACTGTCCAACACTGATAACCAACCGGCGCCAGCTGACAGCAGCTTGCAAATTTCAACAGAGCGCTTATCTTTAAAAATTTGTTTTTCACCGATAATTTCACACAAAAAGACGTAAATTAGAATTAAATGTGACAATGCGTCTTTGGCGCAGTCGGCGTATTACAATAGCGCTGGCGCTGCTCTTCCTAATAACTATCATCTATTTGTATATTAAACCTGAAAAGCCTGCAACGCATACACTGTTCGAGCCTCTAGAGCTGCTCTGGTGGCCCAAAGTCATGTCTTGGAACTACGACGAGACGCGTACGTGTGGCTTCGCCAAGTGCCGCTTCACCAACAAACGCGAAAACTTGCAACAGGCCAGTGTAATTGAAAAACTGAATCAATTTTAAACCAGTCCTCATATCTTTCCCAATTTCCAGGGCGTTCTATTCTATGGTTCCAATATGAACCCGCATGATTTTCCGCTGCCACGGATGTCGTTACATCTGTGGGCGCTGCTGCACGAGGAGTCGCCACGAAATGTGCCATATGTGCCGCACGAAGAGTTTCTGCAGCATTTTAATTTAACATCGACATTTAGTCGCCACAGTGATTTTCCGCTAACCATCCAATATTTGCCACATGCCGAGGATTTAGGCAATTTTGAATACTATCTAAGTTTCGCGAGAAAACAGCGTGCTAGCTTCGATCACACGCTGGCACCGGTGCTATTTTTGCAATCGGATTGCGACACCATGACGGGACGCGAGGACTACGTGCTCGAGCTGATGAAACACATTCGTGTGGACTCGTATGGCGCCTGCTTACACAATCGTGACTTGCCCGAAAGGTGAGTTGCCTACAACTATTTCCGCGTCGATGCACCGCTGTCCAACAGCGTAAGGCTGGCAATTATTTTTTCTTAATAGTCATTTGGTGTTCTCTGGTTTTCCCCAATTTGTATCCATATTTGAATTAGCTCGACTAATTTTAATTTGTAATCTTTGTTTATTTAAATCAGTTAGTATTCGGATAACTCGTCATTCTCGTTGAATTATATGGCACCGTGGGAATATACTTTATTTAAATTATTATTTCTCCATTTTCTTTATACTTTTGTGGTCATTATTAGTGTTTGTAGCTCTTTTCCAAATAAGAAGCACTGAGCGGAAGGCTCTTTAATCGCTTCATAACTGATTTAATAATAAAAATTTTAACGATAGTTTCTAAAAATAAATTATAAATTACAAATATGACCCTCCTCTGTGCTTCTCACGCCAAGCACCTAACCAAAGCCAGCAAGATTGGGTTAATAAATAACCTCCTAACCAAAATAATATCATAAATACAAAATAATTTCTATGATTAAAAAGACAGCCCTCCTCTGCGCTTCTCACACCCAGCACCTAACCAAAGCCACTTCAGCAAAATATTGGGTTATTAAATAATATCATAAATATCTGCGATTAAAAAGACAGCCCTTCTCTGCGCTTCTCATAAGAAGCACTTAACCGAATCCACTTTGTAGTCGATATCTATCTGTGCAGGAAACTTAAATTGGTGTCAAACCATTTAAACTAATCGTTATGAAATTAGTTAACATGTTCAGATCGATTAGTAACGCGCATTGAAAACCCAGAATAACGTATTTGGCATAAATGGTTGCGTTTCACCCGCATATTTTGGCTTTAAATAGAGGGGCCTATAAATAGTGTCCCATTCCTATAAAAATAGATTCCTATAGAGTAATTAGATTGTGTTTAACCCCTTACTCATCCAACAGTAAGGACTGGCATGTCTGAATAATCCGGTTGCCAAAAATAATACCATATTAATGTGTTAATATCTGTTTTTTGAAAGATAAAGCCTTTTCAGGCATTTAATTTGCTTTTTAGAATTTCAGAGAGTTATCCAAAAGATTAGTTTTATATACCCTTTGGTTTCTTTTAGTCTCCAGCATGACTATCTGAACAATCTGTATTCGGCGCCATTGCTGCGTTTTATATCTTCCTACAAGTTCATGATTGCGATCGAGAATGGCGCCTGTGACGATTACATTACAGAGAAATACTGGCGGCCCCTGATGGTGGGCACCATACCCATATATTTTGGTTCGCCTAGCATACGCGTAAGTAACCTATTTATTTAGTGAAAGCGCTAGAACAACTGAGCCCACTTCGACTTTTCTACAGGACTGGGAGCCAAACAACTCATCGGCCATTTATATCAGTGATTTTGCCAATGCAGCCGCCTTGGCAGAGCATCTGAAGCAAGTTGGGGATAATGCCACGGCTTATAATACCTATCGGCAGAAGGGGAAAAACCAGAAACTTGTGGTAAGCAATAAACGACTACAGAATGCGCTCTTCAGCCGTCGATATAGCATTGGCGAGCATAAGTCGATCTTCCAACAATTCGAGTGCTTTGTCTGCCAAAATTTTGCAAAACATAATTTGCATAGTCCACCAAAATCGGCCGACAAAACGCACTACAGCTGCCCGTACCCACCGGCCCATGCGCCCCTGCAAAATGCTAAACAGCGGCCGAAAAATGCGGACGACTGGCGTTCCATGATGGCCATGGGTCGTTGTCAGGCCCAACTCCTGGATCAGCTTTTTCGGGCCAATCGCAACTACACTCAGCAAGATTATGATGCGCGCCTAACGAACATGATATCCCAGGGACTATGCGATTGAGCGACTTAATTTTATATACATTTGTGATTACAAACATGGCTTTTGTGTATATTTTTTCTATACATACATATACGTTTATACAAATAGGAGAAGTTAATTCCAAAATGATCTATTCCTTCAATGGACCATAATAAGCCACCATTCGAATATTTAGCATAATGTAATTTAAGTGCCTTGTATACAAAATGAACCAAAGACCAGTTTAAAACAAATACTATGTGCAATAAAAGCTATTATTGTACTTATGTGCATATACTTTCTTTAAAAAATAATGTGTTTTATAATTTGCATTAGACTTCTAAGAAAAACTGAAGTAATGTTTGAAGGAGCTAAAGTATTAAAGATGGAAAGACGAAAAAAAAAAACACTGAATAGATGGTTAAACAATAAACAAGACATAGAATAGAAAAACATAAGCTATAGTCAGAAATTAAATTTAAACACCAATAGACAAACGGTTTAGGCAAAATGCAACTTAGATGTAGGCCTGTTGACATAGTACACCTAATTTTGTTTTTACACGGTCTTTTTATACCCTGTACCCGTAGGGTAAAAAGGGTATATTAGGTTTGTGCAAAGTATGTAACATACAGAAGGAAGCATCTCCGACCCCATAAAGTATATATATTCTTGATCAGCATGACGAGAGAAATCGATCTCGACATGTCCGTCCGTCTGGATGAACGCGAGGATCTCAGAAACTATAAAAGCTAGAATAACCAAAGTTGGCATCCAGATTCTCCTAGGTCGGAGTAAGGACGAGTTTATTTTATTTTTTGGAATTTTCCCCCCCTTCCCCCGCTACAGAATTCGTCAATAGCGTCCACATTTCAAATGCTACCGAAACCAAACTCTGCACACATAATTTATATATAATTGCCTACTGTTCTTCAAAATTTTATTCAATTCGGTCAATTCTAAGAAAAGTTATTAGCGAAACAAATTCTCGCCAGTACAACCTCACCAAACTGCAGCAACAAGTTCGCTCTTCTTCTTCCTCTTTTTGCTGCTGCTATGGGCGCATATAACTCAGTGACGGAAGTTTACCTGGGTACAGGGTATTACACTGTCGGGCTTGCTCGATTGTAGCGTTCTCTCTTGTTTTACATGGTTTCAACATTTTCTGGAACTAATCTACCGTGTAAAAACAGAATTAGGGGTATATGAAAATACAAAGAGACTCCCTGTTGAAATCATGATAAGCAGTCGCAAACATTATAATAATTTAGTTCAACACCTCACAGATACAACTAAACGTAATTTTTGTTTGTAGTCAATTAATTAATTATCAACTTGATACAAAAAGAGAATAGCAAAGTATAGCCTAACTTTGGACCTTTGGTTGATCGAACGGCAACAGATAGAAAGCTGAAATCTTGACAGCTTTTGGAAAATTCGAGATCGAAATGGGGGAATAAATTTCTGAAGTTATCATTAGATTAACATCATACTGGGTTTGTGTACTCTACAAAATAATACAAAATAAACTGCTTACGTCGTTTTATGACATTTCTCATGAAGCCCATCAATAGTTCTTTGAAAAAAAAAAACGATGATTTTCATATTTAAATTTCGTCAAAGAGTCAAAATGAAATATATTTTAGAAACTCGCAGTGGAGATGAAATTTGTATTTTTTCCAAAATAGACAAATAATCCGAGATACCATGTCCATGGCAGACATCGGAACATTGTAAACTTTGAATTCTCTTCTTTTAATTGGTTTTAATTGCTCGTCTCTAGTACTACGTTGCTGCAGCTAAAGGGCGGGTCAGCGCGCTCTATGAAGTTGTGTGAATCATAATTTGGAATACGTTTCTTGAAGAGTTGTGTTGCTGTTCGTGCTCAACAGTTTAAGCTTTGCTTAAAAACTTCAAAGTTACATAAATTTTAAATAATTTAAGCTCTTAAAGTTTTGAATTCACACGATGAGGGACTGTAAGGGACGGATTCCGTACTGTTCCTTGTTGGCCACAATCGTTTGCTTATTTGGCGTTGGGGTTTTTGGTTTAACTATGAACTTCGGCGCCTCCCAAATGCTTGTAATGGTGAATGAGGTATTTCATTTGCGACCTTTATGGATCGGGGCTGTGCAGATGCTATTCAATATAGTTGCTATTGGAACGGCAGCTCTTGGCTTTATGATACTGTTTCTTGGATTTCTAACTACCGGAGCGACGCGCTATAGAGCTTACAGAGCTCGACATTCTCGAGTGGGTGGCCGCAAAGCGTGCGCTGTCTTTATGGGCATTACATATATTCTGAGCATTGTGTGGACACTCATCCTATGCTTCCTGGTCATTGGGGCCTTCATCACTACGTGCTTTTGGAAAATGTGTACGAGTTTGCAAAACTATACAGAATGCATTGATGTGACGCAGTTTCACTTTTGGTTTCCACCGCACACAAAACTGGAGGATATGAAAGTTTGCGGAAGGATCGAATTGAACGCCTTTTGCAAGGACGGCGTTGAGAGCTCTACGAGTCTGATTCTATTGGCCACACTCGCCACTCTGCTTATTCAAATGAGCCTTGTCCATTACCTAATTTGTTTATCCGCTAACTATGCTCACATTCGCGATCACGAGAAGTTCCAGGAGCTGCAGGACATACAAAATTTGAACGAACTCGAAAGTAGCGCTACATCAAATGATCGATTTTAGGTAAAATTGGAAAATAAATTCATTAAAACATGGAGAACATAGATAATTAAGATGTGTTTTATTCTTCAAAAAGAATAGACGAGCAAATAACTTTCACTCAGATTCCAGACCCGATCGTCAAACAGAAATTTTGAATTTGGTCTGAATTTGAATTGAATTGAAATTTAAAGCCAATTTTAGACAACTTTTTATCAAAAAATGAATGAAAATCGTATATATTCTAGAAATACTTGTTTCTAAGCAAAAACCAAAATATCCTGATTTCTGCAACACAGATTAATCAAACTTTGTAATCAATTTGTATTTCTTTGTCCCAACTCTTTAAACGAAATGTTTGTTCTTTGTAAACATATCAACCATCTGAATAACCGAAAGAGAATACATTTTTTAAAAGTGTTAGAAGCCTTAGAAGTCTCTTGCAAATAATCTACCTTATCCATTCTTTATCAACAACTCAATACACCGATTTAAGGACTGCACCGAATTTTTTTTTATTATATTTCTCCCTGTGTAGACCTCTAGTCGAGCCATGACAAATAACATTAGAAAATCCATACATTTAAGTTCATTTGGCATGGTGGATTTTCACTATTCGCAGACAATTTAATTTCGATTTTTGTAAAGTATTGGAAGTAGAAAGTTCACTTTCATTATTAAAATAATTAACGATACATAAATAATGAAACCAATTGAATTGAAGAAATACTATAAATATAAAATAAAAAAAAGCCGTACCTTTGAGAATGACCGCTGCTGTATTTGAATTCCTTATCATTGGAATATTTTATGGCCCACACACTTCAGTCTTTGGCAGGCCTTCCAGGTGTGCGGACCTCGTTATGGCAATCAAAATGCAGAAGGTAGGCACTCAGATATGGGTCACCAATTAATAAGCAATTGAATTAACTTGTTGGTCTAGTTTTTTGCAGGCTTGGGATTGTTGACAATGATCGGCCTAACCGGCTCGGTTCAGGTATGCTTTAACGAAGTAGGCGAGAAATGCGTAGCTGTTTTCACTTAATGAAGAGGTTTTCGCAGGCAAGGGAGGCGTGTACATATGAGCCGACCGTCTTAGTGCATGGTGGGGCCGGCGATGTGTCCGATGCGGCCATACCAAATAAAAAGCTGGGCGTTAAGTTAGCGGCTCGCAAGGGTTTTGAGATCTTAAGGTATACGGGGAGCGTATTGGATGCAGTGGAAGCGGCCGTGAACTCCCTGGAAGCTGATCCAAACTTTAATGCTGGCTACGGTTCGGTGCTTAACTGGGATGGCGAAGTTGAAATGGATGCGGCCATCATGAATGGAGCCGATCTAAGCGCTGGTTGTGTATCTTTAGCACGCGATATCATAAATCCAATCAGTTTGGCCCGTCGCATCATGGAGTCGACTAAGCATCGTTATATAGCTGGACCCGGCGCCATGCGCATTGCCGAGCAGGAGGGTTTCAATCTGCTACCTCCCGGCGCTTTGATCACGGAAGCGGCTATCAAAGCATTGCAAGACTACAAGAACAGCTTGAATGCCACACAAACGCAGAAGGGCGTGGTGTATGGCTCGCCTGGCACTGTGGGTGCCGTGGCCATTGATGCATGCGGCAATGTGGCTGCGGCCACGTCCACTGGCGGTTTGACGGGCAAACTGCCCGGTCGGATTGGTGATTCGCCCATTTTAGGCGGCGGCACCTATGCAGACAATGAATCGGGCGCCGTATCGGCCACTGGACATGGAGAGACCATAATGCGCTACAATGTGGTTGCACGCATGCTCGCGCTGGTGGAGCATGGCAACTATACGGCACAGGAGGCGGCTGTCCAGGTGCTGGAGCAGATGACACAACGCTTCAATGAAACCGCCGGAATCATTGCCGTCGATTATAGGGGACAACTGGGCATTTACTTTACATCGAACCGCATGTCTTGGGCCTATCAGCGTGGTAATCAGGTACATTTTGGCGTCGACGCTGGCGAAGATGAAATTGAATTTGGTGAACCGCGCACAACTGATAATTAAAGAAAAATAACGTTTACAATTGCTTACAACTATAATTAATAGCATTTCATAAATTTGGTTCGACGACGTGCTTCTTTAACACAGATAATCATTTTGAAGCGAGAATCACATGCGGACAGCTATAAAGCATTGAATAATTTCATGCAATACAAATATATCAACATACTATACTATTTAAATAATCTGCTGTCCTCCGATTAAATCGTACACATATAATCACAGCTACCGCACATAGCTGCCAAACTCATTTCGTTCATAACAGGCTCGATAAAGAAACGCAACGCCTGCGTGCAGCTCAGCTCGTGTGCGTCAATCTTCTCCTGAAGCAATCGGCGCAGCTTTTGTATATCTGCCGCATGCTCAAACCGCACACCACACTCGCATTTGTATGATGCCGGTGGAAGACGTTGCAGCGGTTTCTTTAAACACACAGGACAGATTACAGTGGTCGTATCCTCATCCGTTTCTTCTGCATACATATTCTCTAATTCCTGCATTTCCAATGCGTGCCATTCATTCATCTCCGCCAGCAGTTCTTCACGCACCTTTTCATCCAGTTCAATGTCCAACTGCAGTTCCTTCAGCTCCAACAGCAACAAGTCGTTAAATTCTGACTGGAAAAACAACAACCATTGTGAATCATTTTTCATTTCCATGTCTTAGCCACACTCACCAGGTGTAAGCTACGGCTTTGATCCAAGCATTCTCGACGTGCATTTAAAACACGTATGCGGCATTTCTAGAAGAGTATAAATAAATAACTTGTAGATAAATATATACATATGTATTTAAAAGAGTATGCTTTTCTACCTCGCGAAGCAACTCCCGCAATTTTGTAGAGCCCATGCGCTGTTTTCTGGCTACGTTTTGTGCGTGTCGTTTTTGCTCAACACTCGTATGAAAAACGGGGCTGCGCGGACACTCCATAATTGCTATTAACTTGTGCAAAATGCCCAAGTATTAAAATTAAAAGCAGAGTTTGGCGGTAATGTGTAGAAAAGACGCGCGTACTGACAGCTGTTTACGATATTGTTATCGATTACATTAAGTTGGAAATTATTTGAGGGGAGGCATTCCACAACACTGCTGCACAGCATTGCTTTGACAACATTTTGACAATTTCAACATGGCGTGTTTCCGGCTCTTTCTTTCCCTTTCTTTTACCAACGTGCGAGTGTCAAATAGAAGGTTAGTGCTGGATTTTCACTCAAATTTCTGTAATTTTTAATTATTAATTGTGCTAAAATGTTGTCGATTTGTGCCCCAAACAGATGCCTGCCACGGTCGCAAAAAAACCAGCAGCCAAGAAGCTGCCCGCTGTGCCCGAATCCAAATTGAAGTTCGGCAAGAAACAAATCAGCAAACGTGCCGCTGAGACAAAACGTCGCTTGAAGCGTGCTGCTGTCATTGCGCTCCGGAAGAAGGAGAATTTGGTGCGTGCGGAGAAGTACCAAACCGAGTACATTAAGGCGGATCAGCGCGAAATTAAACTGCGCCGTCTCGCCAAGAAGCGCAACCAATTTTATGTGCCCGCCGAGTCAAAGCTAGCCTTTGTTATTCGTATTCGTGGGTAAGTAAATCAACAGATGCAATTGTTGTTGTTTTGACATTCACGGCTCACATACACACACCAAACAGTATCAACAAGGTTGCCCCGAAGGTACGCAAGGTGCTGCAGCTCTTCCGCCTGCGCCAAATCAACAATGGTGTGTTCATCAAGCTGAACAAGGCTACCATTAACATGCTGCGCATTGCTGAGCCCTACATCACCTGGGGCTATCCCAATCTGAAGTCGGTGCGTCATCTGATCTACAAGCGTGGCTTTGTTAAGCATCAGCGCCAGCGTGTGCCCATCACCGACAACTTTGTGATCGAGCGCAAGCTGCGCAAGGCGTACAACATTCAATGCGTTGAGGATTTGGTTCATGAGATCTTCACCGTGGGCCCCAACTTCAAGTATGCCTCCAACTTCCTGTGGCCGTTCAAGCTGAACACACCCACTGGTGGCTGGCGCAAGAAGGCCAACCATTATGTCAACGGTGGCGACTTTGGCAACCGAGAGGACAAGATCAACAGATTGCTGCGCAAGATGGTCTAAGATGGCGTGTGTGAAAGCTAATGTGGAATAGTTTAAAACAATGGCGAGGATATAAAGAAATAAAAGTAACTTTTTTAAACTACCCAAATGCCGTTCGAAAAAAATTCACGTCTTTTCGCTTAGTTTGAATTCGTATGAATTTTATTATAACATTTGCATTGTAAAAATTTAAGTCAAACCGCCATTTCCATATATATTTTGCCATGCGGGTTATAGTCAACCACCTCGATGTCCTCAAAGCGAAAATCTTCAATATCCTGGACTTTGCGCTTAAAGTGCAGTTTCGGAAAGGGCCGCGGCTGGCGTTTAAGTTGCTCATTCAATGGATCCACATGGTTCAAATACACATGCGTGTCTCCCATGGTGTGCACAAAGTCGCCCGGCTTGAGGCCAGTCACATGAGCGATCATGTAGGTGAGCAACGCATACGAGGCAATGTTAAAGGGCACACCCAAACCCATGTCAGCGCTTCGTTGATATAACTGACAGGACAGCTCGCCACGATCCTGGGACACATAGAACTGGGCGAAGCAGTGGCAAGGCGGCAGCGCCATTTTTGGTATATCAATTGGATTCCAGGCAGACATAATAATCCGTCGATCTGATGGATTGTTGCGTATGGTGTCAATCACCTGACGCAGCTGATCGATGCCCTTGCCTGTATAGTCGTCGTCACAGGTGCCATATTGTGCGCCAAAGTGGCGCCATTGAAAACCATAGACGGGTCCCAAATCGCCGACAGCACGATCCTTAAAGCCGCACTGGTCCAGATATTCGCGCGTACTATTTGCATCCCAGATACGTACGTTCTTAGCCTGTAATAGCTTGGCGTCCGTCTTGCCGGCTATAAACCAGAGTAGCTCCTCGGCAACAGCGCGAAAGAAGACACGTTTAGTGGTCAGCAACGGGAACGACTCTCTCATATCAAAACGCATTTGACTGCCGAAAATGGACAGCGTACCCACTCGGGTGCGGTCCATGCGACGCTCTCCTTTCGTTAAAATCTCCTGTATAAGATTCAAATACTGTTTCTCATCTTTATTCACAACTATGTCATCCTGCATAGCTTTTCGCTTTGCTGGCGACTTTTTTATGGGATATTCCTTCGCTGGCGAAGTTGTTGGGGATATCTTCATAGGCGAACAATTTCCGTTGAATTCCTTCAATGGGGATTTTTTGAGGGGACTCTCACCAATGGTAGCCATTTTAATGGTTTTCTCTGACAAATTAAATTGTATTTATTTTAAAATCCAACTAATAGAGCACAAACACAACCAACCTGCTGAGCTTCTAACTGAAAATAAACTCAGCGTAATATTATTCCCGCCGATACTCAGAAAAACGCGCGAAAACCGCTTGCTACATGATACTTTGAAAAGTGTATATGAATGTGTTATGTACACACACATATAAAGTATTCAAATATGTTATAAATTCTCGATATTTGTTTAGGTGGATTCATTTTTAAAACCCAGAATGCAAACGTTATATATACATATGTATATGTACGGATGTACATACAAATATGCTTTTAAGCGAAACTCAATAATAAACGCATAAAATAGCGCACTATATTTGCTTGGTGAAGATATTGTATAAAAATTGCACATTGTTACAACATTTATCAGAGTCGGGTTGAGACTATAATTATTTAAATGCGCAAATTGTAGCAATTGTTGATAAATCAGTCTAGAATAACGACCATGAATATTTAGGTTCGTAATAACATTTAAGAGTCGATTACCTTCGTCGATTTTAGTTTGAACTATCAATTGGTATATGTACATAAATATAGGACATTAATGTTAGCTTGCGCTAAAAAGTACATACGAAACATATTTAACAAATAAAAATAATAGTTTTGCACTTTTAATTTAATTTTGGATCAGGGCTGCAAACTGTAACAGCTGTTTTGTTGCTAATGGTCGCACGGATTGGTAGCACTAAAAAAAGTATTAGTTGATATTGAATTAAGTTTAAACGATTATTATTCTTTATGTATCGTGTTACAAGAAAATAGTTTGCTTGTATTACAATAAATATAAATATTGTAACTAATTACCGGCTTGTTTGTTTTATGGCGCGTGCCAATTATTGGAATTAGGGGCTTTCTCTAATGCATTTTACTCACAATGTTCAAGTCTGCCAATTAATTTCTTATAGTTAGCATAAGAATATAACTTATTGTGTCAAAATTGTAATTGTTAAGCTGGGTGTGATTTGCATCTTTAATTGCTGCCATAACTCGCATAAAATCGATTATTAATACAAAAATACGTCGCAGCTGGCAGTGTTTCTATTCGATTTGATTTGTTTCTTTTCTTTTAAAATACAATAACAGATATTTATGTATTATTCCTCACTAAGCTGGAGAGGGGGGAAAGGTAATCCAATATAGAAGAAATTCGTCAATACAATAGAAAACAGCACCCGGTCTACAAACAGTGATATCTTGATATATAATTGCCCTAGCAATTAATGTCTAATAATAGTTTAATTGGTTTAAAAACACGCGCCTGTGCATCTTATACATATATATGTATATATATTTTGTTGTTGTGTGGAATTATATGGTTACTGATGTCCACCAGCCTGTGTGCTTACGTGTATATTCTCCACCAAACGTTGTCCCCAATACTTCTCCAAATTGAATGGTTTGAAATTCTTCAATTGATTATCAGATTCAGAATATATAATTGGTGTGCCCTGCTCATTAACCTGTGAAGAGCAGAATAGAAGAGATGAAGTGAGATGAAATAAGCAAATTACGAAATGAGAAGGCTGTCCACAGAGAGACACAAATCAATATTGACCTGCCACAAGCTGTTAGGCAGTGTCTAAGCGTATAAATTTGTTTGAACTGTCTGCTCACCTTAGTCCATGCCTCCCTTATATATCGTATTAACTCATCGTGCTGTGATGGATGAGATAACGGCACACTCTGCTGTTGCGACTGCGCTGCATACAAACTATTATTACTGTTGTGGGATGTGGTGGGCGAGTACTGCGAATTATGCGCTGTGTTTGTTGCTGCCGTGCTCGACGATGACGAAGAGTTCACATTATTTCCGGCTGCATGATGATGATTGTGTGAAGAATGTTGTTGGTGGTTGCCGTTCCCATTGCCTTGGCGACGTATGTAGGCGTATCGTCTGTAATTCACATTAAAATATGCAATTAATATGCAGAACAAGAGCCGTTTTTGATATTATATATTTTGCATCTAAAAAATTAGAGTTATTTGCTCGTTTGTCTTTCTTAAAAAAGCGTACATAAAATGTTTACACCAGTCATTTTTATTGCTTTTCGTTGCCTGATCTCAAAATTTTTAGGGAATTCAGAACAACCACCCGAAGATAGATACTCTCCCACCATAACAGTTAACGTTTAAAATATCGAATAGGTCGCCAGCCCTGACTTTTATTCCCATACACCATTACAAAATGCGATACCAATGTTTTTCCCGCTTGAAGTAGCTATTGAACTTACTTAAAAGCTTTATTTGGAGTGGATAAAGTACTTCGAAAATTGGCTGAAGGCAATGCAAAACTGAATATTTTGAGAAACAATTTAAATGGTTTTAAGGCTGAATCAGTAAAAATAAAAACATTTTTAGGCGCAAAATTTAAAATGGAGTCCACGTACTAAACCCATTCAGATCAGCATTACAAATTTGTAACCAAACTCTATAAAATTTGCATAGTTTGACACCCACACAAGCAAACACACACACATATTAAAATTGGGACGCACACGCACCCACACATGCGCATGTTTGCCTTTTGTGTGCGTCACACGCTTGCACCGCGATATAAACAATGCAGAGCCGTAAAACAAAACCATCATTTTCCATTGCACTTACCCATTATTGCGTTCCATTTTTGCTTGCTCTGGCTACTGTAAAGTACTCGGACTTTTCAAAATATTGCTTCCCGTTTGTATATACACACTTATCACTCTAAACTACTATGTATTTATTTTTTTCTCTTTGTGGTGGCTTCTCCCAAACACAGACTCTGTTTTCCAAATGCAAATTTCTCTATGTTTTTAAAACTGCAGACACTATTCTAGCACACTCCGAACTGCACACTTAATTAGCGGTTCAGTTTAACTTTAAGTATGGCTTTTTAACTCAATAAATTCTAGTTGTTTTTGTCAATTTCTATGCTATTTTTATTTGGAGCAACCTCGTCAAGAAGAGCAGTAATGGCTGCCTGCAACTGTTCGCCAACTGTTGTGAACGGCATAGACAGTGCTGACATATTGTGTTAGGGTAACACTTTTTATTAGCAGAGAGTGGTAGCACCTGAAACGGAAATTTGAAAATAAGTTTGTTCTTCAACAAAATGGATTTCTTTTTAATCATGTATCCCAAGTTAGACCACTTAGAAGTATTTTTCTAGTTTATTTTTATAAAATTCATAACATATATATTTCGTTTAACTGTTGATAATAGATGTAAAAAATATTCGCGCATATACATACACTAAACCAAATTTAGTGAATAATCATAAAAAACTTCATGTACAAAAGAATTACAATATAAACAGTTTTTATAGATAATTTTTAACATAAGTCTATCTTGCAAAGCCCGAATGCTTTGTCTTCTTTACTGAGCATTCTTAAAAACAACACATCGTTTAAACAATACACACATATGTATAATATGTATGTATTTTTATGTAGTAACAAAATAAATGTTTTGCGTCTTTTTTAAGTTAAACAACACAAGAAATGCACATTCCGAGCTTATCTACTATTATCTTTTCATCTTCGATCAATTTTCATACATAACATTTTGGCAGCACCAGAGAGAGAAGATAGTACCGTTATTTAACTAAAAACTATGCATAATTATTTATGTATGTTTGTGTCTGTGCATTGTGTAAATAACGGTTAGTTTTGTGCTTACAGTTGCAAAATTTTGCACTATGAAAAATTTGGCTGCGAATAAGGTAACTAAACATCAACGACGACGACATTTAAATTTTGGACACTTATGGAAAGTTATACACAAAAAAAAACTTACAGATCATCATCGCCAATGCCCTCAAAAGCTTCATTACGAACTGATGACGCCACCTCTGACGCATTGCTGCTGTCATTGCGGAAGAAGACCGCCGCAAAGGTGCGGGATGTCGTTAACTTGTGCTGCTGCTTTGATGTGGGCGTCAGACGCTGTGCCAGAAACTTGACTGGAGGCGTTGTGCTGGCGGACGTGTTAGCTGCCGTAAAATTTGACATATAGGACGTGGAAGTGGAAGATGCCGAGCTTGGCGTCGAAGAGGTGGACTCCGAAGAAGCAGACGTGGAGACAGCACGTCCATTGCGTTCAAGCTCATCATCGCTGTTGCCGTCGCCAGCGGTTTGATGCAATAATTCATCTACCATTGCCTGCAGACACACAGACATGAGCATCGCCTGTGAGCTGGTGATCGTAATCCAGCGCAATGTTTGTTTTGACATCAAATATTCGAACGCTAGCTGCAGCTGTGATGGCTGATCTCGCGACTCCAGCGTATTGTGCATGGCACTAACGCGCCAGCAGCGCATACGGGTTACACGGAATTTGGTTTCATAGATTTTGGCACCGCGTGCCGTACGCAGACTCAACTCCTTGTTGCCAATGCTGACGAGCGCTGTCGTATCGTTTTCGGGGTAGTCCACATGGGCAGCGGCGAATTGCAGACAGCCGTAGGAGGGTAGCTGGCGTGCCAGCTCCAGATATTGTAAGGAACGCGCTTGCATCTGCAGGCTGTGCAATTGGTGACCCAGTTCCGGTGTGCAGATGATCCACTCTCGTGCCACATCCGCTACGGTCTGGTTGTACAGCAAGTTGACCGCCACGCTGTTGCCTAACAGCTTGGCATCCCAGCCAGAATTCCAGTAACTTGTACGCAGCAGCAATTGACAAGGTTGTGCATGGAGGCGCGTTATATACGGCGACTCAAAGTCCATGAGGCGACGCAGCAGCAGCACCGTTGGCGTCGGCTCGCCAGACACACTCGGCAGCTTGCGCATGAGATATAAACAGAAAAATTGCTGCAGCTCAGGAGGCAGTTTTAGTGCCCGGCAAACAGTCTGAAGCAACGCGCTGGTGTTTTGCTGGACATGACAGTTGACCAGCAACTGTGCACCCGCAGCTTTAGTGTAGACTTCGATTTCCAATTGCTGTTCCTCACTGTCTGTGCTCACCGTGGACTCGGCCAGTGCTGTTTCCAGCTGGGCGCGTTGAAGGAACTGCTGAAGGAATGGTAGTCTGGCAATACGCACATCCTGCCCAATAATTTGTAAATAGTGCTCCAAGGCAGCGCGTCGCGTCTCCAGCTGGCTATTTGTTAGTGGCAGCAGACGCTTAGGGGGAAACGGGGGCAAGGCAGCGTCTGCGCAGCGCCTACGCAATTGCTCGTAAAACTCGTGAAGCTGTTTGTAACGCAATTTGCAATGATAATTGCCATTTATGTAGATGTTGTAGACCGTGTAAGTGGGCCCAGTAACCAACCCACCGCCCCCACCTCCATTCGGAGCATCCACACACAACTCCTGTGTGTCCGGTACGGAGAAGTGCATGTTTTTTTGTTCTTTATATACGCCTTGGCGTTGCTTCACTTTCAAGTTTACTTTCTCATTTTCGTGTTGAACTTCCTTCGTTGCTGCTGCTATTGTTACTGTTGCTGCTTTTATGTGCTTGTTGTTGTCGCCGCTTTGTCAGCGTACACACGGATATTTACATGGATTGATTTAAATTAATTAAACCAATTGCGAATGTGTAAATCTTTTTTCACCTATAGGACTGTAAAAAACGCGGCGTTGCCACCAGGAATTCCTCCATCTGGCAGCCAGATGGTCAGAAAAAGTGCTGCCCAGCTGCTCGAATAAATACACGCTGCTCTACAGTTGGTGTTGATCCTAGAAACCATAAACAAAATAATTCAAAGACTACCATGCACCTGTCGGAGCGTCGGCCACATCAGGACATTCCGATCCTTTTTGTGGAAGCACGGGCAACGAATCCACGATTTTTACGCGTTAGTGCACCCATGGTTCGCTATTCCAAGCTGGAGTTTCGCAAATTAGTGAGAAGAAATGGAGTACAGCTGGCTTTTACTCCAATGATCATTGCGGAATCGTTTAATAATAGTGAGAAGGCGCGACAAAACGAATTCACCACAAGCCCAGAGGATGATCAGCCGTTAATTGCCCAGTTTGCGGCCAAGGATGCACAGGAATTCGTCACGGCAGCTCAGCTTATATATCCATACTGCGACGGTATAGACTTGAACTGCGGTTGTCCACAGAGTTGGGCCATTTCGAAGGGCTATGGTTGTGGTCTGTTACGCCAACCAGAGCTGTTGCGTGAAGTAGTGCAATGCGTACGACGGACGCTGCCCACAAAATTTAGCATTTCGGTAAAAATGCGACTGTTGAGTGGGTCAGATGAAGAGACATCTGTGCGCAGGACCATCGATTTAGCACAACAGCTTGAGCACTGCGGTGTGACATTTCTTACGCTGCACGGGCGGACACAGGCGCAGAAGCATTCAAAGGATACGCTCAATGTGAATGCCATGGCTGAAGTGCAAAAATCGTTGCAAATCCCACTGATCGTTAATGGCAATGTGGAGAGCTGGCGAGATGCGTGCGAGCTGTACGAACAAACACAGGCAGGCGGTGTAATGGCCGCCAGGGGACTGCTAGCCAATCCGGCACTCTTTAACAGCAAGTATCCTGATGAAGTGCTTACTCCAGCCGAGTGTATGCAACAGTGGCTAGATATTGATTCCGCTGCAGGCAAAAATTTGCACTTCCAGTGCTTTCATCATCACCTTACGTTCATGTGGAGCAGTAGAATGAAACGAGCGCAGCGCATGCAATTTAATAGCCTGAGCACCAAGGAAGAAGTCTACGCTTTCCTGGCCAAGCATTACGATGTGACACCCAGCAGCAGTGGGTGCAGGCCAGATATTTATTCAAACTGTACATATACACACTTTATACCGCCCAAACATGCTAGGCACATTGCCACAGAGGCGGCCGAGAATATCTGGAATGCAAAAACCGACGGCAAATTCTTCAATGAATTCAAAGCGCAACAGTTGTCCTGTGAAAAAGTTGATGATTTGGAGCTAGGCGGACTTTTTGGTGATTTGTATTGACTGTAATTATTGTTAATAATAAACATTTTTTAATTATTGGTTTTCTCTATCAATGGCCACACGAATTTATATTTCTAATTTTCAAACTAACGTAATTACTAATAAGTGGAATTAGATCGGTTCGGACTAGTTCCAATGAGTGTGTCTTAAATTATTCCGATTGTAAATCTGAAGGTGGATCGCGCACGATAATACATCTATCCATAGCTTTAGGTATAAAGAACTAAATTCTTCTACTATTTCTATTTGGTTTCTAGCCAAATAGTTTCTTCTGCAAGAACTGTTTTTGCTGTTTTAAATATTTTTAAAAATTCTACCAACCTTTAACAATTGCTAAAACATAGAAAAATACTCCACTTATATATAAATGAAAACTCTCATCTTGAAGAGCAGAACAAATCCATTAACTATAAGTGAACTCAACCAACGAATAAACAAACCGAATGAACGACTAGTTCGTTCATTGGAATAAGAACTAATATATAGTGAACTAGATTTCTCTAATCAAAAAGTAAACAAGCTGCGCTGCCATATATTTAAATGAAAAAAAAAAGCCGCTTTTTAAAGTGGTAGCACTTTTCGACACTTGTAGGCTGAGAACGTAATTCGAACTAAAGAAAAAATTGAAAATGCGTCGTCGCGAGCTTCAAACAATTACGATTAAGCTCTCCGAGCTCAAGGAGTACGAGCAAGCAAAATTGGAGCGTGTTTTGGCGCGCCAACAACAAATGACTCCACATACGCCCACATCGGACAGCGATGTTCAGCCATCGAGCAGTGTGCCGACTATTTTGTTGGAGGGTGCGGGCGCCACAACCCCGAAGCCCAGCTCCTCATCCACATAAACAAAAAGAGCGTTCGGAATTCAGGTAAGTTTTAAATAGCAATATGTTCATTAATATGCATCGGCGTTGTTACTGTTGTTGTTGTTGTGAAACCGCACCGTTTCAAAGCCATCGACCAATATTTCACGATCCTCCGTTTGCTGTCGCTCACGCAGCCATTGCTCCCGGACGGGCACATAATGTCTTAGTCCTGGCAACTTGCGCCAGCAACGACGCTTATACATGACCCAAAGCATGGTGGCGAGGCAGCCAAAAAGAAAGCAAACGACGAAGAAGCTTATACCGCGCGCATGCGAGGCTGTAGTTGTGGGTGAAGTAACGGTGCTGGCCACACCAGAGTTAGTTTTATTGGTAAGCGCCTGCTCTGTTGTCGTGGAGTGGGCGTGCGGCCTGTGCGTGCTGCGCTGTTCCTCATCACACCAATTGATAGGCACAAATGGCGTCAACACATCCCCGGCAAGAGAATGGACGCGCACGGCGCACTGATTAAACGTCATATTAAGCAGCGCCACATGCTCAAAATCCGCCGCAGCATGCGCCCGTCGCGTTAAACAATTGACATGGCTTTCCATAACCGTACCCGAATCCGACAATATGTTACGATAATGCAGAACATAGGAGAGAATAACCCCATTGGGCTGTACAGGGTCGTTAAAACGCACAATGTACTCATCTGTGCTGGGCACGCGACAGGCACTGAGGTCGGGCAAAAAGTCCCCGCCCAGAGTGTAGTTGGTGCGCTCGTTAAGCGTTGTGTGGCTGCTGCAGCCAAGTTCATTGCAGGCCCGAAGCTGGAGCGAGTATAGATGATAGCGCTTCAGATCATGGAGTATATGCGTCGTTGTATTGCCAGACAGATGAAGTTGTATTGAATCCTTTGGCTGTTGCCACAATTCGCAGTTGGTGGGCTCATCCAAACTGCAGCGATATTGCGATCGCATGTCCTCGATAAAACGACGATCATCGCTGAGCTCCTGCTGATGGGAACAGCAATCGTCATAGTCCTCTACAGGCGTACTCCACTCGTCGCCATCCATGTCCTGTAACAATACAGCCGGCTGCTTGCAATAATCACGCTCATCAATGTACGCGGCATCATCGGCCAGTTCATAGATCCTTAACTCATAGTAATCCAGTGAGCTATTCCCGCTGCCACTTAGTAACAGCGTCAGGCTGTTGTCAGTTTTTTTGCTTAACTGCAGTTGCGGTGGCTCTGGTATGTCCTTCTGGGTACGCACAAAAGTCAAATCACTGCGCGCCTCCCGTTTAAATTCGCCACCAAAGGTGCGCAGCAGCAGCGCATAACGTGTGTCCGACGTCAGACGGTCCAGCTGATAGTTGTAATGCGTGCCATTGTCGAGGAGCTGCTCCGGAAAGAGCAGACGACGCTGCCAATTGATGCGCGTGCAGATTGGCGCTTCCAGCTCACTTTGCTCGGGATAGATTTGACCCTCTGCCACTGGTCGATAGATCAACTCCAGTTCCACGCTGGTCTGCGACTTAAGCCAACTAAGCTGCACCATACGATGGGAACGCACCTGAAAGATTTCTGTCAATTAATGGTCAATGCTGTATGCTGCTGAAAATCTTTACTTACGTGTACATTCAGCAGCAACTTTGCTGGACCACACAGGACCTCCTGATCGTTAGTCTGCAGCGAATCCAACGTCTTATCGTGTATGACTTGTGCCTGAAACTCACGCATGTGTCGATTGCACAATTTATTATTTCGATGCATATACATGCCTCCATTTAAAAATTCCAGCTCCGCATCTGGCGTCCACAGCTCCCGAATTTCTTTATTGTCATAGAGTACGAGAGCGTAGTATTTATTCTCTAGAGGATCGCCGTGTATACGCTGTATATTCTTCAGAAATTGCAGACTAGTAAGCTGCGAGGACCTGCAAAAGCATGGAACCCTTACTGCGGATAACGAACGATAACGATTGACGAGACGAATCGATCTATACATGTCCGTCCGTCTGTCTGGATGAACGCAAGGATCTCAGAAACTATAAAAGCTGGAATAACCAAAGTTGGTATCCAGATTCTGCTAGGTCCGAGAAATTATGAGTTTATTTTATTTTTTGGAATTTTCCCCCCTTCCCACGCTACAGAATTTTTTAAATACTGTCCACATTTCAAAAGCTACATTAACCAAACCACACAAAATCTATATAAAATTCTATAGGTTTTTTTTTTAATTTCATCCGAATCGTTCAATTCTAAGAAAACTAAGAAAACCAGTACTACGCCTACAAACGGTAGCATCAAGTTCGCTCTTCTTCTTTTTTCTTCTGTTATGGCGCATATACCTCAGTCCCGGAAATTTGTCTGGGTACAGGGTATTACACTGTCGGATTCGCTCGACTGTAGCGTTCTCTCTTGTTTCACCTACATTTGAGTAATGTACTTACCGGTAGATCTTAAGATGTCCTCGTATTTCACGAATTGTGGATAAGCTGTGCGCCAATTGCTTTTCCTGGACCTTGTTGCGTATGGTGAAAACCAGACTACTGTTCAGAATTTGGCAGCCGTAAAGCTCGTGGGCATCGGCCAAGTTATAGACGATGAACGCCTCGTTTTGTAAATCTGGGGTGCAAACACTAATACACGGTTCGTTGGGACTGCAGCGAACACAGTCGAGCTGGGAATTAATTTTGTAGCCACTGGGACAGAAGGGTACGCAGTCAAAGCCAAAGGTATAATGACCATGGTGGCCCACACACTGATCCCGCGTATAACAGCGATTATATTGCTCCATGGTGTATCTGAACGAAAACTAGATGGCATTCAAACGCCTAGAGCCAATCGTATACTAGAACCGACTTACTTATGAGGGGGACAACTCTCTACACAGACCCCATCATCGCTGAGTCCTCGACATGTCACACAATCAGCGGCAGTAACGTTGTAGCAACCGCCCAAGCATTGATCGTGGCACTGAATCCTATTCATAAGCAACCAAATGAAGAACTAATAAGCAGGAATTCAAATATTTCCAATGTTATAAACTCACCCTCCATTTTGGTCGCTTAAATTGTCGTTTTCTAAGCGCTGGCATTGAGAATTCGACCAACAGTAGCGTGAGGGGCAGTCCTTGCACTCAGCGACCTCCGTACAATTATTTCCGTCAAGCATAATATGATTCTCCCCCGGGGTCAGTGTTAGGCGATCCCAGTTAATCTACGCATATGGGAAATCTTTAGAAATTAAAGAATTTAAACATTCGAACGACTTACACCCTCCGTTTGACAAAGCTTGGGACAGTTCCCAATGTAGACATGACCTTGCTGTATGGCTACCAGAGACTGGAACTCTAACTGCAAGTAAAAATAGTGAAATAATTTATTCTTTTAGGATTTTAATTTATATATTTAACAAGAGAGAACGCTACAGTCGACCAAGCCCGACAGTTTAATACCCTGTACCCAGGTAAACTTCCGTCACTGAGTTATATGCGCCCATAGCAGCAGCAAAAAGAGGAAGAAGAAGAGCGAACTTGTTGCTGCAGTTTGGGGGGGTTGTACTGGAGAGAATTTGTTTCGCTAATAACTTTTCTTAGAATTGACCGAATTGAAAATTTTGAACAACAGTAGACAATTATATATAAATTATGTGTGCAAAGTTTTGTTTAGGTAGCATTTGAAATGTGGACGCTATTGACGAAATTCTGCAGCGGGAGAAGGGGGGGGGGGGGGGGGGGATTAAAAAAAAAATAATAAACTCGTCCTTACTCGGACCTAGGAGAATCTGGATGCCAACTTTGGTTATTCTAGCTTTTATAGTTTCTGAGATCCTCGCGTTCATCCAGACGGACGGACAGACGGACGGACATGTCTAGATCGATTTCTCTCGTCATGCTGATCAAGAATATATATACTTTTTGGGGTCGGAGATGCTTCCTTCTGTATGTTACATACTTTGCACAAACCTAATATACCCTTTTTACCCTACGGGTACTGGGTATAAAAAGAGAAATTTTGGATGGTATCTATCGGTACATCGCCCCACTTTAAGCTACAACAATATTTATTAAAATACGACTTCTATAAAAATCCACAAATTTCTTGGAAATGTTTTTTTTTCTAGCTTGTGTTGACATTTCCACTTACTCACCAGTTGCAGATCCTGCATATTGGTGATGCCCAGAGCATAGTTGAGGAATAGGCGACGACCACGTATCACAGTTAGGTTGGGAAACAAGTCCCTGATGCGCACCAAGCCCCGCACTTCGGTGAAGATCATAAAGTCCGTTACTTCGCGCAGCATCGGAAAGCTGTAGGCCGAAAAGTTGCATTGTTTCTCTTTGAACACCAATGTGATCATCACGTAGCCCGTAACGATGGTGCAATTTTCCAGCAGTTCCATTTTGTCGCAATCGTTGCGTATGTCGATGCTAGTGCACTCCTTGTGGTGTGTCAGCCTTGCGGGGAGGTTTGGATTTACCGTTCGGGTTTGATTTTCAAAGGCGCCCTGTTGCGGCAACAATGATGCCAGCAGCGCCAGCAACATGAGGCGGTTAAGCAACATGTTGCTGATGGTTCAATTTGGTTTCTTACGTGCAGCTTATTGTAGCTGCTGTTGTTTTTGTTGCTGTTGTTCTTGTAGTTGCTTGCATCGACGTCTTTTCAGCATTGTTTTAAGATATACAGTTATTTTCTTATGTGTATTTCACTAGTTTTGCGCTCTTCGTTGAGCCCAATTAACGCGTTGGTCAGCAGCAACGGCAATCGATGAAACGACGCGATTAGTCGCTATTTATGACATTTTCACGTTTATATTTCACACACAACAAACACACGCGCACATACATACATTTGTACATATCTAAACATACAGCGAAAAATCGCGCAAGTGCAAAGGGTTTATGTTAATTATTTCTTTTTTCTTGTTGTCCTCAATTTTGCTTAGCTATTGAGATTGCAAATAAATAAACAGAATAAATTTTGTCGTATTATTATTATTATTGGTATTCCTGCGTTTGGTTTTGATTTGTAATAAAATACGAAAAACATGCATAATTTTAAACAAATATTAAAAAGTACAAATTAAGAAACAATCCAAAAGCCTTTAAATTCGTGTTTTTTTTTATTATTATTTATTTGTCTATTTTTTTAAATGCTGGTTCCGTTTGATTCACATTGTTTTAATAATTTAATTATTACGCATATACCACTACTATCCCGTCCGTAGGCGACTTTGACTCGCATGCCCAATTGTAATGCGAGCTTAAGATAAGCACCATTTTCGTTTTCATTTGTTTATTTGGCATTTTACTGTTTACCGCTATACAGACATATATGTATACTTGTATGTACAGACATATCTTTGAAGATGCTTGGCAAGGAGATAGGACAAAAACAAAAAGGATGACTGAATCATATGGGAGCTTTACATTTTCAGAGAAAACAATAAAATATAAAAGAATTTATAAAAAATGAGTTTAGTTTTGAGATTGCAAATTATGGAAGTAACTATAATATTGTGAAATCTAGCTTCTTTGGCAAAATAAATCCATTTAAATTTAAGAAGGTTGGAATTCAATTTTTTTTTAAGATGCAACATTTCACAGAAAAAATTGTATGTCAGCACATTTTGTATTTAACAAAAATTACAAAACTTTAAGTTGAAGCAGATCATAACAATTTCAAGTATTTTTTGTTTATTTTTACAAAGGTTTATTTTTTTAAAATTGTTTTCAATATTTTTCAAATATATGTTTTTTCAAATTGATTTGGAAGTTATTAATTTATTTATTATCAAAGCATTGATTATGTTTATTGAATACACGGAACTGTTCTTAAAATTGTTACTTTATTTTTAATTTGTTGCTTTATTTTTGTGGGTACTTGCCACAACTTATGAATGCCAAGAATAATTTTAAAAGCTATTAAAATCATTAAATTTTGTAAAGGTTTTCAAAGTCCAATTTTCTTAAAAACTTCTTTTATGATATATTTATAATATGTGTATATAGATTTAACATTTCTTTGCGAAATCGAAAACATTTTTTCGTTAAGAAAAAAAAGAACTGTTTTTAAAGTTATTTAAATTATTATTACTTTTTTTGCTCCAATAGTGTTCAACTAATTGATAAACTTTACTTTTTTATTTTATGAAGCATATATTTTGTTTACATTTAACATTTTTTTTTTTATTATTTTGAAACGCTTTAATGTATGTTTTTAATTTTGGTTTTCTTTTTGCTCAAATAGCTTTTATTTTTTTATATTACATTTTTTATTTATTTTAAATAAACGTTTAGGTTAGATACAAAAAATCTGTTTAACCAAAGTGTTGTTATTAATTCTTCTTCTTTTCTGTTTTTAATTTGATTACTTTTGTGCACTTTTTATCTTTACAGCTTCTCAGGATCTTTAAGGACAAAGACGCGCCGAATTCAAAATGATAAATAAAACCGAGCACAAGTAGCACTGATATTACAATTTTATAATTTCACTCAATGTGTAGTAATTCTTAAAAAAAAAATGAAATGGAGAATTATAAATTACCAATTACCAATTTAATTGTAAAACTCTGACTGATTGAAGCTATATAGTCTAAGCTATCGTACATTATATACAAATATAGAAATGTTATTAATTAATTCCGCATTTGTTGTTATTTAGCAAGAATTCATAGGTTGTTGTTATACTCGTATGTACGTGCGTCTGTGTACGTTTAATTAAGAAAAAGCGGAAGAATCGGAAGCAGAAGTATCTGCCAAAATAGTCGGACGAATGCAACGAACTCAACGCCTCGACGACCAAATGCTGACTGGACTGGCAAGCTGGGGCGATCGTCGTCGGCCAATAAAATATCTCTGCGCAAGCAAACAAATTGATTTTTCATTTAATGTTTCGAACAGCCATTCTACACTGTGCGGGGCCCTTTGACATATTACAGCATCCACATCTCGAGCATTGTCGGCCGCAAGTAATAAATTAATTAAAAGAGCGTTTGATTTTACTCGCGGTCGAGTTAATTGTCGTGAGCTTTGACGTCCATGGTTGGTTACATAACCAACGTCTGATTGAGTGATGGATTCACTTTAAATTTGATGGTCAAGTGAAATAGTTTCTCTCAGTGTGCAATTTTACGATGCCGGCCGGCTCGACACACAATTTTCTGGCAGCTGAGCGGCAGGCCGGCCCAACAACCAGCTGATCTGCGCGCAGCCGCAAATGGCTCATAAAAACAGCTGACGACTCCAATTAACCACATGTTATGATACCCAACACACACACACACTCACACACAGTCGTAGAAAAGAAATCCATCCAGAATTCCCATGCCGCACGTAACAGAGACCAAGTGGCGATTAACTTTAACAAGCGGAGCGCAAACAAAATAAAAGAACGAAAAATATCTCAACAATGTTGGCGGCAATTGGCACAGTGAGGTGAAAATGTTTATGATATGGCTTTAAACGCTATTACCACTTTAAGAAAACGACTTGCACATATTTGCCAAACAACTTATGACACTTTGTATGCACTTTAGCCAAAAGATAAAAGGAAGAGTGTATGCTATTAAGAGTAAGCCTTTTATTTATGTAAGAAGCAGAACATACCTCGACCGATTCATTGTAATTCTATTGGTTGCGTATCCGCTGCTCAGCCTGTTTGTCTGTATGAACGTCAAGAACTTTTGACCCGTAACAGCTAGAGACACCACATTTGGCATATAGTCTTGTCTCATCCATATGCAGGCCAAGTTTATTCAAAAACCATATATGGTGTCATTATTATAAATAGCTGTTGATAGATTTTTTACATTATATTTTCAATTGAGAAATACAGGCACGATTATTGCTCTCTCATTTGGTATTATGATGTATGTAGTATGTAGAAGAAAAGCTTTCAACTACTTACATATATGAAGTATCAAAAGAAATTACGTAAGTAATTTTTGAAGATTGGGCTTTCAATTATTTAAATAAAGTTTGGGTTTGGCAGATTAAAGTCTGTAGGAGTATGAAAATTCTGACGTAACTCATAAATAAGTTTGTTTCCTTATTTTATTTATCGATTTTTTCGACGCAGAAATATTCACAGCAATTTTTGAACAGTTGATAATACACCGATTATATGGAAAATTTGTTAGTAGTATGTTTCCTGCTCCACCCAGCCACCAGGAGAACGACGAATGAGATAACGACGGCCTTCATCGAATAGAATAATGAGAATTCCAAATGGAAATGCATAGGTCCACCAAATAGCCCTAAAATTTTATAGAGTTCAGAAGGAGCTGAATTGTGATATTGGTCGATCGACCAATACATACTTAACAGGATACATCCGCAGAGCCGTCTTCATTCCAGGCGCATAGCAAATAAGTAGGGCAATGACGGTTTCGACGATTAATGAACAATTTAAGACATGGTTAGTCATGCCCTGCTGTACAATGGAGTTACGGCGGGTCTTGCAAATGATCAGATCACACCACTGGGTCACCACAATGGAGACAAAAAAGCCCGTGCTGGCAGTGTACTCCAGCTCTTTACGCTCTCGATATGTCTGTGGCGAGGGGTCATTTATTGATATTAGTTAGCTTTTAAGAACGGCGTTGTTACCCATTCTTGCCCAAAGCCATCTAACAAGTCATCCACATCCTTCGAGTCCCAGTCGTGTCGAATACCCAACAGTCGCCTCGGGGGAAAACCATGCTCTGCCATAATGGCAAAAAATGTGAAGAAGCAGGCAACGGTTTGAATGACGCCGATTTGCAAGTAGGCCATCAGAATAAGTCTGCGAATGATATGACAAAATTTGTATTTTAGTAAAACGGAAGCCCTCTAAACTCAATGTAATTCTATAAGAAAAATAAAGGATGGATTGAAAAAAATGCAATTCGTACTTTTTGTTCACCAATCTGTCCTCAAAGGGATCTCTTGGCATGCGCTTCATAATATCCGACTCAGCCTTTTCGTAGGCCAGCGATATGGCCGGCATCATGTCCGTTCCAATGTCAATGCACAAAATGGCAATTGTACCTAGAGCCAGTGGAATATCGAAGGTCATGAAAAGAAGGAATGGCGTGATTTCGGGCAGATTCGAGGTGAGTGTGTAGGCGATGGACTTCTTTAGATTATCGAATATAAGACGTCCCTCCTCAATGCCCACCACAATACTCGCGAAGTTGTCGTCCAGAAGGATCATATCAGCCGCTTGCTTGGACACATCCGAGCCAGCAATGCCCATCGCCACACCAATATCGGCCCGCTTAAGCGCCGGCGAATCGTTCACTCCGTCACCCGTGACAGCGACTATTTCGCCCCTACGCTGGCATGCCTCGACAATGATCAGCTTCTGCTGGGGCGAGGTGCGCGCAAACACAATCTCGTTGTGAAAGTAAATGACTGAATCGAGATCCTCGGCCTTCATTTCGCGCAATTCACCGCCATGCACCACAATAGCAGTAGCATCGCGCGGATCCACCGCAGTTATGGGTACGCCGCGCTGTTTAGCCAAATCCTCGGCTGTTGGCTTCGTAATGATGCCGACGCTGCGTGCTATTGCCTTTGCTGTTATGGGATGATCACCAGTTACCATAATGACCCGCACACCGGCCGAACGGCACTTGGACACTGCATCGGGGACGGCGGCACGCGGAGGATCAATCAGTGAGATGAGACCCAAGAACCGTAGCTTTGTCAATGGAAAGTTCGGGGGTTCGGCGTCAAATTCATAGGATTGTGGAAAATAAGCTTTGGGTAGATGGAGATCGGCAAATCCCAGCACACGCTCACCCATGCCACCCATTTCCATGTAGGCCGTCTCGAATTCGTCCTTAAGCTTGTCCGTTAGTGGCACAGTCTCGCCATTTATTATAATGGTTGAGCAGCGATCTAGAATACGTTCCGGTGCTCCCTTCATTTCAACCACGAAGTACGAATCATCCGTTTCCATTTCATGCACCGATACCTGATATTTTTCGGTCGAGTTGAAGGGTATCTCTGTTAGCTTAAAGTATCTGCGACGGACCGGTCCGACACCACCATATACGGTCTCAGCGAATTTAAGCAGCGCCGCCTCTGAGGCATTACCGTTCACTTCCTTCTTGGTGATGTGCACATCTTCCTGTCCGCCCTTAAACTCGGCCACATTGCATAAGGTGGCGCAGAGTAACAACGCGCTGAAACTGGGATCGGTCTGTTTGAACAGAGAGCCACGAAAGCCTTCTGTTGTATCAGACTCGACAATTTCCCGATCGAACCATAAATGCGCCACCGTCATGCGGTTCTGTGTTAGAGTTCCCGTTTTGTCGGAGCAGATGGTGGAGGTGGAGCCAAGCGTTTCAACAGCCTCCAGATTCTTCACCAGACAATTCTTAGAGGCCATGCGTTTGGCCGTCAAAGTCAGGCAAACCGTCACCGTAGCCAATAGACCCTCCGGCACATTGGCCACTATAATGCCAATAAGGAAGATGGCCGCATCCAAAAAGGCATAACCCAACATCATGGCAATGACGAAAAAGGTGAAGCCCAGAATTATAGCAAAGATAGTGATAATACGTATAAAATGTGCGATTTCCCGAGATATGGGCGACTGCACCTCCTCCAGGCCGGCAGCCAAATTGGCAATGCGGCCCATCACTGTATTATCACCTACGGCAATGACCACACCCCGACAAGTACCCTCCAGGACGTTGGTCGAGAAGAAGGCCAGATTCTTGGTCTCTAGCGGATTATCGTGCGTGTATTCGGTGTTACGCACCTGAGGCTCAGACTCTCCCGTCAGCGATGAATTGTCCACCTTGAGGCCATGTGCCTCCAATATGCGAATATCGGCGGGCACACGATCTCCGAACTTAACCTCAACAATATCTCCAATGACCAGATCTTCGGCGGATATCGTATTGATCTCGCCGCCGCGAATTACCGTCGCATATTGCGGCACCATGCTCTTGAAAGAGTCCATAATGGCCGATGATTTGTGCTGTTGAAAATACGAGAACAGGCCGGTTATGACCACCACAGCGAAGAGCGCTATGCCCAAATAGAGGTTATCATCGGACGGCTCGTGTTGCGTGAAAAGCTGTATGATGTAGGCCGTGAAACAGAGCGCTGAACCGACCCAGAGCAGCATGGCGAACCCTCCAAACATGTTCTTTAGAAAAATTACCCATTGGGGCGTTACTGGCGGTGGCGTCAACATATTGGGACCATCTACTTCTAATTTAAGTTTTGCGGCCGCATGCGATAGACCCTAATTTAATTCGGATGAAGGATATCTTTTGGGTACGACTGAATGGAACAGGATTTTACTTACATTAAACTGATCGGTTTGCAGACGAGCCAGCAGTTCTTCCACCGGTATCTTGTGGTTATCGGTTTCGACATCCTTCTTAAACGCCTGTATATCCTTCTTCCCTTTATTGCCTTTCTTGTCCTTATCCTTGTCCTTTGCCATTTTGCAAGAGCTTCAAATTTTACTTGAAATGTAAACAAATATACTCGTATATATAGTTTTTATGATCAGAATTTGACAAATCAAGGCATAGCTGATGGACATTCATTGATATTATAGAGCATTTTAAGAAGACTTGGATGGACTTCCTTCCTTTGTTCACATTTTTAAGATCATTATGATATGAAATTGTTGGTTCTAGCTTTTAACTGTAAGCAGGTCCTATTAGTCAGCATACAAGTAAATATACTTGTATTAATTACATAAAATCGTTTTCATGAAATTAACATTTTTCTTCCATTTTTTATTTTAATTATAATTGAAAGCTCCTAATTCGTAGACCTTTTCTAGTCTTAACAGTTAAGCACTAAAAATGCATTTCTTTTTATTTGTATTCTATGATTTTTTCTAATTTTTGTAAAATGTGAAAATCTTTTCTAGCTTACAAAACATTTTAGTTAGATGGCATGGGGGGTACAGGTAATATTATGATTTAAATCTGTTTTTTGTTTTACAGATTATTTTTTCTCAATTGCGTAGAAATTTTAAACTACTTTACACAACTATGTTAGTGAAATGATTTTATAATTTCTTATAAATTTGAGAAGAGTTGCAAGGTCCTTAAGAATTTCACGAACCATCACGCACGCAATCACGCACAGCTCCAGTGCACACTGACATTTGTGTGGATCCCATGCGTTAAAATTCTCCGGGCGATGCTTGTTATTTGGAACTTTTATTGACTGAAAACAAGAGACGAAATATTTGAAAAATGTAAAGAATTTAAAGCGAATGCCGAATATGTGGCTGTTAAAAGAAGCGATAAAGGTCGTCAGCATGTCAGCAATAACTTTGAAAAATGTTTGCCAACTAATGGCATAAAGAGCCATCTTCCTCAGCAGGACGGTGTGGTGAGGCGTGCAAGGGGAAGCTTAATGGAAATAGTGGTTTTGGTTGTTGTAGTGACTTGACCAAGTTAGAAGTAGAAATGTGTGTGAGGAAAGGAAACGGGGACATTCAGAAATTAGTGAGGTAGAGTAGCCCCATGTGGTAGTAGGAGCATTGATTGAATATAAAACTTTTGAATTAAACACGATTTATCATAAAAAGTGAACAAGTTTTCACAGAAGAGAAGAGAATCGGAGTTATCTTGAAGGGCTCCGGCACTTAAATACTGCTCAGCGAATCGGATGGGATTGATTAGCAACTCAACTGAAAACAAACTTCTGCTGATGGCAGTACTTGGTGATAGGTTAGTCCATAAATATATGTCCTCGCCTTTTTATTAGAGCATATGTGTTGTCAGTTCATCTCAGGGCAACAAGAAGTTGTTGTGGAACTGCAATGCAGCACTAGACTGTCATCCATTTGGTTAACGTTTTCAATTCTTCTTAAAAAGCTTTCGCCACTATATAGACTGAGGATAACACTTCCTGTTTTCATTACAATGCTTCTACTACGTAGCTCTTTCTTTTTGTTTGCCTCATTTTGTTTTTGTGTATAAAAGATCGTTAAATGTTTTTTTGTTGTTGTTTACTCTGCTGTTCGTGTCAGAGATCAATTAATTCAATTAAATTATTTGATGGAGCACGGAGCGACAGATCAATGCGAAGCAGATGTGTACATTGAAAGCATGTGAGAAGCGTTTATTTGAGGAATTTTATGTATCTAAACTAAATAGTTTTGAATATTAGAACATAGTATACACGTATATATAGATAAGTCAAATACAATGTGTTTGTTTAATGTACAAGCTTAGATTATAACAGTATTTGGTATGTTCGCTCATTCCGGTGGAGTATTATCGTGAATCCATTCGGCGAAATGAGCCACAGAGGTGTAGACGCTGGGTATGCGAAGGCCGCCACAGTTGTCAGAGCCGAAGGACATAATGCCGATCTAATAATTAAATATGAATAGTAGAGATCAGAGATTGCTGAGGTTTTTCACTTACTTGGGAGTAAATGCCACTCTCCTGTATGAATAAAGGCGCACCACCGAATCCCTGGCAGACATCCTTACCCTCGCCACCGGCACACATCCACTGGCCCTCGATCGAGTTGGGTGACTCGAGGGCACCCGTCGAACCGTAGTTTCGCAAACAGAGATCCCAGCTGGTGAGCGGCACATCCAAATGCGACATCTCCGGCTGGCGAATGCTCGACGTGGACATCTTGCCCCAGCCGGCGATGGTGGCACGTTTCCCCACCACCAAGTTGGCGCGTGTCTTCTGCAAGCAGATCGGTTGTGTGGCCACTGAGGAGCACAAAAGACCAGAAAAGATCGATCACGTAAATAAATGTCAACCCTAATTGCAGTTTTGGGGTCATTCCAACTTTTATGATGGAAATTTTGTTTATTATGGACAAAAGAAAACAAATTCTTCAGCAGTCTGAAGGGGTATTCTTCAGTGCTACCTCATGATATTTCTTAATCGTTTACATAACGATTTTATCAGATTATTTCATAAAAATAATGTGCGGGTATTATTAAGTTATTCACCAATCACCAATCAAAGGTTCAATTCAATTCTTTTCCAATTTGAAAAGTTGTTTGTCTCTTTTTACCCACATTACACCGCTAATGGTACAAATTTGTAGCAACCATTAGGGGTTAAGCTGTTCAAAAAATTGGCTGCAACATTGTTGCTCCACACTTCGTAATCTATCTGTTGGCCATTGCACGTACGCCCATAATCCATTATAAAGCCATAAAAATAACAACAAACAGCATGTTGATCTCGAGTATTGGCAACGCCTCCAGACTTCCACACTACCAGTCCCCAGCGCAAAGGAGCTCCAATTTTTCTTCGTTTTGTTTTTTTAAGCCGTTCGTAATGTGTTGTTTACGAGCAGCGTACATCATGATTAGCGATTGAAACAGGCAATCGACGGCCTGCCCTTTCATTATTCTCTCGCCCGTTCCTGGCCACCCAAATGATCTCTGGCTGGCTGGCTGGCTGGCTGGCTGGCCCATAATGACTCCTATTTGTTCTGCCGCGTAATAATAATTTGCGCATTCTAAATTAATATCAAATAGCATGTAGTACAAATGAATTCATCTGAGGCATGTTTCGGATTATAATACACTACACACAACGGAATGGGTATGATGTCCTTAGCAGTTTGTTTGCAATAACTAAATCCTATTAAAATATGTGTGAATCATTATTGAATGTTAATTATTGTAGATCTCAAGATCAGAACTAATTTATCAATTATTCCTTCTTCTATATAGTATGAGCACACATTCTCACAAGCTTCTATGGAATATGAACAGAATTTGAAACTCTATATTTTTTATTATAAATCGAAAAAGATTATTTAAAAATTACTTATTTCACTAACTTCGAAAAACCCCGGAGTTTCTTTGATGAACAAAATTGATAATATTAATTATAAATAAATAATCTGGACAGAAAAAAAGTATACAGAAATTCCAACTGTAATTAGTGCAAGAGGTAATTAAGCAAATATTAGAAATTATTCTTGCTTTAAACTCAGCTCGGTCACTGTTAAGGTAATAAATAAATTGTATAGTATAACAGTACATTTTCTCGAAATAATTAACCTATATTAAAAGTATTATTGTCTGAATAAATTACTTTAATTTATAAAATGTCACATAGAGTATGAGCATAGAATTATTAGATTAGACAAATAGGTAATAAAATAAAAATAGGAACCCATGCGGGCCGAAACAAAAATTGAGTTCGCTAATAACTATAGGGCAGTTACAAGTTATCATCACTTCGCTTATCATATCCTTGCAATAAGTGAGAATAAGTGATTACTTCTGCATCTAAGAATACAAATATAAGTCTAAGCTCCTAGATTAAGCTGTATTTGTATTTTTCTATAAGTTTAATTTATGTTGTTGTAAATAATAATAGTAAAATTAAAGTCCTACATTAAAAAAAAAAGAATACAATACTTCTACTAACTACGGACATTTATCTTCTTCGCAAGCTACCGGCCATCAGTTCTCTATTAAGCACTTTGCTAGCTATTTGTGGCTATGGTCTCGTCTAACTAAAAGTGGATTACCATCTTAGTTAACAGGAGCTAGTTACCTCTTAAGTTATTAGTAGCTAGTTACCTCTTAAGTTACTAGTAGCTAGTTACCTCTTAAGTTACTAGTAGCTAGTTACCTCTGTATTTAACAGATGCCAGCAACTTATCATTTCCCGTTAGTATTTATCTATAACATAGTTATCTACGTAGTATCTAGGCAGTTATTCAATTACAAGAAGTTAACATTTTCCAGCTACTACGCACGTTACCCGTAGCTATCTATTTATAGGTGGCTAGCAATTCCCCTACTTACTAATAGCTTACTACTCCTTTAGTCAACAGTAGAAATTTCCTAATTAGTGAAAAAAACAAAAGTTTAAATGTCGTTTTTAGTGCTCGGAGTACAATTTAAAATTGTTGTTGGCCATCAATTTGTACAAAAATGATTCTACATTTCCGCCAACGTTATGGTTGAATGATGAGTTAAAGCATAATTTAGAACCATTTTTACGCTCTAATCCAAATGACAGTGCAAATGTTAAATCAAAAATATATATTTTGGGCAAAGAGCGTAATTCCAGTTCGTTAGCTGCCTCAGTAGACAGAGCAGTAGAGATCGCAGCTCAATGGCTCGCAATTAAATGTTCCCCACAACCTTAAATTAGCGGCATGCAATGAGCAGTTGACATTTTTGAACTTGGCTGGCGAGTGGGGGAACAAAACGATTTTTAATTTGCGTTGACACCGGAAAGCAGAACACGATTGCCTGCCCGCCCGCCAGCCCGCCAGCCAGCACTCCACCCACCTCCCCTAGCACTCGCACACACTTTAATTTGTACACTCACCCGAGTAGTTGAGCGGCGTTTTGAGAACCAAGAGCGCGATGTCATGATGATATTGGCCTTGCTTGTAGTCTGGATGGACGATCACATGTGAGATTGCGTGATTGACGGAGCGGGGGGCGCAGAAGCCAGTGTTCGCACAGTCCGGATCGCTAGAGGTATCGTACTCTCCCACACGTACCGAAGAGCTGCGAACAATTACAAATTGGCGAAAGTACAGATACATGGCCTAAGATAGGATCTCTATGCATTCACCACTTACAGTCGATGGCCATCGGCTTTGGCCAAAGCACAATGGGCGGCTGTGAGGATGACACGTCGAGCAATCACAGCTCCCGCACACGGATAGGCAAATGCACCCGTATTTATATCTAGGTTTTTCAAGTTAACGTTAAAATAAAGCAAAAGTTATCACCAAAGTTCTTACGTTTGAAGCCCACACGTGCCACAAAGGGATAGGAGCCAAGACCTCTGTAAAAATGTCCTTGCACCAAGGACTTGCCGCACACCTGGTTCTTCTCCAGTGGACTGCTGGGACAGCAGACATAAGGCATCTCCTCGCCACCGCCGCAGTAGAGCGACTTGTCGCCATAATAACAACTCTTGGCCACCTCGTAAATCATAGCCGTGCATTCATGGAGGGGTGTGCATTCGGTGCCAATCGAGCACTCCGACTGATGGTCATAGTAGGAGCGGCCGGCTACTGAATGATCCGAGCTGGCATTATACAACGATGCATCGCGGCGAGGCTGATCATAGCTGGGCGGTATCACTAGTTTTTCTGCGAAATTATTAACAATTTTTAAAATTTATTGCCCATTTATGAACCTATTACTATCTTCTTTCTCCTCCGAACTTTTCTTGTTCTAAATAGTTTTGTAAGCTCCCGTGTCTGTTGGTTGTGGACTAAATAAAGACAACTAATCAGTTTTTGCACCAACTTGCTTAAATAGTTGTTTAACTGCATCATCATCTTTCATACCTTTTTATAGTATAACCACACAACACCTTTTTATTCAGTGCTTAGTATAGAAAACCATCGGAGGAATTAAGTTGAAAACAATTTTTAAATATAAGTTAATTTAAAACAAAAATTGAACATAATTCAAATGTCTTTTAAAACAAAATTGATTATTTTCTTAATCAAATTTTTTTATTTTAAGCAAATCCTTCGAACTTGTGACTAAAAAAATAATAATAAAAAAAATGAAAGATAATATCTGAATAGAATATATACAAGTACATATAAATAATATGTACATATATTCAAAAATAGCGCTAATCAGCCATAATTTTAGATCTTTTATTAAAATTAACAAACTTTGAAGCTATAATTTGTAGAGGCATCGAAAATCGGAAAGGGTCTGATTCTTCGTAAGACTTTGATGTCTGACCAAATTTGTCGAATTAAATTAAATGCAAATTTCTAATTATGCTGGCAGTCAATAATGGGGACATAATACAAGTATATAAAAAAAGAAATGTACAAAAAAATATTTTCAAATCAAGAAATCAAAACTGAGAAAAAGTACATTCTATAAATGATTTCTGAGCTTGATTTTCGTCAAGAGTAGGTTTTCCTCAATAAGCTCTGCTTTATCTAAATATATGTAGAATATGAAAAAATACAAATGTGATTTACTTTGAAATAGTTGTCTTTTTAACCGCTTCCACAAAAAGGGAGAATGGGTGAACCGATTTAAAAGGTTTTTCTTATTTGAAATCTGGTGATTCCCCATTTCAATTTGGTTCTGTTCTGACAATGGCATCCATGGTGCATTTTAAAAACTAAAAACTGTTTCTTCAGAATCATCCTCGAAACATTATTTCACTTTAAATTACAAAAAGGCAATATTACTCGGACCATTTTTTTTTTTGTATTCCGAAGTCGTTTTTTTGTTTGTTAATATTTTACTTGTATCTATTCTTTTTTCATAGCAGAATTCTAAATATTTATTTAATTACTTAACCCAGTTAATACAAGAATGTAAAGTGCCACACGCAGCGCAAATGTTTGAATCATGACTCAGAAAATTTATGGTTATTGCATTACAACCGCTTTTTATTTGTAATGATTGTGCATTTTATTTCAATGGGGGCTGCATTATTATATTATTTATGGAATCTATTGTGCGCCACCATGCTGAGCTACATTATTTCCCACAGTGCTAAGTCTTTGCATAAAAAATAGGTCCCTGTCTCACTTAGACCACTCTTTGGTTCATTGTGATTGAAAGATATTACTATGTGAGGTATAGCTCTGATATCTAAAAAGTTCCACTTTCAGTTATGGCTGGGAAGTCGCATTCCACCAGAAAATAGAGATATGGTACCTCATCTTTAATACACTTTTGTAACATAATAGCTTTGTAATTATTTGGAAAAAAAAAGAAAAGTAAATTTTTATATATATCATAGTCATTCAGAAGAAGGTAGTAGTGATTAATCAAACAGACAGGTATTCATCTTTTTATGCTAATCATATAAGTTGACCTATTTATTCCATCTAGTTTCTGCAAACTAAAACACAAAAATCAATATAGACTCTACACTTTTCAGGGAAAGGTTGAAAAATATTTCAATTATTAAGACGCCGCATAATTTGAAAAGATTGTGACGCACAGATTATAGAATTATGATATGAAAATGGAAAAAATATTGTAAATAGTTAAATTTTCATTTTCGTTTGATGTTAGTTGCTGTCGTCTAGTTCTTGCTTAGTAAATAAATTTACACATTTGTTTCCCTCTAATATATCGGTACGTTAGAAAATACATCTAATTATTAGACTCTGTTTAAAGTGAGTCACTTCTTACACTTGTATAGATATATTTGCACTTGCGTTTATATCAGCATATAGCCTGTTCAACCAACCTACCAAAATCGCCAGCCTCTGTTGTGATGTATGCAAAAAAATTGCAAATTAAAAATATTCCGTAATATGATCGCATTGTTGGACCAAAAACACTTGCGCCTTTCTTCTTATCAATATGTATGTATTTGAAACTGAATTGCGTTTCTCGAACTTTACGTAACTCCCGTTTTTCGCGTTCTTCTCAACCTGTCGCGTTCACAAAACTTTTCCAACTAAACTTTGTCGGGGATATGCCACAAAAAGATCGCGCTGCCAAATGAAAACGAAATTATAAAGCCCAGGTGTGGGGCCATAGACATAAAGCACGATTTAAGCCGAGTCGGGCCGCCACATATACATACTATATGTATACATAGTACTGGTTATTAACTGATTTTTATGACAGTTTGGTCTCAATTTGCGACCATTTCCACGTTGTTGTTGGCTTGTATTTTAGATACAACAATATTTTTTATGGCTTTTGATAGCGGCACGCAGATGCCTCTATTTGTTGTTGCTGCGGCCACTATATAGATATAGGTATGGATATACATATATGGATTGCTACTGTCATTAGTTTTGGTTTTCTATGCGACAGCTTGCAGTTGTTACATACTCGTACATACATAAATATATGAGTATTAACTCTATATACATATATAACAATTGTCTAGCCTTAGAATGTGGTTAATCATTTATGTAGGTAAAAGCGGTTTGCATTTCATTTAAGCGGCTGAACAGCAGACGGCCCTAATGACGCATCCGATGCCCTGCACACACTAATTAAATATAGCGATACATTTGCATATATAAAGACTATTATACCCATTGGTACAAAAAATATTAGCGTGGGCAGAAAATTGTCATTCAGAATGCCGACTTAAAGAGCTCCATCATTTTAAGTGCTAACAATATTTTATTTTTTGAGGATAAGGCTAACCTAATTGGTAGACAAAATGTTATCATCTCACATATCGAGAAATATAGAAGCATATATTTTACTAACAATTTCCTACCTATTACAGTAATTACAATTATGTATCTGCTAAGTGCAATCGGCGCCTGTTGCTCAAAAATTTCAAAAAGAGCTGCCTAAAATATTTTCATTTATGTCCATCTATAAGGAAATATCCAGTGGCTTAGGAGAAAACTATAAAACCCAGTAAAACGACAAAATTGAAATATTTGGCATATTTGGCAACATTTGAAATATTTTTCATAAATATTTTGCACACAAGAAAAAACAATATTTACAATATATAAGAATATAATTTTGTAGATATACGTGTACATACATATATACATAGTTAGAAAACAATATAATCAGCGAAATATATGAGTATTGGAAGCGCACAATAAAACTTCGGTTGACTGAAGCTTTCTATGCGGCATTTATTTTTCATATGCAATTGTTTTTTTCTCTTGTTTTGTGGTAATAATAAAATGTTTAAATGAGATCATTTTTATTTGATAAGCGCCGTGCATTTCACTGTCCAAATGCTCGAGTGGCCGACTAAAGCCAAGCCAGTGGTTCCACTTTTTTAAGCAGGAAAACAAGCGCGACAAACGCACATTAAAACGATTTATACATTTTTTTGTTTTACGTACTTATACCTCTACATATGTATGTATGTACATAAGTGAGTTCACAAAATCATTTTGTAATTTTATGTGGGCCGTTTGGGCATTTTTATATAATGGCCAATTTTACTTTCATCGTTACTTTTTTTTGCGTGCGTTTAACGGCATTTACATGACCCAGTGGAAAATAATTTAATAATTTAGAATAAACAACAAGCATACATACATGTATGTATAGATGAACTCACACACACACACAGGAGCAGGAATATTGATAAACGTCACAATAGAACCAAAGAAATACGAGAAAAATTTATAACTGTTTTAATTTGGATCTGGCTCGCGTCCCGTCCCTTCCTCAATGCCAGAGAGCAGGGCCTCAGGGTCAAGCTCCTCCTCACTCTCCACCTCAGTACTAACGGTTGTTCTGTTACGCAGCTCTGCCAGCGCATTCCTCACGGCCTGCTGATAGCACTCACAATAGCCGGAGGGGCATTGTTCAACATCACTATCATCATAGTCATCGTTATCACCGCCATCGCTGCAGCAATCGCTGCCGTCGCTGCTTCCACTCCAGCCCAACAAACTCTGACCCCCACTGCTGGGCGCATTACACTGCATGGAGCTGCTGCTGGGGACGTTTGAGAGGGCCAGTTCATCAAAGTCATCCTCAATGATGTCGTAGAAGAACCGTGATTCGGTGTCGGAATGCAGTGGTGCCGGATAATTGGGCAGCACCTGACGGAAAACTTCGTAGCGATCGCGCAAGTCCGCCTCCACCTCGTACGGACATCGATCCTCAGTAGCCATCGAATGAAGCAATGAGTACATGAACACACGATTAGCAATTTGGCAATCGGGCAGCAGATTCGGCTTTTCTTTCGGACACATATTGCTGATGGATACCAGCAGCGGTTGTCTAGCATTCAACCAAAAGGCATTTCTGCACACTCACCTGTAAGGTGCCTATAAGAAAATCTAATAAGTTTACAAAATAATTTCACACACGAAAATTATCTCAACTGCCCAATAATAATAAAAATACAACTTGTTCCACTTCAAAATATATACATGATCTGTTATGTATGTCAATGAATTTGATTCCATAGCACACCATATGCGGAAGTCATTTAGCAAAATTGCCCATTGTACAGTTACGCAAAAAAGCCGTTATGACGTATAACAGTTTTAGGGCAGCTAATTAGCCGGTCCATCATTGAATAGCTGACATGCCAGAATAATTGACAAAACGAATGAAGGTGTTCCAATTCAATGGAATTGGTTCCGGGATTAGATATTTTAAAAAGATATTGGTACTGTACAAATCGTTACACTCTCGTTATGTGAAAACAAATAGTAGGATAAAATAAAAAACTTTCTATATACAGTGAAGGATGCTTGATAAGCCCAACAAATAAAAAGTGGAAAAGCGAAATCGACTTTGAAATACTCCGTACCTTTGTATGTACAAATGCATATAAAAAAAACAACTATCACTATGAAACTTTAAATACGGACGCATAAGCCGGAAGTAATTACCAAAACTGATTACAAAATTCCAAGAACCACTAATGCCGGAGAAAATGAAATAAATATAATACATAAGGCATCTGTGTGCAAAAATTGGTTTCTCTAGCTCCTATAATCTCTAAGATCTTGGTGCTCATACGGATGGATAGGGCTACTTGTACATCGACTCGTCTGATCAAGAATATATATAGTTTATGGGGTCTGCCACGCCTCCTTCTTCTTGTTCTACTGTGCAATTTGCACGAACCTATTATACTCTTAAGAAGGATTTTAAATAAACATAGGATAACAAATTTAAAAGTAAAAACAAATGAATAAAAAATATTTGTCCAATGATTCAAATTAACGAAAGTAACGTTATAAATTTAGTTAAATAATCGGCTGACGTCTAACAACCCTGAGAAGAAGAGAAACCCGACTCTGAAATTTCATTTATGTATATATCTAAACTTTACACCTTAAGTCCTCCTATGCTTAATTAACAGCAAGCCGAATGATTGACAAACAAAAGAGTTATCTAATTTACTAACAATGCTATAGCTTTCGAAATAGTTCAACCAACTTGAATTTCATGCCATACAGCTCTCTCAAACAATGGAAAGTTTACGGCATAACCGATATTTGAACCATTTATGTGTAGCTATTGCTTTTTCAACATGATCCCATCCAAGCAAATCTGGTTCCATTCTATACAACATTCAAGAAACTAGTAATTAATTGTTTAACCAATGTTTGGTTTGTTATCCAAGAATAATTGCATGATCTTTGACTAAACAAAGTATTTAAAAATAAAAGAGTAATTAAATGATTGTGGAAAGATTAGAAAAATCAAGGGCTGAAGAAAAAATAATGAATCAAACACCTCTGAAATGGGCCTAGAAAAGTATTTAGTATTATTTACTGTCTTGCCGAGGAGAGATACGATAACTACAATAAAACTAAAATTGGATGTTTTAACCACTTGCCAACGTTTTGGAACATTTATTTATCATCTTTTAATCTTGTTTCGCGTGGTTTCTAATATTGTTAAAAGACAATTGTGTATGAATTTCCATTAAAATAGTTCACGTACTAAAAAAAAATCATATTTGTAAAATTCTTATTGTATGTGAATGTAAAAATGGCTTAAGAGCTACAAAAGTAAAACAAAACATCATACAATGCATAAATAGCATTGATTTAATAAATATTTATGTGGGACTATAAAGTACAAATAATAATTATGAATTTTATGCAAACAGGAATAACAGTACGTATACATCAAAGGGGAATCATAAACGCAGACAGAATGGAATAAAGTATTGAATGCCTTTAGGGGGTTTAAATATTCAAAAATACAGTAATGGGGCAATGGTCACTGCCCATGCACTGACTACGGATGCAGTTGTCCACCACACGGGGAAGGAACCGCTCCGAGACGATGCAGTAGTCGAGACGCCAGCCCACGTTGCGGGCCCGGGCATTGGCCATGTAGGTCCAGAAGGTGTAGGCTCCGGTGCGTTTCGGATACAAATGCCGGAAAGTGTCGACATACCCGAAGCCGAGCAGTTCGGTCATCTTGTCCCGCTCCTCCTTGGTGAAGCCGGCGTTGCGTGTATTACTCTTTGGATTGGCCAAATCGATTTCCAAATGCGAGACATTCATGTCCCCACAGATGACCACCGGCTTGAGTGCGTCCAGTTTTTGTACATAGTCCTGAAACAGCTTCTCCCAACGCATGCGGGGCTCCAAGTTAACGAGCTTACGTCCCGAATTCGGCACATAGACGTTTAGCAAATAAAACTTTTCATATTCGGCCGTTATCATGCGACCGACATCGTCAAACTCTTCGTTTCCAATCCCATATTCCACATGTATGGGCATAATTTTGCTGTAAATAGCAACGCCCGCATATCCGCCCGGCATGCACAACCAGTAGGGATGGTAACCGGGCAAGCGAACCACCTCCTCAGGCAGCTGATCGTTAGCGCACTTCGTTTCCTGCAAATAAATAGTAGATTTAGAAGCACATTCTTCCAAAAAATCCGAACTATGCAGCTTCTCCAACGCCCGAGAAAGTCCAATAAATTGTATTTAGGCGGCAAAATGATTCGAACGCATTTGCCTAAATTAAAATGTTTATATTTAACAATTCAATTAAAAAAAAAAATTAAAAAGAAATTAAAATTTCATCTGTTGGAGTAGATGTAATACCAAACCATACCAAAAAATACCGTTTTAAAATACCGCCCTCCTCCGCGATTCTCATACGAAGCACCTAAGCAATGCAATTTTAGACAACAGATGGCAGATTTAATACCGCTTTTTTAAAAAGTACTGCTTTTTTTAAAATACCGCCCTCCTCCGCGATTCTCATTGGAAGCACCTAAGTGAAGCCCCTTGTACCTACATCGCCACTGCCCGGGCCCGCAAAGTGTGACGTTTCGGACTGTTTTCTTCCCCGTGTGGTGTACAGTTGCGTCCGTAGGCAGTGACCATTTCCCTATGAGCGACCATCACTGTGCTTCTCATATTAATAGCTGATTAATAATAGTAATAGTAAATATATATTTGATTGAATTTTAAATATCGTTCACATAATTAAAATTTGACACCTATCTTGAGGAGAAATGAGTTGGCTACACATTACGATTGCACCTCAAATAAATTGACTTACAAACGTATACCTCGATGAATCAGGCAGCTAAGATAACTTAGATATGGCAAAAATAACAACATAATGTGTCCAGATGGGCGAAACTTACAAGATCTGACTCAAAGCATTATGTAAAAACACTCCTACCATTCGCTTACCTGCATGCAAAATATATCCGGCTCCTCATACTCTAGGAACTTGAGACCATCTTTCTTAAGCCAAGCCCGCAATCCAGCTACATTCCAGCTAGAAATTTTCAAATTAAACTCCTTGCCCTCCGGCACTGCGAAATGCGCTTCATTATAACTATTGGCTGCTGGAGCCGTCTCCTTTTTCGCCTTGGACGCTGCAAAACAAAAGTTAAGCACATTTTGCAAGCTTTTCAATACCGTTCCCCCACAGCTGGTTTCTGCCAACGTACTTTTCGAGGTGTCTGCTGCCTCGCCGTCGTCTTCATTGCCGTTGGCTAGATTCTGGTCCGGTTCAACGGCAGCACGTTTGCGACCACGAGCTGTAAAATTGCCGAAGCTTGTTATTGGGCGTCAACTAAATGAGTGTTCAAATAAAATGCCTACCTGGCTTGTTTTCTTGCTCAACGCTTTCTTTGGCACTGGTCACCTTTTTGCCACGCTTCTTAGGAGCAGCTTGTGCGGCTTCGGCTCCTTCTGGTGCCTCCTGCGGCTCCTCATTGCTGGCCGTCTTTTTTGTGCGCTTTTTAGCTGCCGCCGGCTCAGCAGAGGATTTCTCTTTGCTGCTCTTTGCTCTCTTCTTGGTTGGTTCTGGTTCTGTCTCAGATTCTGGCTCTTCCTCCAGCACATCGGTTATATCTGAGTCGGCCAGACGCTTTCCGACGCGCCCGCGTGCCTTTATTGTTTCGCCCAAAGGCTCAGCCTTCTTTGTTTTGGGTTCCTTTTTGGCTCGCTGCTTAACTGGCTCAGTAGCTTCGGCCACACCATTGGTTTCTACAGTCCCTTCTGCCACTTTCTTCTCAGACTTCTTTGTTTTGGGTTCCTTTTTGGCTCGCTGCTTAACGGGCTCAACAGCTTCTGCCACACCATTGGCCTCCACAGTGTCTCCTGCCACTTCCTTCTCAGCCGAGCGCTTGGAGCCGCGGCCGCGTGGTTCAGCCGCAGCTGCCACCAGTTCGGGCACGGATTTGGCGGATTTTGCAGATTTGGAAGTACTTGCTGCCGTTACATTTTTGCCGCGTCGCTTGACCGGTTTTACCAACACTTCATTCCCTTCACTTCCGTCTTCATCCCCGGCGCCATCACCGTTAGCATGCACCACTGCCACAGGAACCTCTTTCTTTTTGCGTCCGCGTGATTTCGGCTCTTTGACAGTCGCTGCATTTTCCACCTCCTCTTCCGCCACTACAGCCGGCGTCTTTTCTTTTTTTGAGCGGTCTTTAGTCGACAGTGGCTCTACAGTTGCCACTGTAGGTGTCTTTTTAGCGCGTGCCTTGCCATTTTTTGCAGGCATCGGCATTTTAGTCTCAGCATCTGCGCTGCCGGCATCTATCAGGGACTGGGACTCAGACGCCGGTTGTTTCTTTGATGCCTTAGCGCGCGGCATTTTCAAGGTATTTTTTTCTTCTTTTATTTACCTGAAATATTGTGTGTATAACTATTTTCGGCTGCAGTTACCGCCAATCTAGACTCACTCTCCAGACGTTTCGCTGGCGTCCAAATCCGAGCTGCTGACAAAACTCACTGCGCGCAAAGAAGCCGCCAAATAGGGATGTGACTCTGCCAGTGCTAATAAACACCCTACAAACGAAGGCTAAATTTGCCAACACCGCCAACTTAAGTCTGGCAGCCCTCGTTGATGAATCTTGCACAAAATAGCGACCCCGCTGTCGTATTTATTTAAATTTTCGTCTATAAACAATTGCTTTTACCAATCAAATTCTCTGTAATTAGACTAATGTGCAACTAAATTTAAACACACACCACTGAAGTTTAACAAAGGACGAATAAATAAAGCATAAAAACTACGGCCAAAGAAAAGGAGACGCGCGTCATTTGTTCGCACAACAAAAATAGCATTACAAAAAAATGCCAAGCGAAATAATTACTCTGCAGCTTGGCCAATGCGGCAATCAAAGTAAGTTTAATTTTCTCCCAAACGATCACAAAAATGCCCATTTTCCCATTTGTACACTTTTCCCTAGTTGGCTTTGAGTTTTGGAAACGCTTGTGCCAGGAACATGGAATATCTCCGAGTGGTGTGTTGGAGGATTTCGCCACAGATACGAATGATCGGAAGGATGTGTTTTTTTATCAGGCAGACGACGACCATTACATACCCCGTGCAGTCCTTTTAGACCTTGAGCCGCGCGTTATAAACACTATTATGGGTTCAGCCTATTCCAAGGTGCGTACCTTTTAGATTTAAAAGAACGATTTGTTAATAAGAGTTATGTCCGTAGCTTTACAACCCAGAAAATGTGTATTTATCGAAACACGGTGGCGGTGCCGGCAACAATTGGGCTTCAGGTAAATACTCATACATACATATATATTTAAAAAATAACATGAATAACATCGGACCTGCAGGATATAGCCAAGGCGACAAGCTGCAGGAGGAAATTTTCGATATTTTAGATCGCGAGGCCGATGGCAGCGATTCGTTGGAGGGTTTCGTTCTCTGCCATTCCATAGCCGGTGGCACCGGATCGGGTATGGGCTCGTTTATAATGGAGCGTCTGGCTGATCGCTATCCAAAGAAGCTCATACAAACGTACAGTGTGTTTCCCAACCAGGACGAGATCAGCGATGTTGTGGTTCAGCCCTACAACTCCATGTTGACGCTACGCCGACTTACCACCGCCGCGGACAGTGTCGTTGTTTTAGACAACACTGCACTGAACCGTATTGCCGCCGATCGCTTACACATACCAAATCCAACATTTACACAAATTAACACTTTAGTATCGACCATAATGTCGGTAAGCACAACCACGCTGCGTTATCCTTCGTACATGAACAACAATCTTATTGGGTTAACGGCCCCATTGATACCCACACCCCAGTTACATTTTCTCATGACTGGTTACACGCCGTTGACTGGCGATCCGGACATAAATAGTCACGTAAGTCCGTCTCACGCCCTGCTAAAATGAGTTATTTAACTTGGAAGTTTTATTACACAAACAGCAACATACAGTCAACGTGCGCAAGACCACAGTGCTCGATGTTATGCGTCGCTTGCTGCAGCCAAAGAATATGATGGTGTCGACTGGTCTGGACAAAACCAATCACCACTGCTACATATCCATACTGAACATAATTCAGGGTGAGGTTGATCCCACGCAGGTGCACAAATCGTTGCAACGAATACGCGAACGCAAGCTGGCACAGTTTATACCTTGGGGTCCGACCTCTATACAGGTGGCACTGTCGCGCTCATCACCCTATATACAGAGCAATAGTCGTGTGTCCGGGCTCATGTTGGCCAATCACACCAGTATCTGTTCGCTATTTGAGCGAGCGCTCAACCAGTATGACAAGCTGCGTAAACGTGGCGCTTTTCTTGACCAATTTCGACGTGAGGACATTTTTAAGGATGATCTGAGCGAGTTAGACGAATCGCGCGATGTGGTCGACTGTCTAGTGCAAGAGTATGAGGCGGCTACGCGTATGGATTACTTGCAGTTCACGGCTAAGCGCCATACCAAAACTTATGGGGCAGGTGATAACAAATCAGAGGAGAGCAAATCCACAGAAAATCTGCCCGTCTAAATTCTCATATTAACGTTTGCCATACGCGTGCCATTGTTGCTCGAATACATTAAAATTTTATTCTTGAGACCTGGGATTCGAAATCCTTAAAAAATTGACTCATCTAACTAATAATCGTATTAAGGTATACAAATATATATAAACATAAGTTTATGTCTGTTTTACTGTCAACCAGTAATGCTGTACTTTTAAAAAGTTGTTCTTTTTGTGCTAATAAAGTCAAAATGTCTAAAGCTGCTTTTGTTGGATTTGGCATTATCTGCTATTCCAGAGCATTTACCTAATGAAGTTTTTATAACAAAGGAAAATCTTTCCGGAAATGACGTTTCTTTGATTCAAAAAATTACATTTTTAAGACGAAAAAGGCAACATTTCACAATTGTGATGGATTTATCTTAAATTTTTAGCCAGTATTTATTGCTAGATCCACATGTTTGAAATATCCAATAATAATTTAAACTGCACTTTGACATTTAATTTTCCGATCTTATAACAGTTAACCCCGCCAGGGAGTCGCAGATCACACTTCAAACATATCGATATATGCATATCGCAGAAATCGCTACGATTAAGCGATAGTTTTTTCACCGACCGTTATTTTTAAAGATTTTACCAACACCTACTAGTGGGATAAAAACTATATTGCATTCGAAATGTATCCGCATCTCAGACTTTAAAGCAGTGTTTCCATTCATGGGGATCCGAAGCCAAAAACTTCACTTCCATTAAATTACCCATACTTTTTTCCTTAAACTATAGAAATAATAGACAACAGATATCGTTTTAACATAGTGCAAATTTATTTTTATTAAGAGATTTTTTTTTCTCGTTTGTATTCTCTTCGTAATAAATAATACTTTGTGTTTTGTGGATGTATGAGTGTGTCGTATGTGTGTAATACGTATAAATATCAGTTAGCACTTATCATAAAATAAATATTTAGCATACGAGTATAAAAATATTCGAGACCCTTTACTACAAGAGAGACTTGTGTTGCTGGTCGTGAGTTGCGTTCCACAATTGGGTCTATAAATCCTGTTCAAGTGGCATAAAATAGTAAATACAAATTACTAAACATGGATTACAACAGATATATATCTATATATATATAAAACTACAGCGACTACAGCACAGCTCTAAAATCAAAATCCGTACTCATTAGACTTTTACATTAACATGCAACTCTTCACGTCTCTCTCTCTCTCTCTTCTCTTGGAGCACACATAAGGCATATTCAACTTGTACATATACATACATAGAAACATAGATCTACGTCTGACTGACTCTATATGGGTGCGAAGCAAATAGTGGAAGGCAGCAATTGCCGACCGTATCTCCTTTTTAGAGTTTTGTGGTGCGCCTGATAATGGCAAAGGACATCAAGGCATGCTCTAGGCGAATGTGATAGGGTAGCTTGGGTTCGACAAGTGCCTCATCCATACTGCCACAACACTGGGCACGACAACACTCGCAGTTCTCGCTCTCCGACTCTTGCTCGACTTCCAGCTCATAGGCCTTCTTCGCCGCTCGCTGCTCAATGCGCAAATAAAGGGCTAGACAAACAATGAACATGCAGACCAAGGCGCACATTGCACCGCTAGCTATGCTGGCCTTCTCGAGCATGGGCCGCGGTCGTTTGGGCAAATAGGAGCCATCGATCTCCTTGTACTCGCAACGCTGGCCCATAAACCCGGTGGCGCATTCACAGCTATAGACGGGCAGTTCGCCAATTTTCACAGCAAAGCAATGGGCATCGTTCAGACAGTACCAGGCATCGAATGTTTCGGGACACTTGTATGTGGGGAATGTAATGTTGGGCCTTGGCGTAGTCGTTGTGGTGCGCACTGTTGTGGTCGTTGAGATGATTGAAGGTGCCTGTGTTGGTGGCAGCAGAGTGCCGGACATTGAAGATGAAATTGAAGGACGTGCCTTTGGCACTGTGCGACTGGAGCAAGCCAAAGTCGGAGAGCATAGGCAGCCAAGGAGAACGGCTATTGTATACATTTGTAGTTTTTGGTACATGTTGTTGCTCTGCTTATAAAATACTGTTGTTCTTCTGTTTGTGGAATGCATTTTACAAATGTGGAGTAGTTGGTTGGTTGATTTTGGTAAAACTTAGCTTATTTGGTTAACAGTTCTGCAGCAATTTAAAAACTTAACTTAGAAGCACACATCACGTTACGTTACAACTATAAACAATTATCTGCTGCGAGGCGTCAAGTCGGCTCTTTGGAATCTTTCGTGGAACGTATGGGCGGCGGCGGCTGCGTATCTGTGAAAAAGATAAAGTGCATATATAAGCGGAAAAAACTTGTCTAGCACATCACTAAAAGAAAAATGCTAAGTGTACGCGCATTGGCAGTAAGTTTTGAATAAGTTGTATGAAAAATTTGAAGAAAACTTTTCGTAAAAAACTCATATGAGTATGATTGAAAATTACATCTATAGAAATATGGTTAAAATTTTAACTAAAACGTTTTTTGCTTGTTATATAGAAGTTTTTTAATGCTTCACTTTTGAATTTTTCTATCTTGCTTTTAATTTACACCAATTCGACATGATTTATGTTGTATTCCGTTGATTATCCTAGCTCATCAAAGCTGGCTGTGATATGCGTCGGGTATCCATATCACAACCACTTGATGAGGCTTAGATAAGCAACATCATGGATCTGTTCATGTTATTGTTGCAATTTTTGTTGACTAGATGAGACACGGCATTAATTTAGTTTATGATTCCGGTGCTGGTTTGTGGGAGAGGTGAGGGGTATATGACAGCTGATTGATGTACTTTACATTACGCTAAGCTCATCAAAGCTGGCTGTGATATGCTCATTAAGCTTCAAATGCATTTCACAACCACTTTGTGAGCGCAGCATGAATGTGCCAATATATGGAGGAGAGAAGACAAAAAGACAGGGAGAGTTTGGTCAAATTTTGTTTGATCATTAATAAAAATCATAATAAGTATGCACTTGTGAAATGGTTTTGTTTGTTTTTTACTCGTAATATATGTATATTCAGTAATTCATTTGACTTACTTTTGACTTTTTCTGTTTCGTTATAATTTTAACTATTTTAGAGCAGTTTGACATAATTGGTTGTACAATTAAAACGCGAATTCATTTAAGAATTGGTCTCGTCAATATTCTTTATCACTTTCGTCTTGAGCATCGCGTCGCTCCTCAAAGCTGGCTGTGATATGAATAGGTATAAAAAGGGAAACATTTCACAACCACTTTGAAGAATGACACAATTCTCCTGTCCCGTTTTATTTTTATATTTTCAATTTAGAGGGTATCGTTTGTTCTCATGACCTAGTACGGTTAGTCTTTGATTTTGCATAAATAATAAATAGTAAAAAAAAAAAGAAAGAAAGACAACAAAAGACAAAAGCAGCAGTGCTTATAAACATGACTGACGTTTGCTATGTGGATTTAGCGAGGCGGTGATGGCACTAGGAGATTGTAATAATTCGTAATAACATGTATGTTTATATGAATTTTTTTTTTAATAAGCGAAAAGGTGCCGTTGCACTTTCTCATCTAATCTGACGCCGGCACCAATTTGTCGCCAATTATGTGATAACAAATATGACAAAGACAAATGTCAAAAAATAGCATAAAAAACATTTAAAAAACATTTCAAAAACACATAAAACAATACAAAAAATCATTAAAAAGCCAACAACATTGAGATATATTTACAGTTAGCAGCAGTCGCTTCGCTTGATTGACAAAATGTATTGTGACGTCAAGTGAGCCGGCTACTGAGTCGGTGGCTTATTAAGATTTCCGTTATAAAAATTGAATCCGCCAGTTCTTTTGTATGTATGCGAGAGGAAGAAGCCAGCACATACAAAAATGAAAATAATAATAAAAAAGTTGAATAACCACATAATTTGCGTTGAACCTGCACGCGCGTAGGTCAAGATCAACGGCGTTTGCTTTTTGGCGCCGCCCTATCAGCGGCAGCAGCAGCAAAAAGCATACCAGAAGGACAAGTTCATCGTCTTTCGTTGTGAATTCCAGCGACAAAACCTAATGAGGGCATTCCTGATTACTATTTAAGAATCTATTTAGATTTGGGTGATTAGCTTTTCACATAAAAATTCTTTAATTCTTAAAAGCAAGTCAAACGTGGACATTCCGTCCATTGTTTAAATTTGGAACAGAATCTTAAATAACAACCAATAATACTGTTAATGCAGTGCAGCCAGGTGGCAGCACTACACTATACTACATGGTAGTGCTGTAAAATTCGAAAATGCGAGCGCGCTTAATTAGTCGCCAATGCATAAACTATGATATATGAATTACACACACATTCTACATACGACGTGCAATAAAAACAATAATATGGCACAAGTACCACATAAAGGAAAAATTATAATAAAAAAGTAAATAAATACGCATACATACATGACAATTTCCCCCTCGTAATTTCCCGCTTATAGTACTGCAGACTAGCCGGCCGCTGTGGCGTTGTCGCGTAAGCCGTTCGTTCGGGTCGTTGCCGTTTCGCTGCTGCTGCTACTCTCTTATGCTTTGGATGTTGTTGGTATAATTTTCATCATGTTGCCTTGCGCTGTTTCATTCTTGGGCGTCGCTCTACACTGTCGAGGAGTTCGTTGCTCGTTGTGTGTTAGTGTATGTGTGTTTAGAAAACTGTAAGAAAAGCAGTGTGTGAAAATTATGTTGAAAGCCGAATACATACATATGTACATATACACACGTATACACACAATTAAACCAACGATGTCTTTTTCAAAATATTACCGGTTTTTGTGTGTGAAGGAAGGGAAAAAAAAACAACGCAAAAACGAGTCTTACAAGTTTTTGTTTTGCTGCGACACTGTCTGTCGTCTCCTATCCAAATTTAGCAGCCTCAACAGCCACAAACAAAATGTAAGGTTGTGTGCGTGCGTGTGAGTTCAAGTGCATGCGTTTGTATGTGTGTTTATGTCTACACTCACGCGGAGAGCACAAACAAATTTTTTGACGATTGCGACTCTTTAATCGTGCTTCTGTGTCCATTTCTATATGTACGTATGTATGTTTTTTTTGTATGTATGTGTGCGTATGCGCGGGAATGTTGTCAAGAATTCTAAGAATTTTGCAGAGCGGGCGCACCGCGCCTAGTTATTGAAACAGCGTCTCGTGCGATACTTGGTGAAAACACATGCTTTATTTATAAATATTATTAAGATAAAACCATTTTCCGCGCCCAAAAATAACATTTAATTCCAGAAATTAAACCGCACATACAAACAAGAACAAGGCTTGTGAGGGCGTAAGCAACTTTTTCTTTTTCGTTATGATTATATTCCATAAAACTTTCGCTCTTTTCTTTTAAACAAATAAATATTAAATAAAAAATAAACGTTGATTTTAACCAACCAGAAAACTGCAACATCTTAAAACGCGACCGCATCGGAAACACTTCAAAAGACAACTGCCAACTGCAAAGTCGTTGCGCAGACGGCGACGACGTCGCGAAGAGTAGCCAGACTGTTGCAACGCGACGACGACCACTCTTGACTCTCTCTTTTGTATTGAAGGCGGCAACATTGCAGACTTTAAACAAGAATGGAATGGTACTCGCAGGTCCGACTTTAATATACCCTACCTGCGGTTCGGCAATTAAACCAATACTTACAATTTTAATCGAATTTAGAATTCTCTGTGAATTACAACACAAACTCCATTACTCTATGGCCTACATAAGCCCTACTGCTACCGAATTATTTAATTTTTTTAATAGAAGAGTTTAAATTTTTTGCATGTCGTTATCTGTCGTTGACTTTTACGACCCAGAAGTGATGCAACACCATCTAGTATGAAAACATTCTGAATGTGCAATTTAATTGCAATATTTTCTTGCTGTTTTGATCGCATTTGTACCAATAACATGTCTACGATGCTTCCTTATGGATGTTACAAGCATATACAACAAGAACAACGTACCCTTGCACTTTTCAGTGAAGGGTATAAAAAACAGCAACAGCATCATGAGCAACAACAACTGTATACAAAGCGGCTTGAGCTTGTTTTGGTACTCCCAGAAGAAGGTTTCGCACGCTGTAGGATCAACATGTTATTAACACGCCGAAGCCGTCGCTGCCGCCATCAAACTAAGTTCGTTGGAGCAAAAAGTACACAAACAAGAAGCGACGTAGGCGGTGGTGGTAACAAGCAGGTAGCCAAACGGGACGAATAACAACTACTATGAAGGGGACGCCATCGCACAGGATGAAGCCGAGGCAGAGACAGATACAAAGAGACATCATTGCCGTCTTCTGCTGGATTGGGCTTTTTTTTATTTGCAAATTCGTGGAACGCTGGTTGTGCCGACTGGATGATGCGCAAGCGCGCACGTAAACAACATTCCTCAATACTTTTAATAGACATCGCCGCAGGGGCGCTGGTGGTACACGGTGTGTGGAAATATTATTGCGGTCTGTATTAGTGACTTGGACTGGGAGTTCTTAATCGTGCGCGCCAAAAAGAAAACGAAGCCTTATACGCGCGTAAATTTTTGAGCCTTCCTTGTCGTTAAGTGTTGCCATATGGCCCTTGAGACGGAGGCCTAACAATATCCGGTATATTTACCAAATGCCATTATTTAGGAAAAAAACCTCTTCTGAACATATTTTTGGTTTTAACATTTATTTCAAATTCCTTGATTTCTAAATTATATATTTGCATACATACATAATATGTACATTCAAAACGCTTCTTCAAAAATGCTGCCGAAACAAAAACTTGCTATTTTTTTTTTTTGGGATAAACTAACCGATTTCATTTTTGACAAGTTGCAATTAGATTTAAAACGTAGATTTAAGCACACACATTTTTTCTTTTGGAAGAAAAAAAATATACTTAATATGGTTTCCTCTATACCATAACTAAATATCGAATATAATCCAAATATTGAGCAGTGAGTAAATATTATGACCTCTTCATATATATACATAAGCTGCCAGAGCACGCTTGCCACTTTGGTACTCATGTTCTGCCAGAAAAACTGCTGGTGTGTGAGCTGACCATTAAGTATGTATATATTTTCATTTTATAAAACATTTTGAACAACAAAAAACACTTGACACAGTGGCAACGCCAATGAAACAAAACTGAAAAAAGAAATCAATAAAGAAAAAAGGTCATGCACAAAATTTCAGCCGCCTGATTGGGGCTGGGTCGTCTAGTCTGTCTGGGTCGCAGTCTGGCAGTGCAAAATTGTAACGGTAATTGCTAAAGAAACTCACTCTCTTAAACATACAAACACATACATTATTTGCATGCTGATCTGTGTAGAGTTCGACGGCCTTCTTACGTAAAACAACAACAAAAAGAAGCAACTTTTTATTTCTTGAGCTAACTTAGCAAACAGGGTACGGGGGGCTGTGGTGGCGTTGCCATACCGGGTGCGGTAGCTTACACACACACAAACACCGGACCGGCCCGGCCTTTCTCTCTGTTTGTCTTTGCAACTGTACAAGAAAACGACACGAAAAACTACACAACTAAAAAGGCCACAACAGCAGCAACAACAAAAACAGTGGAAAAAAAAACAACCAACACGCAGACGCCAAATTGAGCGGCATAGTTAGCCCCGCCAGCGACGCCCCCGCTGTCTGTCTGTCTGTTTGTCAGTCTGCCTGGCCATATGTGTATGCGTGTAGGTTTTTATTTTTCTGAATGTAAAAAGGAAGTGGCACGTACTGTACTAGAACACAGTCCGCTACCGACGCGACGGTGGCTGCGAGAGAGGGAGAGAACTCTGTCAACGTTCCACTGCCAATCGTTCCTAAGCGCACACGGGTGGGCAAGACAACTCAAAAAAAAAAGAAGCATAGCACAGTGGGACGAAGAAGGAAATTTTCTGTAAACATATCCATAATAAGGGTAGCTCGGGCTATTATGAAAATAAATTTTTCATGTGTACATCTCTTACATGATATAATTGAAATTTTGAAAGTAATTAATTTAAGCTACAGCAATACTATTTTGACATACATAATCTTTGAAAGAATTATCCATTATATCATTTACACAGTAAGGCTCATAAGCACATAAATAAGCCAAATGTAGGAATTGCGAAACAATATTTTTATCCTACCACCACAAAATAGTTATAGTTATAGATACATATCTAATTTTTTTAAATTTACCATAACTAAATAATAATTATAGTAAATGAATAAAAATATTCTTATTTGTAAATGGTCTAATAAATATATTCGCCTATTAACCGAATGTAGTCCCACTGTTCAGACTGACAAGTTGGTTTGTTTAAGACGAGCAACGACCGAAGCTACAGCAAGAATTGCAGATGCAAGACGAGAGGGGGATTAGCATGTGTGTGTGTGTTTGTGACTGATGCGTTTAAAAACAGGAAATGGAATTTACGAATACAACAACAGTGATGATACTTAATTGACAAATATACGCGAGAGCAGCTCAGAGAGTAAAAAATGTTATTGAAATCAATAGTCGTTGAGCAAGTGTGCATGTATAACATATAAACATTGATGTATGTATGTGTGCGAGAGAGCGAATGGAATGTGTGAAAAACGCGGCCAATGACGGCAACGGCAATCAAATGACGCTGCCGTTTATATTTCTGCGTCGGCCAAGAAGAATGTTGAATTCTGGAATGTCGTCGAAAGTAAAGTTGTTGTAGTCGTGGAGACTTTGACTTATTCTTCAATGCTGTTAGAGCTGTGCACCTGACAGTTTGGGTCATCATGATGGCAGCTGTGCTTGTTTTTTCTGCTGCCGGTCGCCCAACAACTTCCGGCTCGGCTGTATATCAAAATTATAACATGTTTCCTTCCAATTACAGACAATGTGTATACACATGAATAAATATGCATGTGTGTGTATATGTAAATAGCCGTAGTAGTATAAGTAGTGCGGCGTAATTGCAGATGGCGACGCCAGCGTGTGTAGTTTCTCGGATATGGGCAATGAATGAAATTTTGTTGTCTTCAATTTATACGCTCACACAAATGCATACATACATATTCACACACACTCACACATTAAAGAGACCGCATAATTTGGAGCAAGAGAGAAAGTCTACAATACGGCGGCGTTATGCGCATACTCATGTTGCCAACGGCGAGTAAAATTGTTTACTTTCTAGTTTCCGCTGTAAGCACACCTAGACTTCAACTATTTAAATGTTTTAAAGAAAAACATATTAAAATAATATAACTTAAGAATACACCGAACTAACCTACATTAATAAGAGAAAAAATGCGCTAATTCCACCGTCGAATTGGCAACGCTATCTCAGCGAACTCTCCGCATTAAAATAAACAAAACTTGCGTTCGACTCAACTGTATTGAGCAAATACTAGTCGGCATATGAGGAAAAGAGATAGCTATACTAAAAAAAAAAACTGTATGTCTTGTGGAGGAACTCATGCACGCATACATGCACACACAAATATACACGCGCAAGCGTATTTTTCTGCAGCTACTGCGTAAAAATCGTCTTTCTTACCCAAGCCAAGCGTTTTGAATTGCAACTTACATGCTTAGGCAACTTCTTTTTTCACAATGTACGTCTTAATGTTTTTTCAACAAATTTAATTTAATTTCGTTTTAATTTAACCTCTTTTTCCCGAGCAAAAAAATTTTGCACTACGCACGGTTGCAGAGTACGGCACGCAACTAAATTGGGGATGTAAAAACACATCGATATCAAAAAATTAAAATCGATATCATAGCGGCGTGAAACGAATGTTTTCAATGTATTTCCGAATATCCGGTATTTTTTAATCATCGTTTTTAATTTCCCTTTATTATATAATTATTAGAAAATACTAAAACTTTGGGGTTTGGATTGAAAATGATTATATTTATGAGTGTAAATGAGCTGTATTCACTTTTTTCCCCAATTTTCCCAATACCATTTTAATAGTTTGGTTTCTTGAGCTTAAATCGCAAATTATAAACAATAGCGTTTTGCCATTGCCAACTGCAAGATTTGCAAAATATGTTAGTTCTCAAGAGAATTATTTTTAAATAAATTGAAATATAGGATCTGATTTCGAAGAACGCAATGACTTAAAATCCATTAGCTATGGGCAGTACATTTAACTGCCGATTCAAAAAATGTCGAGTCTATCGATAAAATTGCGCCCATTTGTTGTATACACATTTCAAGGCAACTCTGACGCGTTCTCTTTCAAAACAAGCGGCAAACGTTCACAACCACCATAAAGGCACGATCCCGATTCGCGACTTGTGCTACATTTTCGTTCATATTTTCAGTTTTGGATAGTAAAGTTGAGTGTTTAAATAAAAAAAACATACATTTCATATAATGGGGGCCAAGGCTACAAAGTTAGACGGAACATACTTACCAGACACACCAACTTTAAACAAACTGCGCATTGTCAGCAGAGAAAAGGACGTGACAGGGATAAGCACAGGTGAAATGGAGCCTAAAGATCCTCGTTCACCCAGCGGCTGCCGCACTCCACTTAATGTGAGTATAGAAAATGTACGCTTTTTGCGCGTAGAGTTAATAGAGTTATGTCCTGCTGTAGTTTTTGCTGCCACCACAGCAACCGCAGCCTGTCGCTCTTGTTGGTCGGAGTGAGACTGCATTTTCGCAGCTGCGTAAACGCTTGCTTAAAGGATTTGCTTTGAATGATCCGCGATCGCCGCAACTAAATCGCACACCGCTCGTTTTTGATGAAGCCATTGATCGTACGCTAAATATGGATGATACGTTTGCCGATCTCTTTGTGGATACGCGAGCACCCAGCGCCTCAAGCTCCAACTCCAACATGATTTCAGCTAATGGTGAAGCAAAGAACGAAGTGGAGATGGAACTGCGCAATTTGTCAACTAGCAGTGAAGTTTTTTCCACGCCTTTATCACATAACAACAGCTCATTAGAGATCGCGTCCATGACCTGCGATGAGGATGCAGCAGAGGAAGCTGCTGAGCGGGCTCCACAGCCCCAACTACCTCCACAACAGATATACGATCCACGTTCACCCAGCATTGGGGTTGATCGCACACCTATTATCTTCTGCGATGATGGCGAGGATGAGGAGGAGCGCGAAGCTAAAATGCTGGAGCAAGTACTTGAGACTTTGACTTTAAATCTGAGTAATGAGAGCAGCATGGCTTCTTTCGTGAGCGCGGCCGCTGAGCTCACTTTAGATGAGCCTCAACCCCAGCAAAGGCCCGCCAATAAACATTTGGAGCGAGTGCGTTTGGGTAACAAGCAACGGGTGCCACCACGAAAGCCAGCACGCGCGAGCAAATCGCAGACCCCCCAACGCATCTATGTGGATTCCGAAGCAGCTACGAGCACGCCTAAAAGCATTACCAACAATGCTACGGGCTCTGGCAAACGCACGCCACTCAGTTGCGTAAAAAATCGTCCGCACCTGCGCTCTCGGTCCGTGGAGAAGGATATGCGGAAAACGCGTCTTCCGCTCCAAAGCTTCGATGATCAATTAAATCCGAGCGAGTGTCTAAACGTACCAAGTCTTCGCATTCTAATGGCCAATTGCGAAGACAGCCTGAATGGATCAATTTATTAGCACCAAGTTGTTTTTTATTGAACAATAAGTTTCGCCCACCAAGCATCGTTCACATCATTCACTTGTATATGCCCACATCACTTTATTTACAAATATGAAGTACCCAAAAATATTTCTAGCAAAAATATAATAAGAAATTGGGATTATCGATCTTTCTCGATAGCATAGAATCCCAAAGTGCACACAATTCCCATCGCCTTTTAATGCTAGCTTAGCTTAAACACCTTCAACACCTTCTCAATTAACTGCTCGCTGCTCATCTCCGCATCATTAGGCAACACACAGTCGAATTGGTAGTCATCCAAATCGCATTCGGAAGCCACATCGTCAACACCTGCTGTAAAATTCCAGCCGCGTGCTTTGCGCGTCTCCGGTAACGATGTCAATCGCAATGTCTGCACCACATCATCGCCATAGGTCTCCCGAAACCAGCGCACATCGTTCGTACGTCTTATGTCACTGACGATGACAACGTCCACCAGATCCAGCGGAGCTTGCGTCATGGCCATACGGCAGAAGTAACCGTAGTCCCGGGCGCGCACCTCATCGCTCCAGACTATCATGTCGCGGCGGTACTGCTCCTTGTATGGTCCATCGCTTAGCAGAGAGTTCAAATTCAGTTCCAGCTTGCGTGCCCATTCGGTTTTGATGGGCTCCGAGATGCGAACAATTAAGGCACGATCTCCCAGGCTAATTGTGGGATGGGGAAACATATAAATAGATGCATACTATACGCTTGCGTTTAGATAACTTACCGTTTCTGTAACCTCTCTGACAGAAAGTCTTTACCGCACTTACGCTTTCCGCTTATTAGCAATATTTTACGCATCTTCACAACTTTCACTTTAATGACGACGTTGTGTTCACTAATACATGAATTTCAATTTTAACTATCCACTATCCTACCGTATATATTTGCCACTATTGATGCTGCAGTCTGGGGTCATTACATTGTATTTATGCAAATTTGGATTCAACAATTAAACGTCTGATGTGGACGGCAGTTTTGTTTACATATTTGGCAGCTGGGAACAGTTTGTCGCTACTAGCACTATTTGGTATAAGTATCGATTATTATTGTTTAAAGTCAATGGCGCCCCTACGTTTATTTTCAAAGCAAGTGTATTGTGGTGGAATAATTGAATTATTTACAAGCAAATAAGCTAAATGGTTTATATTGTTATTTCTCTACTTCCATTTAAAGTATGGCAGCCAAGAGCTGGCTGTGTTGCTTGCTTAATTTTGTTAAAATAATTTACGCATCTTCACAACTTCCTCTTTTATGAAGACGCTCTGTTTCAATTCCAACACACAATCTTATAGATTCGCTGTTGCAAACGATCTGTAATTCATAATATTGTATTAAATAAAATTTCCCATTTTCCAAGTAAACGTCTAATGGACGTTTTGCCCACATTCTTGGCAGATGGGAACAGTTTTTGCGTGGGTAACACTGTTTGGTATAATATAAGTATCGAGTAATAATGTTCGAATTAAATGGCGCCATTACGTTTATTTTGAATACAAGTTTATTGTGTATTTGATTTATTTAAAAATAAATTAGCGAAATGGTTGCGCTACATGCATTAGATTATTATACCTCGAACCTCATCTATAGTATTGCGACTGCTGCCAAGAGCTGGCTGTGCTACCGGCTGCATTACTAGTCTCATAGCCGCCGCCCGGAACCTGCGACGCATTGCTGACAACAGCACCACTGCTGCCACCCACCGGACCGCTCACGCCTGGACCACCCACCCCAGATCCACTACCAGATCCGCCAGGTGGTCCTGCGCTGCCAAACGAGTTTAAGACACTGCTGTAGTAGGAGGCGTCTGCCACAGACTCAGAGGGCTGGTGACCAGATTTTTTCAGCGATTGATGCAACGAAGCCTTACCCTGATGGCAGTCCTGGGCATTTGCATTATTGATGCGCGCGAGATTCGCTTGCGTGAGCGTGGAATGCGTGTGTACAGAACTTTGAGCTGCGGCCACAGCGGCAGCAGAGCCTGGCGGAGGTATGGAGCCAATGCCGCTGACTGAGCCGCGCGCTGTACGTTGCTGCAGTAACGTCGAGGTGCTGGATGATTCCGAAAGCTGTATAGATGAAATATAAATATGATTAACAATAATACCAGCTTAGTTACACCCACTCACTTTACGTTGGCCTGTTTTCTGTAAATCCAGGCTGGCTATATCGCCCAGCTTTGCTTCCGTCGGCGGCGGTTGAGTGACGTGTCTGTGATTGATGTGGGCCTGCAAGTCACGCTGTGATAGATACGTTCGCCTGCATCCGGAACTGCCGTAACGACTGCCACCATGCGTGCACATAAATACGGTTCCCAAACCCGACTGCTCGACGCGCAACACCTTGTCACTGCAGCGCGGACAAGTTTTGTTTGGCTCGCGTCCACATTTAAGGCAAAACACATGCTTGCACGGTATGAATCGACTGTAGACAAGTATAGGCTTCTGGCATTGACCACAGCAGTGGATCATGGGATTGAGCACCTTCTCGCCAATCAAGTTCACTTTGTGATTCCATTTAAGTCGCAACATTGGTTCCGGTGGTCCGCGAGATAGGGTCGTGAATGTAGGCGCCTCCAATTGTGATATATCGGCTTCCATGTCAATTGTTTGTGGTAACACAGGCGGCGCTATTTGCTGTGGCTGGGGCTGCTCTTCAATAGACGTGGGCGCCACTTGCTGTTCCTCCAGCGGCGTGGATATTGTTGGTTCCAGCTCATTTTCCTTGTCCAGTTCTTGCATTACAGCATCCTCAGTCTGTTCAATGCCGGTCGGACTTTCCCTATCCCTTTCCTCCAAAACAGTGGGCGCAGCTGGTTCCACAGTCTCGTCATTCTTTTTGCCACGACCGCGTCCACGGCCACGTCCTCGCTTTGCTGTGCCACGTATCGACGGAGCTTTGGTACGACGCATTTTGTCAGAGATTTGGCTCAACAGTAATTCTCTAATTTTTTCAACACAGTGCTTCTTCTTCTCAGCATTGAAAGTGCATTACAAACATTTTACATTTTAGCGATAGTTGGCAACGCGGTTATTTTATTATATACCACATATAATCAGATGAAGGGTGTATTTTTTTAAAATCATAAACTACACGGTACGAAATATATCCGATAAAATAATGTTTATTTATTTTGGAGTACAAGCTTACATCCAAGTGTAATTTAAAATAAAAAGTTACATTAGAAAGTACTACATATCGATCTATCGTTTTTTAAATTGATATAATTTTATGTGAATTTACTGAAATTAAAACTGTATATTTTAATATTATGTTTCCGCTCAAAAGTGTATTCGGTCGAAGGGAAAATACTAAACGTTTTTTAAGCAAACAATCGTCCTGTTTGTCATTCACCATTGGGCGCAAACACGCATAAGTCGTCGTTATACAGCCCTGGACAGTTGCAAAGAATGGCAAATGTGTAGCAGAAGAAAAACATTGTAAATGTTGTAAATAGGCTATTAACAAATGTGCAAGTTGGACGCACTGGCATTGCAAATAACAACTTAAAACACGGCACAAATGTGCTTGACGCTCAAAAGTTACACACAACCGTTACATACGCTACGTAGAAAGAATAGGAAAAGCAACCGATCAAGTCTGCCATGTCAGCGATAACCCGCAATGTACCCTACTTGAAGCAGCAACTGTCGGCGCTAATACACAACACATCGCCGGTCATAACGCTCATTTGCTTGGTGACCACCTTTGGCTACCTTTTGTCCTATTCGGAGACGGCAGTAAGATTACTTAGCGTCACCCCTGGATATATTCTGCCCAACGGCAAGTTCTGGATATGGACCGCGTTCACCTTTTGTTTCATCGAGCTGCATTGGTGGGAGGTGGCCGTCGATGTGGTTACTGTGGGCTTATGTGGCAAGATGATTGAGCCGCTTTGGGGTCAACTGGAGATGTTTAAGTTCTTTGCACTGACAAATTTCGGTGTGTCGCTTCTGACGACAATTTATTACCTATTCTATTATATGGTCACGAAAAATCCGACGATATTATTTGATGTGCATATTCACGGTCTGGCTGGGTATGTAGCTGGCATTTGTGTGGCGGTACGGCAGATTATGCCCGATCATCTCATCTTTAAAACACGCTACGGACGATTAACCAATCGGTGAGCATTATAAGGATGTGGCTCTGGATATAGGACTTATCTAAGTTTCTTTGCTTCACAGTAATTTGCCGCTGACGGTGCTTATTTTGGGCGTCATTTTCTGGGCCGTTGGCCTATTGGACGGTACCTACCCGACTATGTTTGCATCGGGCTCTATAGTGAGTTGGATATATTTACGGTTTTACCAGCACCATCCGAACGGGCGCGGCGATAGCTCGGAAAGTTTCACATTTGTTAGCTTCTTCCCGTTTGTGGCACAGCCGTTCATCAGTGTTCTTGTGAATCCCATTTACAATTGTTGTTTGCGTGTGGGCGTAGTCAAAACGCCCACACCGCCACGAACGGTGTCAACGGCCAGCTTAACATCTATTTCCGTGCAAATGCCCGGTGTGGATCCGCATGATATTGAACGCAGACGGTACGTGGATCGGGCTATTTGACCTTTTTATATCTAATCTGATTTTTAAAATTCCAACAGTCAAATTGCGTTAAAGGCTCTAAGTGAACGACTAAAGGCTACAGATTCCACACGACACGCGCCGCTGCCCAAATCGTTTCCGCAGCATCAACATCATCATCAGCACTCACATAATCAGCATACACAGCACAAGCATCATAGTCATAGCGGCCACGGTGCTGGGCACAGTCATAGCGGCCACGGTGCTGGGCACAGTCATAGCCACGGAGCAGGGCACAGTAGCGGTCATAGCCATGGCGTTGGATCCATACAGGCACCGCCGCAGCCCGATTTTCTCAAGCCCACTGCTGCTTCCAATCCACCACAGCCCATCACATCAGCACGTGCCGAACCACGTATGATCAGCACCATGAGCCCGATCGCAATTCCCATGCCAGCGCCGCCTCCCAAGGATGCGGCTGCTGGCGCAGTAGTCGCGCCAGCTGAACCCCCTGCGAATAGTAGTGAGCGCGCCACACTGATTGACTTGTCGAATGAGCTGGACGACACATCCTCCACAGCTTAGACGGTGTTTATTTTAACATAAATGAATTTTTTGATATTTAAAAGGATTTATCATTATTTGTATGTTTTGTAAGTGTAATTATGCACACACACACAGCTCAGAAATGCGCTCGCCCACGCATCCGCATCGTTGAGAGTGTACAATCAAGTTCCGGACGTGTAGCTTAAACCAAACAATAACAACAAAAATTGCTTGCCGGTACACCGCCCCCTTTAAACAGTGCAAGGAAACCTTCCATTAACTAGCGCCATTACTAGAGCAATACATGCAATACTTCTGTTTTTGTAGCGTAAAAGTGTATTAAAAATGCTTTATTTAGTATATTTAAATTAATAATAATTGTAAATATATTAAAGCCCCAAAAGCACTTAATTATCACATCATCACGATCTGTATTTGGAATTCAATAAGAAACTGCCGTCAAGTTTTAGGGCAAAGCATGCGCATCTGGCAGCACTCCATATTTTGAATCTAGTGGCAGCCCGCATGCACAAGAGTGGAATCGATACTATCGATTCGCTTTAGGCCTTGTGTACGTCGCCGAGTTGTGTATATTTTTGCTACTTAATGAGCAATAATTACGTTTGCTAGTAGGTTGTTACGTGTGTCGGTATTCTAAAGATAAAGTCTGCCGCGAAATAATGTAACATGTTGCTTTAAAGTGTAAGTGCTTATAACAACAAAGCAAGTGCAGTGCTAACAGCAGTGGTTGCAATACAGGGTGCCGCTGGTAGTCCGCATAACGGGTACCAAAAAACAAAATGGGACGCTATAACAAACAACAATGCGTCAATGTGCGTCGCCATAGAAGTGGTAAGTAATATATGTTCATACACGTACATATGTAATATATATGTATTTATATACACGAAACTATTTACATTGCTTTTGATATCAATTGCACAAAACATAAATAAACACTGAACGTTTACTGATAAGAAACTTGGCGGAAAAAGCACTTAGGTTATCGTTGCTTTTTATAGTATTTGATCCGTTTGTGGGAGTGAATATCTGTTTTTGTATTGCTGCTCACAGTCGCGGTATACAGGTTCCATTATAAACAATTATAATACCCACATACATACGTATGTATATACATATTTACATATAGATTAAATGTACATATATGCCAGATTATATGTATATGCTATCTGAATAAATGTATATTAAGTTCTTGGGTAGCTTTTAAATGGCATACATATTTAAAAGCTTACCACAAACTAGTTTTGAGATAAACGAATTAGTAAAACAGGAACTATGTATTTTAAACTACAGTGAAGACTCCCTAAGTGGCAATTTAAGTTCATGTTAAGCTTTTAAAATAAATAAAACCGTTTCATGTTCCTACACGGAAATTGAAAACCGTCTTACAGCACAAGTTATTTTTCTGCTTATAGGAATTATATAACAAATTTCTGCTGTTCTATGCATCTGCAAATAAAATGTTGTGACTGTATTCATGTTTGCTTTAGAGAGCTTTTCCTGTAGTTTTCATATTTACAAGACACTAATCAAGCCATTCTTATGACTGTTATCAACTCACTTTCACTAACCGAAGCTTCAGGGTCGTTCGGTTTTCGTATTATTATTATTGGCAATATGGCCAATATGCCCAGCGGCATGCAACATTGCCAACGTCGCTCGAATGCTGGCAAAGAGTCACAAACACAGCCATACAAACAATCCAACAGACTCGCAATCACTTACACATGCGCGCCTGCCAGTCAAGCTGCCAACGATCAACGACTCGTGAGCAAGAAAACCACGCAGAGCTAACGATTGGGGCTCAGTTACGGTTTGGTTACCACATATAACGGTTCACTCAGTAGTCGGTGTGTTGTTTTTTATCGCGCTTACCAAATTATCACACATACACATACGAGCCTAAAGTACGCTACTGTTTACTATTAATTAGTAAAACTATTACTACTCTCACATTTTACTCTCTGACACTCTCTCTTTTCCATTTCTTCCAGTTGATGCAAGAAAAGCAATTACGCCGGCCAGCATGACAGACTATTTGGCATTGCACGCACGCCTCGCCCAGGTGGGCCAGGAGCATTTACTTAAATTTTGGCCCGATATCACAGCGGACGAACGCGCCGATCTGGTGCGCGATATCGAGGAGCTGAATTTGGATGAAATAAAGCTGTATTTTGATCGGGCCACAGTCTCGCTGAACGAGAATGGCATCAAGCTGGACGATCGCCTCCAGCCCATACCCGAGGGAAAGGTGATATCCATAGCCCGCACATCGCCAGAACGTCTGAGCGCCTATCGATCGGAGGGATTGCGACACATCAGCAATGGGCATGTGGCGGTTCTACTTATGGCTGGCGGACAAGGTGAGTGCAGAGACACTTGTGTTTGCTCATCACGCTTATAAATATATGCGTATCTATGTATATACTATACATACACACATTAATAAATGTATTTAATTATGTAAATGTGCATAATGATATACATACATGCCGCATTCCACACCCTCGCTCTCTCATACAGATTAGTTTCTGCAAGTGCTCGCCTTGAGATACATTAAACAACTTGTAAAGTTAAATAACAAAAAAGCTGTAACAGTGGCACCACCAACACCACCCAACTCACAAACTCACACACACTATAGTTTTTATTTATTTACCCAACGTGTCTTGCATTCCTACACCAGCGTTCATTTGAATATGTTCAACTTTCCAGTACTTGAAATGAAAGAACCAATTTATTAGGCTTTTTATAGACTCTTGAACAGCATTATAGAATTGATAAGCATGACAATTAGATTAGGTTACGATGTAGTTTTAATTATATGTCTGGTTTTTTTTTAAACTAAAACTATAATTTGACACAGAAGCTGACCAAAACGTTAGATCAGATAGTATTATATAATCAAACTAATAGTTTCAGATATTAATGTCATGTTAGATAAAAAATGACTTCTGTTAATGCATACGTAGTAATTTAATTGCCTTATTTTTCAAAAACGTACTTAAAGATATCAATTTAAGTACTAATTATTACTCATACGCAGTGTTGTCGGCTAAAAATTATGCTATTTAAGTGAGCATTGGTGTAGGCAGTTGTGTCTGCGCTTTGTGTTTGCCTGCCTGTGTGTGAGTGCGTGCGAAACAAAAAACAAACCAACTCGATTTCAAATGCTCCATCAGGCATTTACACTTACATATATACATATGTATATGTATATGGCGCATGCGTCACGCTCTTCAAGCTGTTGCCAACTCACTCTTGCAATGTGCATTGTTGTAGTTATTACTTCTGCTGCGCTTTAGCTTATAAAGCGACAACAACAACAGCTTAAGCCATTCTTATGGTTAGCCCTCGCCTTTCTATTTTGTTGTCACGCCATTTCAAATAAGCCACGCACATACCCACCCACCCACACATACACACACACATACACATACGTACTTACAGATGCATGAGTGTGCATTTGACATTTCCCGTATTTGTGGCGTTCAGATATCAAATACACACAAACTTTACTTGCCTTGCAAGAAATCAGAGAAATAAGATAAAAGAGACAACAGAGGCGTGTGTCGTGTTTTGTAGGCGTGGCATGTTTTCAAAATTTATTGCACGTACACCGCAAAGCAATTTTATTGATATAATCAACAAACAGGGCAAGTCGTAAAATCGTGTGCACTCTCGCACTTAACGGTAATTAAAAGTTAAAGCTTGTGTTTTGAAGTAGAAGGAAAACTAAAGGGTTCGGCAGAACCCTAAATACAAATTTATGAAAAAAGCGTTAAATTTAAATGAAAGGTTTTCATTGCAAACCGGTAGTGTTGCCGACCTTATACTTATTTAGCATTTTTAAATGCCAGTTGGGTGTAGCGAACTACATACAAGAAAGGCAACAGTAAAGACAACAAAGAGACAAATTCGTAACCAAAAAAACAACAAATGAAACGCGTTTTAAAGGTCAACCGGTTAGGCCGCAGCCGGTTGTTTCTTCTTGTCTGCACTTCTCGAATCACTGATGGATTTTTCCTACTTCTCAATCAACTTTAACAGGCCAAGTTATGTACATATATCGAAGCCAAGAAGTATCAATTTTAATTACTGCCTAAGCAAATCTGGAGATTACTATCCCGAGCTCTATCTACATGAAAATAAGCCATCTGTACATCAACGAATAGTTTTATTATTTGAAAGTCCTACAAAAATACGCTTACGTTCTCGTATTGGTTATATCAATGGCAAACTTAAGTATTGTTCTTATAGTACATTAGGTTTACTTAGTAGGCGAAGTCTCTAAAAATGCAAATTGTTTCTTATTGGTAAAATCAACAACTCATACAAATATATTTTAACAAGTATGGATAGAGAAATATCTATTCATCAGGTTCTTATTTATCATATAGCATTGCAATATATATCTTCATCAACAATATTGTAAGCATTTGGCCTCCTTATCTACATCGTAAATGATAGAAAGTAATCAATACATTATTTGAAAAATATATACAAATATGTGCTTAGTGACTGACTACCGTGTACCGAGATTGTACTGAATTATCTCTACATACTATGTTCATACCCTATACGCTCTATGCCTCCTTCTCTATCTGTAACAATAAAAACTACTGATAATTCTTTTTACATGCTTTATAAATTTAATTTATTTTACGGTGGATGTAATGGAGTGATATTTAGCTTTAGCTTAGAGTTTTTCCTAAAGAGGAATCTGCAAATTTCTGAGATCCATATCTCTAGACAGATATGCATATTTAATCTGCAATAGAGCCAAGTTTTGAGAACAAATGTATTATTAACTATCGAGAGATGATTTCTTTTACTCACACCAGTGAAACTATAAGTATATATAACTTGTTTTGGAGATCTAATATTTCATTTCATAGTTCCGAATATATAAGAAATTATGAAATATGAATTATTGGGCCTTTCTATAAGCTTTTTGAGATATACCTTCTGAATGTTATAATTCGAACTTAGATGATACATACTTGTATAGTATGTTGGTTATAGAAGTAATTCATTCATTCTTATGTTTATATTTTAAACTGATACAATTTATAAACTTTCCAGGGACACGTTTGGGCTTTGATCAACCCAAGGGAATGTACGATGTGGGTCTGCAGTCGCATAAAACGCTTTTTCGCATACAGGCTGAGCGGATTCTGAAGCTGCAGGAACTGGCCGAGGAAATGCATAGCAAGCGGGGAAATATTATGTGGTACATCATGACTTCGGAGCACACCGTGCAGCCAACCTATGACTACTTTGTGGCCAACAACTTCTTTGGACTGGAGCCAAACAATGTGCTGCTGTTCGAGCAGGGATCGCTGCCATGCTTCGAATACGACGGTCGCATTATACTGGACGAGAAGCATCGGGTGGCACGGGCGCCAGACGGCAATGGTGGTATCTATCGGGCTATGCTGCGTCAGGGCGTGTTGGAGGACATGCAACAACGTGGTATTCTTTATTTGCACGCTCATAGCGTGGATAATATACTGATTAAGGTGGCGGATCCGGTCTTCATCGGGTTCTGTGCGCAGGAGAAGGCAGACTGTGCCGCCAAGGTGGTAGAGAAGTCGCACCCGAATGAGGCGGTGGGCGTTGTGGCTATTGTCGATGGCAAATACCAGGTGGTGGAGTACAGCGAAATCTCAGCCAAGACGGCGGAGATGCGCAACTCGGATGGACGGCTGACATTCAGTGCCGGAAACATCTGCAATCATTTCTTCACTGCTGATTTTCTACAAAGGATCGGGAAGACTTACGAGCGCGAGTTGAAGCTACACGTGGCCAAAAAGAAGATACCTTTTGTGGACAATGCTGGCAAGCGACTGACTCCGGAGAAGCCGAATGGCATCAAAATCGAGAAGTTTGTTTTTGATGTGTTCGAGTTTGCCCAAAAATTTGTGGCCATGGAAGTGCCACGTGACGAAGAATTCAGTGCGCTCAAGAATGCCGACGCTGCTGGCAAGGATTGTCCGTCCACGGCACGCGCCGATTTACATCGCTTGCACAAAAAATATATAGAATCTGCTGGCGGTATTGTGCACGGCGATGTCTGTGAGATATCGCCATTCATTTCCTATGCCGGCGAAAATCTCGCCTCGCTGGTCGAGGGCAAGTCCTTCACCAGCCCAGTGTATTTGCGTCATTCGCGGGATCCCCTACACGGACATCTATAAAGTACGCAACGGAGAGGGGGATGGAGGTGCACACATTTAGACTGAGAGTGGCTGGATGGCCTGTTTGTTAAACAATATCTGTTTAAAACTATCATACATATTGGTCCAAAAAACTAGAGAGAGAATGAGAGATAAAGAGATATGAGGAGAGCGCCAAGAGCACGTAAATTCCATAGTTAAAGTACTTAATGAAATTTAACTGCTTGATTTTTTATAAATATATATATTCGAGTATATTTGTAGTAATTGTGCAATCGTTGTGTAAATGTACTATGTATTGTATATAAATTGTGCATATTTTATTCTGTTAAAAAATGTTATAAACAAACTGAAATGTATCCAATAATAAACATTGTCAGACTTTTATTACTCAACAAAAAATTTACCTTTTTTCCCTTTGTTTACTTTATTCAAACTATTACAGCCATTTTATTTAATTAATGCACAAAAAACGAAATACAGCTCAGAATTATCAATAATTGTTTGTGTTTTTAAATTGCCAAATTTTTATAGGGAAAATATAAGCGGATTATTTACTAAAATATTGCAATAACAAAATAGTAAATTGATTGTTGGCAGTTTTAGACTCGATTAAAAGGCTTCATAAACAAAACAGCTGATTTGTAACGGAAACAATTGACGGGTAGATTTAGTACATATTGCGATATAATGCACAATACTAGGTGGCAACGCTGTGAACAAGAATTCAAGTTTGACACTTCAATAACATAGTTATTTAGCAGCCCATTAAATTAAATTTTAGTTTCCATTAAAAAATTGTAATTTTAATATTGTTATATGACAATGTTATCAGTTTTATTTTCATTTTTTACTTATAAGCTGCGAATCAATGTAATTGTTGGTGGAGTTTATATTATGCTTTTCAATTATTTTATTTTATTAAAACAAATTATTGCTGAAATATTGAACTTAAGCAATAAAGTCTCACATTTGAATATAACTAAAACTATTCAAATAAAGTTCTCATGATTACACAAAATAATTTTGCTTTAGGCCGTTTGGGATGGTAAATTGCTAGCGCCTTAAAAATAATAGTGAAAGTTTGGAAACCGAACTGATCTTATTAAACAGTACAAAATTTTATTTTAAAAATGGGCGAGCGATCATGTGAAGAGTATGATGAAGTATTTTTGTTGGATTGATTACCGCTTAGAACAGCAGCGTGCCCATGCCACCCATTTCAGATTGTTCCTTAACGAATATCTCAAAGTATTGGTAGATGATCGTGACGGCGAGCAGGATACCAGTACCTGAGCCAATGGCGCCCAGGAAATCGGCCATGACCGACAGTGCGCCAATGCAGAGACCGCCGAAGGCAGCCGCCGTGGGAATATAACGATTAAGCTCGTGAATCATTGAGTTCTCGCGATGACCACGCATAACCATATGTTGTTCCTTCAGTTGTTTGGCAACCTACATTTTAAAAGCCACATTTGTACTACTTAAAGGAGCAATATGAAGATTTTTCTACTTACATCCTTCGCTGAGCTGCCAGACACATCGATCCAGGTCTTTGAGAAGAACGCACAGGAGCCCAACATGAAGACAATGTAGAGTAGTGCGTGTATAGGATCTGTCAGTATGTGGCCCACACTCTCTGGCGGCGACAGGTAGTAGCAGAGGCCGCCGATGGGGTAGGAGCGAGCTGGACCACCACCACCAACATCAGCCCACACGCCGAGCAAATTGATGAAGAAGTTGCCTTGGAACTTAACGGCCAACATCTGAGAGATGACGTATAAGTTGGAAACCAACGCCGATTGCAGAATAATTGGAATGTTCGAAGTATAGAATAGCTTAATCGGATAACTGCTGTATTGGCCGCGATAACGGGCGCTCTTAATAGGCAAATCCACGCGGAAGCCTTGGAAGTAGATAACGACAGCAAACACCAGCACGGTAGCCAGCAAATTCATCAAGTTGGGCAGATTCTGGCGATAGAACGCTTCACGCAACGCACGTACTTTATCATTGCGGGTGGCCATCAGATGGAAGAGAGCAATTACGGCGCCCTCAAATTCTGTGCCACGTCCCGTCGTCACTGTAGTGGGTGAGAACGCCTTCCACACAATGGTCTCGCAAATATTTGTTGCAATGAAGAGCGATATGCCCGAACCCAAGCCATAACCCTTCTGCAGCAACTCGTCGAGCAGCAGAACAATCAGACCGGCAGCAAACAGTTGAATGATGATCAGCAGACAGACGCCTGCGCCAATTTCCGCCGGGTCACCATACATGCCAGTCATCACATAGACAATAGCCTGACCAATGGTTATGACCATGCCAAATAGCTTTTGGGCACCATTGAAAAGCGCACGATCTTTGGGCGTATCGCCGACCTCAATGATTTTAGCGCCCGCAAGCAGCTGCATGATCAGGCCGGAGGTAACAATGGGCGAAATACCCAATTCCATAAGTGTGCCACGATTCGAGGCGAGGATGACGCGAATCCAGTAAAAGGGATCTGCTGAGTCGGAGCTCATGATGCCGAACAGTGGGATTTGGCAGCAGACCAAGAAGATGAACAGAGTTATAGCTGTCCATAGTACTTTTTCTCTGAATTGAATCTGCAAAAAATATATATATTTCGAGTCAGCATAAAGCATAAATAGCCGCTATATTGACCTATTTGCGATCGTACGTGTTTAAACAAAATCAGGTTTCCGCGTCACCCCCTCGGCACGTAATCAAACCAAACAACAACACACGAACCTGACTCGTGCATGTGCTTCGGGTAGCCGAAGTTTGACGTTTCCACGTCGTATGTATTGTTTGACAAATCGTACTAAAGCGGCGTAGCACGGCAACAAGTAGCACACACTGATAAGAATAGTAGTAAATATACGGCACAATTTTTCTAATTTATGAATAACTTTGGAAAAGATTTCAATTGGCATTCCTCTATAAAATATGCTACAATTCATAAAAATAACAAATACAAGTTAAAATGATTGCAGAGCTGCTCAGTAAAACTGCCGACAACTACTAAAACAAATTGTTTGCGTGGCGCATTAAACTGACAAGAGAAAGTAGCAGCGTGCGCGCTGGCAATACTGGCGCAGCAACACACAAAACGAAAAAAATTGAGCACAGAAAATTGTGGCAGCGTTGATACAAAATGAATTGCCGCTTTTAATGTTTGTACCCTTTTACAATGTGTTTCGCCTTCACTGATTTTGTTAAGTTGACCATTAGATTATTATATACACACCTTACGCTCAGGCTTTGCAATTTCGGGTAATATACTGCAAAAGGGCTTGATAACCTCCAGGAATTTAACTGCAAATAATGAATGAATGTAAAAATTAATATTAGTGGGGAATGCTATTTTTAAGATACGAAATTAAGCAGTATTAACAAGTTAATGACACCCGCTCAGTGTACACCAAACTTTTGTATACGTAAGCAAGTATTGGTGGTGGTTTCTGATGCCGCCGCTGTTACTTGCAATAATTGTGGAGCTGATATTATTTAACGTTGTATACTTACTTCCCATTGTGTTGGACTTATTTTAATAGACGGCGGTAAACGAAATCGGTTGTATTGTTGCCACTTTCCAATTACCAAAAATTTAGAAAGTCAACTCACTTTTTACTGAAAAGCCGCGAAACGTACCGCCCGCTTTAAGCAACAAGAACCGAATGAAAGACGACGAACGACGACGTGTCGCTGACAATTGATCTGTCAACGCATTGACTATCTGGCAATACTACCACGACTTTGTCATTTTAAAATGCTACCAACTTGTTCAACGATTTATATTATTTGTGCTACCGGTTTTCTGAAAAAAGTACAGGAGAGTAAATATGACCATCTCTGAATAGAACTCTCCAAACAAGAGTAGCCTGCGAAAACAATAAAGCAACAACACAACAAACACAAGCAAAAAATTTCACAGTTGCTCATATAATACTTATACTGTCTTCAGTAGGCATACATACGCGCAGGCGACGTCACGAAGTTGCGTGCGCCAACTAATGCGAGAGAAAGAATTTGTGGCGACAATCTAACTAAAATTAAGTTTAATTAGTAGTGGCAGCTGCGAAAAATAATGACCTCGATTATTTGTGTGGATTCCAGCTCCGACGATGAGGTAAAGTGCAAGTGATGGAATAGTAAAAATCAAAGAGCGCAATGTTCAATTTTTGTAGAAAAGTACAGTTGTATTTTTAATAACTCAAATGCATAAGAGTGTATAGTGCGTGAGTGTATATGAAAGTGTACGTGTATATGTGAATTACAAGCATGTATGGATATTTTCGCGCTGCTTTTATTGTTGCTCACAAAACGCACACAGATGCAGTTAGGCGCCAGTGTTGCCACCGAGTGTGTAGACTATTACATATCGGTTGCTATCGTCCAGAAATTGTTAATTTGAGTGCTTACAGAAAACGCGCTACAGCTGCATGTGTTTACTACGCTTGTGTGCATGGGTGTGTGTATTTTATGACGAACCTCCAATATAATTAACACGCAATTTGGTTTTGTTTACATGGTTGGTGGTGCAAGTGCAGTGAATTTAACTCTACAGTGCATGTTGTTGGCGGCATATAACGAACTCTACACACACCCACACAGCTGCAAGTGCTTTGCGGTTTTGTTTGTTGTCTTTAGTGAAATTTAAAATGCAAAACCAACAGGTCGTATCAAAAACAATTTTGTCTCATTCCAGACGCCGCCCGATCGTAAGCGACCCAGGCTGGAAAGTGGCGTCACTACTGTCCAAAGTTTTAAGGGAATAACCGTCAAGCCGGTCTGCATACCAAAGAATGTTATTACAAAAACGCGAACGCCAACGCCGCCTGTAACAATGACGATGACGATGTCACCAACACCGACTGCCGCGTCAATTAAATCTATGAACATACCCCCTGGCATAACAGTTACCAAACACAATCCCAACATACCGATGGCCTCAACCATCGTCAGCAATGGCAACAAACAAATTAAAGTGGCCGCTGCCCAAAAGGTTGCAGCCAGATTAGTAAGCAGGAAGGTACAAAAGTCAATGCCAGCCACTGTTCCCAACAATGCCATCAAAGTTGTGCACGGGGCCATGTCCACGGCCACTTCCACGCACAGCAACAGGTCTACGATGCCTATGCAAAAACTGGCGATCCAACCAACGCAACAAATACACCTGAAACAGCCCATACAGCAAAAGCAGCCTATTCAACAGAAGCAGATCATTCAACAGAAGCAGCCCAATCAACAGAAGCAGCCCATTCAGCAGCAGCAGCAGCACTCAAGGGAGCAGATGGCAGCGCCATCATCAACTCTACAGACGATAGCAACATGGACAATGACTAAAAAGGCATCCACGTCCAACACACTATCAACAGCCTTAGCCGCCAGTTCAGCAAGTAGAGCAGTGCCCTCCCCTACAATCACAAGCACACCAACGCCCATACCAAAGCCCAATCCTAGGTCACCTCTACCTATGCAGAAGCAGCCCATCCAACAGAAGACTGTTCAGCTAAATGCAGTCCAGCATAAGGCGATGCAGCAGAAGTGTGTCCAACAGAGAACTATGCAGCTTACCAAACAAGTCCAGCAAAATACATTGCAGCAGAAGCTTGTCCAGCAAAAGCAAAAGTTGACGCAAAACCAGTTGCCACCTTCTCAGCCAAAGCAATCGACGCAACAGCGGCAGCCGCCGCCTCAACAAAGGCCTCCCCCAATTCCACAGAGTCAGTCACTGCAGCAACGGCAGTCTGCGCCGCAGAGGCAGATGAATTCTGCAATGCCACACAATTTGACATCAACACAAAAGTTAACTGTGCCGGAATCTCCGTTCAGTCTGAGTGGAAGCGTCAATGCACTAACGCCAGATAAGTGGCCAAGTGGATGGGCCGGCATGCGCAATAATGCGTTTGGTATCAAACCATTACCAGAATACGCGCCTAACATGAATGCAGCCGCACGCACAATACCCTTTCCCATGGCCACGGCACTTAATTCGTCGCTGCATTCCATGGCAGCCAGCGATGCACCTCCATTGCGTCTGCTGGCAACGCCACCGCATTGTGCGGCTGCCCTCAATGAGCCTCTGTTGCTGAATTTGCCAGCGACGACCAGCATTACGCCACAGCTGACGCCCACAACCACACCACCTCCGACGGCGGTGCAGCAATTGAAGATGCAGACCCCGCTGCCAGGTGCTAGTATATCGCCGGTTCCCAAACCAGCAGATACGACACGCAAGCGCGTCAAACCCATAACAGTGCTGAAAAAATCGGACGAGGCGTGGCGCAAGCATCTTTTAAGTCAACAACAACAACAACAGCAGCAGAAGCAGCCGCCACCACAGCAACAGGCGCAGCTTCAACCACAGTTGGAGGCACAGCAAAATGCAAAAGGTGTTTGCAAATATGATGAGCAACAATCGAGTCCGCCCACCATAGTATTGGTTGAATCGCCACCCACAACGCCGCCCACAGATAAACTGGAGCGAGATGAAACATTCACGCCCGCGCCAAAGGAGCTCAAGCAAGTGACGCCATTGCCGCGCGGATCGAATGATACTCCAACGCCACCAGCAACAACGGCAGCGTCAGTGCCCGCACCAGTAGTTCCCGAATATTTGGAACTCTTAAAGGTTAGCCGCGAGGTGGACAGCTCCAAAGATATGGAGCGTCTGATCGACATCAAACTGCTCAAATATTATAACAGTGTACATGAGAATTTCGTGCGTTCCCGTGGCTTCCGCAAGCTAGTGCAGCAGGCCATAGAACGCATACAAGCTGAGCCCGAATTGGTTTATCTACATCTGAAGGGTGTGGTCGACGAGCTGAAGGTGCGGCGCAAAGCCAAAGCAGTGGTGATAAAAGAGGAAGAGTTACCAACGCCCGCTCCGGCACCTCCTACAGAGGAGCAACAGCCAAGGCCACAATTGAAAGTAGAAAACAGAACATCTGTGGACAACAGCACAACAATTAGAGCAACAGAAGGCGCTACTTCAGTGAACAAACCAGCCACAGCAACCACACCACAGAAATCGCCGCCCGAGGTGGTCAGCACGGGCAACAAGCGGACGGACGAACGTATACGAAAACTGAATCGCACACTCTATACAATAACAAAGCGCATTGCCGCATTAGAGGAGTCTGAGGTTGATTGGAACGATGATGATGATTCCAGTTATCTTCAGGTGGAGCGCTTCAAGAGACGTGCTTGTCAAATTTATGAAAAAATCTGTGATCTAACCGGCGAGAGCAAGACTGCGTATCGCCAAATGAAGCTGCCCGTAGTATTCAAGGACTCGCCCTATCCACAGTTCAATAGGATGCTGTCTGCCTTTGTTAATCGCATGCACGAGTTTCCTGACTATAATGATGTCCTGCAACTCCTGGAGCACTGCAATCGAGAGAAAAACCTGGGATTGGCTACATTTGAAATGAAACGTGTTGGTAAGTACAATCTACAGCCATATTTACACAAACAAAAGTCGGCTAAGCTTAGGGTTTCTATAATATAATCAAAGTGGCAAACATGTTGTTTAAAGAATTGAGCAAACAGTTTAATGACTTTAACCGTTTTATATTACTTTAAAATGATTTATTTACAACTTTGCTTTATCTAGTTTAATTAGAAGCAATATTTAAGACGTCACTACAATGCATTTAATTTTTGACTATTTCAACCAAAGAAATCCTTAAGAAAATGGTTCTACAATACTCCGAGAATGTCCTCTATATATAGTAATATTTACAATCGAGGGTTGGAATCAGCTGTACATATTTCTTTGTATTGTTTTTCGATTTTAATTAACAAACAAGCCTGTCGACATCAAAAATATATGAAAAGTTATCAAACACATTTTTAAATAAATACAAACTTATTTCAAATCAATAAAAAAAAATCAATTTAATTTGAAAAAATTTAACGTTTTACAAAAACAGTAATTACAAAATAAAAATTGATATAAAAATAACAAAATTTGAAAGAATATGAAAAATGAATACGAAATTAATCCATTTTGATAGCGAGGTCAAAGGATTGGGAAATATCCATATACTTAGTCTGGAAAACTATGTGGGTTTCGCCTAGTATGGATTGACATTAAATTCATTAAATTGTTATTGTAAACTTGTATTTTGTGGTCTACGTTATATATTACAACGTTTTTTTTTTCATTTCGCCACTTTTACGTACTGCCATCTGTAATAGTTTTTTTCTACAATAAATTTTACGTTGTGTTTTGAAAGAATTATTTTAAAAACATTTTTCCATTCTAAGTTATAATGTTGAACACATTATTTTTTCGCCACTTGTACGAACTGCCAATGTGTTCTTTAATATGCATATATACATATTTAAAGCCATGTTTTGTATTTTATAAATAGCGTTACAATTAAAAAAATTGTAACATGGGATAAAAAAATATTCAAATATATAATCCTTCTTAAAATAGAAACTACTATTCAATCTTCTAATTATCTTTTAATTAGCGCAAGACGCTTTTGTTAAAGTGGGTAAATTACTGCAGGAGCGACGGAAGACTGAACTCTACGAAACCGTAACACATTTCACGGGCAATGCCAAGGATCCGGCGGCCACGGATCCAGAGCTATTGGCCAAGTTGAATGATAATACCAAGAAGCATACAAAGATTAGTGATATACTTGAAAAGTGAGTAGCCAGTCTTAAATATGTTCCTTTTATAACCTGTTTTATGCTCAGGTATGCTCACGAGCAGGATCTCACCGCGGAGGAGCAGCGTGAAGCGCGTCTTAAGGAAAAACAGCAGGCGCAGTCGACGATAAGTGACGTCACTAAAAACATCATCGATGACGACACACCCTGTACGAGCGCCCAGGCTCTGGCCATGATGAATGGCAATGGAAAGGGCCGGGAAAGTGCTGAAGGCGCTGCGAATCACGTCGATAATATTAACAGCGTTGTGGTTGACGATACAGAGTCAGAAGAGGAGGAGGATGATGAGGAGGAGGATGAAGAGGACGTGGATGAATTCGTGGATAGTTTTAAGGGGAATGGCGAAATAAGTGATGCTGATTCAGAAACAGCAGTTGGCTCAACACCAAAGATAACAGCAAAACAATTAGAAACCACAGTTGTGCCGGATGTGATAAATACTGTAGAAACGAGATTAAAGACTGCAGAGTCAAAAATTTCAAATATTGGCAGCGGTCTGCTGCCGAATGGCAAACTGAAGCCAATGCCGGATATTGTTCCTGCGCCCGCATCAACCAATACAATGTTGAAAATAATGTCCGTTTCTAGTCTGAATGCCACAGTGTCCAGCAATGATAGTAGCTCATTGCAGCAGTACCATCAACGACCGGCAAAAACAGCAGCAACAAAAAAGCCAGCAATTGCAGCCGAGATTATCATATCCGACGAAGAGTCGTAGCTTTACGATATGCTCTTAGCCAGGCACACACACACACAAGCAAAGGAAACATCAATAGATTAGTAAAGTTTTTGTATATTTATTTAACTATTGTTTATACACATTAAGGTATGGTCGGACTGCCAAATAATTTGCATAAACATTTTTCACTTTTCATAAGAATGTCATGAATGTAGTGTTTTTTCAGTGTAAACCAAAAGCAATTTTAAACTAAAACGGTAAATCCCCAGGAAAAATGAGGAGAAACCAAGAATACATTTTTTTTCCAAATTTATAGTGACCATTTACACTGGAAAAGGAATATTATGTCCAAATTTCAGCTTTCTAGCTCTTACCGTTTGGACTGTTCGTTGATTGCACATAGCTTTTCATTTCCCGATTTTTGTTCGGGAAACCCCCCATATTTCAGGCCACAGGGAAAATTGCCGTTTGGGCTGTGCGTTGATCGCCAATCAGTCAGTCTGAACAAACTGTTTTAAATATACGGAGATGGTAGATTTCTCTTTGGGAATTGACACAAATTTGTGTCCAAAATGTTTGCATGTCTGAACATACTTTTACACTATTTAAAACGCCAGCATGGGAAAATGTTAAAGTTTATTTTGTGTATGTATTCAATAATTAACTGCAATATCTTTGGAGCTGTAATTTAAATTTAGTTTAATCAAAAATGTATACATCACAAGACATAGACTAAGCGATAGGTACACAGTGCTATGAAGATAACAACTATTATAACTAATCAAATATACACCCCTAATTATATATTTTAAAACAGACAACTGTCTGACGTTCCGCTTGATTGGTAACAAACAAATATAGCTCCGTAGGTATCGCATTTATTGTGTGCAACCACCTACACATAAATAAAATATATATTTATGTTTATATATAAGGTTAAACTAATTAGGGCTATACCACATACCAATTACTTAAACGCTGTAAATATGAATACTACTACTATAATATTAAGCTTAAAAGTATGTTTCTAAAACAAAAAACTCAACCTGCAAAAACATAACAGAATATAAAAGTTATCTCGTATATACATACATACATATATGTGTCTGTGTTTCTGTTTTCAATAAAATGCTACACTTTTCTACCGTGATGAGTTTTTCTATGCGAAAGTTGTATTATCAATTCGGATTCTGAAGCTAATCATTTGATGGACCGTTATAATGACGTCATACTCATTAATTTTCATTATAAGATAATCTCCTAAGCTAACAAATAATAATTTATTTGTTTAGTAATACCATAACTTGAATTCTAAAATGTATCAAAGTTTCTGTGTTATTTCAATTTGATATATTTTGTTAACTCATCATTCTTCACTGCTCATGAACTTTGAACAACAGCGTATTAAGTTTTTGAACGTGTTTATTGCAATGCCTCTTTTATATATTCTGAAATCGGTGTGCCTTCGATGGCACTCTCTTCGATAATATCGAAATGATCGTATTGCTCGAAAATGTGGAATTTAATTTTGAAACCCTTCGCTGCTAGCAGCCTAGCAAAGGACCGACTCTGTTCTATAAAACTGACGCTGTCATGGCCGGCTACAAGCACATGGATTCCAAAAGTGGGTTCGGGAGAGGGCTCTACGTATTCCCACAATATGGGTGACAATTTGGCGGCCAATTCAGCATTTAAGCTGAGTATATTTTTGGGATTCACTGAGGTCAAAGGCCACAATTCACGCAAGTCGTAGACACCGCTTATATAAAACAAGGATCGGATGGGAACACAGGCCCGTTGCGGACTCCTGAGGACATCGGGAGCGTTAAGGAGCTGGGCTAGCAGATGTGCGCCTGCTGAGTGACCGGCAAAGCTTATGTGGCTAGTATGGGTGGAGGCGGCATAATCAAAGATCCACTCTAGGAAATTGCTAAACTGCTCCAGTAGCTGGGAGAGTGTGACCTGCGGACAAAGATTGTAGTCCATGATGGCCACTCGGTAGCCGCGCTCCACCAGGGGCGCCACCATGGATCCGGAGCTGCTTTTGTCGAGCATCTGCCAATAGCCACCATGTATGAAGACGAAGAGGGGAGTCGCTTTATTTTTGGACTTGGCCACATCACTATAATAGATATCCACCAATTGACGATCGACTTGACCACCGTAACGCAGATTTGGAAGCACTTTTATGTTCGCATTGCTGCAAAGCTCGCTCGTCTCTAAATTTTATGGAGGAGAGTAAAAAAAAGTCGTCTCCACATTTTACTACTAGTAGTCTTATTTTGATTTACGGTTTGTTATCAGCTGTACAAAATGCTCTAGTACCGCCTCCTCTGGATTCTTAAGTTGCCGAAAACGACTGCTATGGCAACTAGGTAGATAATCGCGTTCCAGGTCAACATTTTCGTCTTGAGAATTATACATTATAGAAACTAGAGCGGTTGCCGAACAATCAGCGGTTGCCGTTCAGTAAAGACTGAACCGGTTTTTAATGTGCAATCATTTGTTGAGATTATAAATAAATAAATTGACTATGGAACACTTGATAGTGTTGAAAAAAATGAATACATTCTTTTAGTTAAAAGCCGCAGAGATACCCACCTACACTGTTAGAAAAAGCACATTATAAAAAGTGGGCCGAACGAAATATTAAAGAATGTATTTTTAGCTGGTCCCAACGAAAAGGATAAAAACAGTTTGAATTCTGACTTTCTAGATTGCTTAACTTGGATCGAACTATAAAAAGTATTGTTTGTTTAAGTGATTTAATTTAATTTCCTTCTCTACAATGCAATCCCAGAATTGTTTCAACTGATGTCGACATTGCATTGGTTCAAATTTAGTTTCAATTAAATAAAACTGCACAGTTTAACAATTATCTTAAGCGTTTCTTTTGAATTACTTTATTTGCGCAATCGAAAAGGAGTTAATAAATAAATATTCTATCATAACATCAAGTCTGCTTGCCAAATTAATGTATGTATAAAAACAAATCATAATTAGATAGACATTTAACAATATTTAAAAATGTATATGTATATATTGAAATATACATATCTATACACGTTGTTTTCAATCTCGTTCTTTTTTCAATTATCGCTTAATGTGAATTTTGAAATGCACTGACATGGTAGCCGGTTATTTGGACTTAAAACAGATTTTCAACTATATTAAATATTAATTTATAAAAATATGCGTATTCATGTAACTATAATATGTATATATATATATATTTATGTAATTACAGTAAACAATTCGTTACGGATTTTTTGTGCACCTCTTTGTATTGTTTTTTTCTTTTCATTTCTGTTCAGTACAGTAAAAGCTGGTTTGCGTGCACGTTTAGAGTATTGGCAGCACATCGAATTAAACAAAATATCTCAACTCTACATAATTTCTTTAAAGTAAAACAAATAAATAGAATAAAATCATTTAAGCATTACACGCGCATAAATAAAAATGCGAAATCAATATACACAATAATATAAATGTTAATAATAATAATACGTTACAGTTATCAATCATAAATATCACTAGCTAGGGGCAGCTACAGAAAATAAATACGAATTAATGAAAATACACAAATGATCAACAAATAAAATAGTTATATATAATACAAATCTCCCTCTCTTTTTTCGGTCCCCAATTTTCCAGCTAATCCAGAGATATGCCCTGTATCCAGGCGCTCAAGTCGCTCCCGTCCGATTCCATAATTATCTCATCGGGTTCGTCGTTCGCAAGCAGATATTGTGCCGCCGTCCGTCCACTTAAATAGGCTCCATGTACAGTGGAATAGAAGCTGGAATGAGTGTGCTCGCCGGCAAAAACTATAGCGGGCTGTACAAAGAGAGAAGTGAGAGGTTTAAGAACAGGTTGTCTTTTTTCAATGTGTATCCTAATCTCCAAAAAATAAAAAATGTATAACACTCCACTCCTTGAACTTATGGTAAATAAATTATGTTTCACCAATAATTCTGCGATTCTTAAAAACTGAACCGAATAGTAGCCTTTGAGAATGTAGGGAAAAAAACGTACCTTAATGGCCTGCGGTGTGGCGTATAGGGGAGCTGCGAGATTTTCGATGTCCTCCTGCGTGGCACCAACCGGTATGGAGGTGTAGGCACCACCAGTGTAGGCCTGCGACTTCCAACTTGTACTAGAATAAAACAATTTGAGCGTGCAACATTAAAATTTGTGTATACACAGATAACTTGAAATATGACTTACCATACACAACGCTTTGGCTTGGGCACATAGGGATCCTGAAGGAAATTACGCAAAATTTCGGTGCACTTCTCGGCGACGGCCTCGTGCGGGAGAGTTTCCATATAATTTGCTTCGCGTCCTGAGACCCAGCCGAGCAGGAGGGTGTCCGTGACTTTGGCAAAAGAGTATATTTTCTTAAACCAGTTTTTGCTCAAATAGGCATCACTCGCTCGCTCCTCGTCGCTGGTCGCATGCAGCTCGTATTTGTCATCATCCCAGACTAGCATTATCTCTGATATGTCCGCGCTGAGAAACGGACGCTCGTACTCTAGAAATATTTTGTCTACGGTGCCGAACATGAGATTCTCAATGGATTCCTGTTTGTAGTGCGGCAACTCGGGATCAAAAAGCGTCTTATGCGTTTGTTTAAGCACCCCCAAGGGTATGGTGCATATCACATGTGCTGCGTTGAAGACTCGGCCATCCTCGCAGTCTACGCGCACGGGTCTGTCGGGGAAATCACAACTGGCACTCCCATTCGACTCCACGGACGCCCCCCGACCACCGATGGGCACCTCCGTGACTGTCTGATCCGAGTCGTCTGAGTCTTCGTTTTCAGAATGTTCATCGACCGTCTCCAAGCCGGTCAGTGTCTTTTTTCGTTTCCAGTGTATCTTTTTAACCGGGCACTTCATTATGATCGCCTCTTTGGGTATTTGTGCGCTCAGCGGCCGTAGTATGGAACTATAGCCCGCTGGCAGCACAATATTGCCGCCCTGCAGCTCTGTATAGCTACCTGTTTGAATTACCACAAATTAACATATAGGATGTCTTTTTGATTATCTGACGCACTTACCCAGCTCCAAGAGATCCACTTCGTTCATGTTGTGGCATCCGGTAATGCAAGTTTCGCGCTTTAGAAGGCAATTGAATAGCAATTGCTTCAAGCGTTTCTCCTTTGGATCTTGCACATTGCTCAGATAAATCTCAATCTCATAGTTGATGTGCTCTCCCACACTGTTTATATCGGGTGGGGGACTGTATTGACAGAGAAAGTATTCGTCGCAGCGGCGCAGGAAACACACATACGCCTCGTAAATTTCCTGCAATATGCTGAAAGGAACTTGATGGCCATCTTCGGTGGTTGCCACCACTTTGTGCGGCTTTGGTACATTTACAACACTGACTAGACCATGTTGTACGGCTATTTCAAAAATGGGATTCCCCAGCACCCCATGAATCCAATTCGCGCCGAGTTCCACCTGCGATGGAAATGTTCAGACAAATTGTGAATAAAAATCAACAACTTTATTTTCTATTTCAATGCAAATAGAAACCAAGAGTGGGAGGCACGGAATGACCTAAAGTGGAATATTTTCATACTTAAATAATATATAGATAAAAACATAACTCGAGTACAATTTCAACTTTCTATTTCGTTTGAAACGGAAGACAATTATTAAAACAACAAAATGTTTTAATTACTCTTTACTAAAAGATATCACAAGGCTGTGATATTTCTGTAATGGATGATCGATCACAAAATGAGAAATGGGAACAGAGTCGGCATCTATCGCTGCTATTTGTAAAATAAATAGGGCTTTACCCACATTGATAGGCTTCGGCTTTTTGAAACTAATTGTCAGATATTCTTTGCGGACTACAAAAACTGTCTACGTGCCCGATGGCCAGTAAACAACGAAGAGAAATGCATTGTGAGAGCGTAGCTAATCTTATCGGAAAAGGCCACCTAATTGCTTCAAGAGAAATTCGAAAAATAATATTGTGAAAATTTCAGTTAAACGCTTGCTAAAGACCTTGGCAAGTTGACAATAAGCGCATAAGGCCGCTAACAAAATAACATTTTCAACTGTGGGATGCCCGGAAATATTTATAAAATCACATTAACTTAAGAATACATTCTTTATCAGTCAAAAAGAACTTATTAGTTTTTCAGTAATCAAACCATTTAATGATAAAAAATAAATAAACAGCTGCTGTGATGGGAGCTCAGAAGCATGCGTGGAAAAATCTATAATTTTAAACAGCCGCCCCCATTCAGAAAAAAGTTATGGAAACGGCAACAGGCCAAAAATAAAAAATGAGACTTATAGTATGTACATATACACAAGTGTGTACATACATACATACATCGGATGGATATAAATGCGAATGGGATTTGCTTACATGCGCCAAAAGATGCTTACATAACTTTACCTTTTGATTATTAGCGAGTGGTATGGATACAATACGCCCCCCGATCCTTCCCCGCGCCTCTACAATGCAGAAATCGTTGCAACCGTTTTGCATCAGATGATTGGCAGCCGACAAACCTGTCCAAATCGTTGTTTAATCTCTCGTAGTCTTCCCACATCACCGCCAAAATACTTACCAGCCATGCCTGCCCCAATTATCAGCACTGAAACGTTCGTGCTGCTGCCGGCTGTTGAGGCTCCTGATGCATCAGCAGCGCTTGGAGCAGCAGCAGTAGCAATATCTAGCGCTTCATCCGTTGGGGAAGGTGCGGGCGTTGTCGGCTCTTTATCACCCATATTTTTTAACTTTAACTATATTCCGTTGTTGCGCACATGCGAGATATTTGTTTCTTGTTTATTACTTTTCTTATTGGAGTGTAATTGGCTTAGAGATGGTGATAGCCACAAATCGAAATCATATCGATATTCGCGTTGCTTTTGGCAGCTCATAAATTATCGATGGTTATTTAGGCTATTTAAAAATGTGTTTTATAAATTAATAGTTACTTGTTCTAAAAAAATATTTATTAAAATTGAATCCCTAATACGCTAAATAGTTAATACAAATACCAAATGTGGCTATAATATAATGATGAATCACTTTACTCTTATGTAGCCAGAATTCAACCTTGTGATCTTATACTTATAGAAAATATCGCACATCTCTGTGAATAAGTCCAGGTAACCAGTAGTTCAATTTGGTGAACTTTATATCTAAACGTCGCCCATCTCTATCATACTCGACTACGTGTAATTATTATTTTCGTCAATTCTACATCAAATTTTAATCAAAAACAACCATATAAACATTGCCAAAATGAGCAGAGGCAAACAAAATGAGGACGACAGCAATTCGACGCTTTTCGATGCGCGCAACGAGTATTATGTTGGCAATTTTATGGGCTCTATAAACTTTGTGCTGCCCGAGCAAGGCACAGCGGGTGCAGAGCTACTCTCCTACATGTATTTGTCGTACTTGGCCATTGATTCTGGCCGCCTCGTCGCCTCAGACATTAAGGAGAACAACACGACGCCGCTACAGGCACTGCGTTATGTGTACGAAGCCTTTGAGCAGCCGGAGCGCTGCGAGGAGCTGCTGGAAAAGCTGACAGATAAAGTGGCCACGGACGAGGACGAGATAAACATCTGGCACATTGCCACGGCGATTGTTTACTGCTACGATAATCAGTTCGAGAATGCGCTGAAAATACTACATGGCTCCAGCAATCTCGAATCTATGGCCCTTTCGGTGCAGTGTTTGCTGCGTTTGCAGCGCGTTGATTTGGCCAAACAACTGGTGGCCAAAATGCAGGAAATTTCCGACGATGCAACACTGACGCAGCTGGCGCAGGCGTGGGTGGCTCTAGCGCTAGGCACTGAGCAAATGCAGGATGCCTTCCACATTTACCAAGAGTTCTGTGAAAAGTTCAAACCAACGCCGGCGTTGCTGAATGGTCAGGCTGTTGTACATTTGGGTCTGGAACGTTATGAGGAAGCTGAATCGGTGCTGCGTGAGGCTCTTACTAAGAAGCATAACGATTACGATACGTTAATAAATATGATGGTGCTCTCGCATTTGACTGGGAAATCCACAGAAACTATTACACGTTACTGGGAGCAACTGAAGCAGTTCTACCCGAAAAGCGATTTTGTTGTGGATTTGGAAAAGAAATCTGCTGAGTTTGATAAGCTGTGCCTTGAATATGAGCTGAGTGGTGAGGAAGCTTTGTTGGCGGTTTGAGGATTCCAAATCTATATACATAAGTAACTATTGTATGTGTTTAATCGTGGCAGCCTCACCGGCGCATTACAATTTAAATAAATATAATATTGTAAAACATTAATATGTGTGATTATTGTTAATGTACTGCCGTTTTTTTATGTTAATTATAATTAATGTTACTGGAAGGGATGCTGCTTTATCACCAAACAGCTTACCCACAACGAACTCTATAGGCGCGTAAGTCTAATGCTATTTAAACTTTTCCCGGCGGTGTGGCAACTCTTTTGAACGTTGCCATATACCATTAATTAAGAAGTATCGATTCTTTCAATTGTGAATAATCAATTCGCGATTCCTTCATTTTCTGTATTCAGATATTTGAGAAAAATAGCAACGCAAAATGCATTTTAACTGAAAAGCATGCGAAATTGTAAATTAATCATTTATTGATAGCGACACTGGTCGAAAAATGTCCCAAGTGGTGGCCACCGCGCAAAGTACTGCGCCAGCTTCGGCTGGCAGCAGGCGAAGTGAAGTTGGCGTGGGTGTTATTGGCAGCACCATGCCCACTCGCTATGGTGAAACGGAGTGGGAGGCACGGGAGGTAAGCGTAACAATAACAACATTAAAATGAATAAACTACTTTAAATTGTTGGCCAATTAATAGTCCCAGCGACAGCGCGAGATGGACGAGGCTAGGGCACGTGCAGCACAGCTGGAGAAAACAATGAAATGGTGGTCGGATTGCACTGCCAACTGGAGGGAGAAGTGGAGCAAAGTAAGTGTTGATGTTGCTATGCCAACTCATTTGTCTGTGATTAATCAATATGCGGTTTGTTTTTTGTTTACTCCCACCAGGTGCGGACCGAACGTAACAAGGCCCGTGAAGAGTCCAAGCAATTAAGTGTCAAACTGGAATCCAGCATGAAGGAGGCGCACTCTCTGAAACGCGAAAAAAATGATCTCGAGATGCAGATAACGCAGTTAAAGAAGGAAATGGAGAAGGTGCATACCCTTATGCTGAAACATGCTGGCCAATTTCATCGAGCCGATACTAGCGAAGATGCTGAGGCTAATGGACGCGATGCCAACTGTTCACCGGACATATCATCAGATGGCCTAAAAAATGTGAACAGTGAGGATGGCTTGGTAACGAAGCTAGCTGTGGGTGGTTCTGCAAACGATGTAAAGGACCTGGACATTGAGGAGTTTGCGCCAAAAGGCGCTGTGCCCAAGCACCTGGGCGATATGGACGAGGAGAAGCGTTTAATACAACAGCTTTCCAAGGACGACTTTGACGAGGAGTATTTGCTGCAAAAGATTACAATGTTGCAGCTGCGGTTGGATGAGGCACAGAAAACGCTTCAGGCGGAACGCGAGTGAGTGCAGCAGCGTCTAAGTGGATCAACAAATATGTAATTAATTTTTAATTCATTTCACAGCGAAAAGCTGGATCTGAACAAGAACATAGAAAAGCTAACCCACGAAGTGACGGAAGTTCGTGCACGCCAACAGGAAGCGGTGCGCCAGCTTTTGACGCTGACAGAGCAGCATCGCGCAGAAATGCGCATTGTTAACAACTTACTGACTGAAGAAATAGCAGCGCGTGAGGCTCTAGAACGAAGGTAAGCTTTATGAACATAACGCTTTAAGAACTGTTCTGTAATGTTCAAAATTAATTAACAGTCGTAATGGAGCACGCACGGAACTGGAACATTTGCAGGCCGAGAATGCGGCCGAGTGGGGCAAGCGAGAGCGCTTGGAAACGGAGAAACTGGCGCTGGAGCGTGACAACAAGAAGTTACGTGCTGAATTGAGGGACTATCAGGAGCTTTCGGATCGTAAGGCGCGTCCGATGCAATCCAACGATGTAGAGGTGCGTGCTCTCCAACAAGACCTATCCGAGCGCAATAAGGAGCTCAACGAGGTGAAGATGTCCCATGCCAAGCTGAAGAAAATGCTGGCTGAGCACAGCATGGAATTGGGCCACGCCGGGCGACGTGCTGAGCAATATGAGGCGGAGGTAAGCAATTCAAAAGTATATCTTTAATTTGTGAATGTATAAAATCCCAGTTGGCGCTGCTACACAAAACTATGTTCAATTTCAACCAACCTTTGAGAAGACAGCTCTAAATGTTTCATTTTATCCATATACCAACTTGCTTACCATGAATATAAACCATAGCGTTCAATAGAAATTCGAATCGTTAGAAATGTTGCAAATAATGTCGTTATAAGCAGAATAGTTCGCGTTTTTGTTTCAAGATTTTAACAATGTATCATAAAATGCTTGAAGTCTGGTCGGATTGTGTGGGCAATCCTGTAATTAACTTATTTGGTTCCATATTACATAATTTTTTTATAATTTGGTTTGCTTTCCAGGTAAAGAGGCTGCGCCAGCGTGTTGAAGAACTGAAACGAGAGCTGGCCGGAGCGGAGGATGAATTAGATTCGGCGGTCAATCAAGTTCGAAGACTGCAGCGCAGCAACGATGAGCTGGTCGGGCAGAACGAGGGCCTACAAATGCAGATATCGCATATGCAAAACAGGTTTGCACTTTTTATATTAAAAACTAAAAATTAAACAAATACACATTCAATACTGTTTCCGTTTTCGAATTGACATAACTTATGTGGAAACGACATTGGAATATTAACTTAATTCTGTTTCAACATATCTATACTGAAACCGATTCCGCTTAAGTTAGTCTAATTCGGTTATGCGGCAGGCCTAATAGTAAACTCTCAATAAAGCACTAATACTAACAAACTTCACTAACTTTTCACGGTGCTGGTCGCTTTTAAACCCTAATCCCAAACCTAACACTACCAAAACCACAACCAAAACCATACCAAAGGCGTGCGCCGAGTCCACAAATGCGTGGCGGGGGAGGCGGCGTGCAGTTGAGGAATAAAATAGCCGTCGAATTGCCAAGCGATTGTTTGCCAAACATCAACGATCTCCGGCAGATCTTTGATGACACACAGGCCGGATTAAGAAACTCGCACAATGGCAGCGATGCTGCTTCACATCATGCGGCCTCAATAAACAAACGGTCGAGCCATACGGAGCGAACGCTACTCCAACAACAGCAGAACAGTGCTGCATTCTTCGATGCTAAACCAACGCATCTGGAGGAGAACATATTTGAGTCGAAGTCGCGGAATCTGGAGTTCGAACGCGCCAAACAGAAGTTCGACAATCACAATCCCAATGGGGGGCACTACCAACAGCGCCAGCGCGAGCAGCGGCGTGGCGCCAGCGGGCGTTTCGGTAGCGCTACGACCTCCTCAGCGTCAGCGTCGTCCTCGGTCAAAGATATGAATCATCGCCAGCTGGGTGAGGACCATGCTGCGCATGGCTCGACGGTTGGCGGTGTTGGTGGTGCTGGCATTGGTGTTGAGCACAAAAAAGAGCCGATCTCTGGTGTCGGTGTCGGTTATGCCAGGAACAGTGTTAATTTAGATGGTCTGAAGGTCTCCGACGATGAGGTAAGCGTCTCTAATACGCATTACTAACTTTTGGTTTCTGGCATTCCTTTAAAGCGTGTTGGTATTTATTTATTCTGTATTGAAGAAGCTTATCAACCAGTTTTTATTATTCTTTCAGACTCCATAGTTATGGTTCAACTAGTTTGCTGCTGGATGATGAAACCGAGGGAAATAGCGACTAAGAAAAGGCGGCGGAACAGAAAACATTCGATTGCAGTTTACGGTATTAGGGCGGTTTTCTCAATTGCTGGTTAATCAGTATAATAAAATAACTTAACTTGAAATTGAGTAATTATGTCCTAAATGTTTAGCATATATGTATGTATGTTTAATGTTTAATCAATTTAAAGTTGCATGTTTCGAGCTTGTTCCTTAGTGCATTTATAAGCTCAGACTTCTTAACTAATGGGGATTGTTAGGCGATTTTAAAGCCTGTCCATCTAAATTGTAGATGGACAGATTAAAGGCAATTGCAAACATCACTCCCGAGTGGAAATAGGCTGTTATACATATTCAAAATTCACAACAAAATATATAGGACTATAGCGTTTAATTACTCATTGAACTAGTTATAGCAATTACTTCTAATATATTTCTCATACATTATGATAAAACTGTTTAGCTTGCCATTCATGAATCAACCCCTTTTGATCTTCATAGACATTTCGAAAGTCCCAGAATACCACCATTAAGTTTCGGGGCAGCCATGGCTAAGGATCTCGTTCCCTTCTTCATTCAAATGTTCGTGCATTATCGAAACTGATTTTATACTTGATATACATTTAATATTATATATATTCGTACGTATCAATGCAGTATACAGGATATGGTGCCAGAATATCTAATATCTATGCTTACTAATGATAGATGTTCTTAAGTTGTCTCTTCTTTGACCTTTCCATATACATACTTCCTGCGGGAAATGTTTAATAGAAGCGTACTGAAACCTTTAATGTATTACATAAGAACAAAATTTTATTATACCTACCTTTTGGTTGCAATATCAATACTTTATTTATCTATAAATATGTATACATATTAATCTAAAATACTTTAAAGTAAAATAAATATTAATTACCGAATATTTGCCAATCGTGTATACTTGTAAAGCTGCGGTCGCACAGGCAAAAAATTTGCACATAAATACTACTATGTACATATGTATATACAAGTACATTCTATGAGCAAAATATTTGTACGACAGTAGCAAACGTTGAATCTAGAAAGCTATTCGTTAGTAATCCAAAAGATGCTAGTGATGGATGTCAAAATTGCTGGAACAGCACAGAAACCGAAATTTTATAAAATCTTAAATGTATAATTAACTAAATTTTAATGTTAGAACTCTTCTTTGGATTAACCCGTTTCAAACAATTGTTAGCTCCACTTTAAAATCTAAAAAATTTCAGCCATGGTTCAGTTGCAGCGCAGTACAAAATTCACTGGAATCTGTTTCCTTATTTATATAACCTATGGAATATTCGTATTCTTTATCCTGCCCATGCTCATGCCTGATCCTGTGACCATGCAGCGTAACCAGTTAAATTTGCAGATGCAGAAGTTTGGGAATCTATCGAATTATACGCTGGCGACTGAAGGCACACCTGTGCGGTCCCTTTTCGTTACCTTTAAGGGTTCGGGGGCTATTGAGTTTTTGGATAATTTATCGAGTCAACCGGGATGTTATCACCATTTTGCACCGCTGATAGGAAATAAGCGCAGGATCGACAAGGAGGAAGTAGCCTTAAAGGCTTTGAACGAGCTAGTGGCACTCTTTAACTGTGATTATAGTCAGTCCGGCAGAATGCTGGATGTTGGTAGTCGGGCGCGTATTTTCCGATATTTTTATGGTCATCAGCGTAGCATTTGTATGACCTATTCGAGAGATATCTGCTGGAATCGAGATACGCTAACGGGGGTCTGCAAAGTCTACCCGTTTATTAATATGTCGGTTTATAACTTGGGACTTAAGTATCTGGCAATGCTTCTAAAACGCGAGGAGTAAGTCAAAAGTGTGGAAACAAATATTCTCTGTTTAATGAGCCCTTATCATAGTCTGAACATACGTATAGTATTTCTTGTACGTGATCCTCGTGGAACTATGTACTCACGCTATAATCAGGTCTGGTGTACAGGCGATCCTAACTGCGAGGATCCGCGCTTTTTGTGCAAGGATATGGTTGACGAATATAAGATTGCAGAGGAGCTGCGTCAAAAATATCCTACACGGTTTAGGTTCGTCGACAAAACTGAAATATTGACTTTATTTTAAATTGAACTTATAATAGAATCATACGCTTTGAGGAGCTTACAACGCGCCCGTTGCAGAATTCAATGGATCTTTTCAAGTTCTATGGATTGCCTATTCACATAGACGCTGAAGAATTGGAAAAGGAGAAGAAACAAACAGGAAGTCTACGTGCCATGGTAGCTACTGAGGACGCTTCCTTAAATAATAATGTGAATTTACCTTTTCAATGGCTCGACGATCTTAACCCAGATCAGGTTATAACACATTTACTATTAACGAGCTTTTTTTTTAAAGTTTACTTTTCAGATTAAGTTAGTGCAGAATGCTTGCAGCGAGGCTATGCGGCTTTGGGGTTATCGCCAGTTTGAAAGCTGGCGAAATTCTACGCAAGCGGCGGCCTCATTTAATCCAGTAGTACAGCCTGCACCTCTTTCTGTCTAGGAATAATTTATAGTGTGATGCTATCAATTTTTAGTAAATTCTTCTTCTGGTTTTGTCATTTAGCGCTTGTAGTAAAAAGGAACAATTATAAGACTTAAAAATACTGATTTGAATTTGAACCAACGGAAAAAATCAGTGCGTTGTACAACACTTTTGCGCCTTTCTGCTCTCAGCGCTGCCAAGCATTGTGCAAATATATCGATATATGGTGCATCACCAACGCCAGATGTTCATTCTGTTGACTTTCTTTGTTGGCGTTGGCTCGCGTCGCGGGTGTGTGGTCGTTTATTATATTATACGAATGTTTAAATCGCGTATTGAATCTAGGCGTGCGAAATAAATTATAGTGCGTGTGAGTTAAAATGTGAAACGCCGTAAAGCATCGACTGTGTGAGTGTGATTGTGTGAGTGTGCATGCAGTATAATATGCCAATTTTGGCAAAAAGGCCAATAGGAGCGAGCGAAAAGCAAAAGGCCAGCTGTTTTAAGATTTATTTGTTTAAGTGCAAAGTATTATTAGTGCGTGAAACTGACTAGACAGCACTAGACATAATAATAAATGTGCGCAGCAGCAACAAGCGCGCCAGCATCCGAGTTGGTGGTGGATCTAGAGTCCTGTGCGCTGCTTACTTGTGAGCCCGTCGATCCGAACGCCGGCACTAGCAGGACACGCGCTAAACAACGCATCAGCTTGGGCTCAAAACGACGCAACCGTATGTCCCGACGTGCGAATCTAATTGGCATCTGTGGCGTGAGCAGTTTGTGCATACTGCTGCTGATTGCCACCACACAGCATCGTCCACTAACTGCCGGAGGCAACCCAGGCGCTGCATTGAACAGCAATCAGGCCGCCGCCTACGGCATCGATGGTGGTCTCTCCAATGGCCTGCAACGCAATGGTGGCGGCGGCGGCGGCCTGTACGATCGGCTTCAGCAGCAGCCGTCACAAACTGCCGCTGCCATCTACAATCTGACAGCAACAATAGCGGATGTCCTGGCAGCGCAACGGTCAAAGATACTTGCCGAAATGGAAAACTTTGAGTATCCGCGTGGCGGCGCTGAAAAATTGGCAGACATGACGCCCGAAACGGACGGCACGCCTGTCCGCAGCATTGTGGTGACCACTTGGCGCTCTGGCTCCACATTTCTCGGCGATATTCTGAACGCTATACCCGGCAACTACTATCACTATGAGCCACTCCTAGACTTTGGCATACGCCAAGTACGCGCCGACGAGGACAAAGAATTGGCCGTTGAAAATTTGAAAACACTGCTCAATTGTGAATATGCTGACATGACCGAATATCTGGAATTTGGTAAAACGCACACATATCTATTCGAACATAACGAGCGATTGTGGAGCGTTTGTCGTGAATTTCCGCGATTCTGTTGGCGAGCCAGCTTCCTAACGCCCTTCTGCAAGCTCTTTCCCATTCAGAGCATGAAAACAGTGCGACTACGTTTGGAGCAGGCCGAGAAGCTGCTGGATGATCCAAGGTAAGTGCTGGCTCTCAACTTAATCTAGCAACAACAAAAAAAGAAAGAAAAAAGAAAGTGAAAGGTGTTTACACTCGATTTTAGGTCAAATTAGATTCAATTGTTTGTGATTTCTACTCTCTGTCCATTGCTCGTCGATTCATAGTTCTGCCTTGAGCTTGGCACGCGTCTCTCCGTATCCGTCGCCCCCTTCTCACGATTTCAAACAACTTGCCAGTTTCTCCTCCTCCTCCCCACCTCAACCTTATTGTTTGCTTGTTGCATTCATTTGTTTGACTCATAATTTTCCACTTGCACGTTTTCTCCATTGCCTGTGCATATCAAGAAGATAAGCCCCTCACTATGTCATTGCTAATGCAACTAGCTACCCCTATTTACACCTCGCCACTACTCATGTGCTGTCAGATAAAAGTACGGCACATCTACGTAATCGTTTCAAATTATTCATACTTGTAGCATAATGCTCAGCACTCCATTTGAAAAATTCACTGTTCAACATGATAAGATAACGAATACAGTGGGTTTTTTGGCTGCGTAATCAACAGCAATTATCCATGTATTGGGCATTGTTGTATAATTGATCAAAATTGTCACTTGATTGAATATTATAACAATTAAACGTACATTAAAGAAAAATACATACAGAAATGCTAGGTGATTTTTGATTTTTGCTGCACAATATACTCGTAGTATAGAAAAGGAACCATTTGTAGGGGAAAAAATAATTATTCGTACATTAGAGTTTACGTTTCTTACTTTAATTCTTTATACCTGAGTATTTTGCACAATAATCGATGAATCGAAATTATCTGTGAAGGCTATGCACCAAGTATTTTATATTCTCTCGCTTGTGCTTTGGTACTAAACTTTACAAAACCTAAAGAAGCATGCCTTTCTAAAAGTAAAAAAACTCATATATTGTTCTAAATGCGTTTGCTAGCTTTAATTATTATTATTATTTATTATTAAATTACTTTTTTGGTAAACTAACAAGCTTCGTAAATACTTTATTAGATTTTTCATAAATATTTTATCAGTAAAAAGTATTTGATATAAATCATATTAACTTTTTAAACACTCCTAATAAAAAGAACGTTATCAGAAGTGGGATCTGTCTACTTATTTCAAGTGATTTATAGCCAGTTTTTGATTTAAACGCCAACGAAATGTAATCCATTCTTAAAAAAATAGTTTGATGGTCTTAGCGGGTTAGCATGATTTCTATAGAAGAGATATTTGTGTATACTTACAATACGGGGATATGCATTTGCTAATCTGAAACTCAATCAAGCTACTTATGTCAATTCCATTGATACCCACATGCTAAGCCTTTTGGAGCTTCGGCTGCAAAGCCAGCCACCACACAAAGTTTCATTTACATAATTTTTCATTTAAAACCTAAGCCAGTTAGAACACAAACGAATTGGCGAAATAATCAATAAAATCGGTAGTAGTAGTGTGTAACAATCTCAGCTCAAATACAAATACAAATAAAATCACAAACACACACACAAACGAAACCCATAACCAACAAAGTAAACAGACGTTGAGCAGAAATGATGATTGATATGGATATGGATGTGGATATGCAGGCTTGACATTTGTACAAACGCCCGATGGGTCCTCCTTAACTTTTGTTGTGGAACATTAGAGACATACGAGTACCAGGATCAGTGTCAGCATCAGCATTATTGTGTGCGGGCGTGTGCTCGTTGGCCCATTTGTGTCAATAAATGCCAATGGTCGGTAATGTTATGCAAAAAGCACAAAGGCATCAATTTCCATCAGTGCGTATGTGTGTGTGGTGCGCTTTTGTTCAATAAACGACAATTGATTGAGATAGAAATACATGTAAATGTTATTTTTAGAAATGATTATGCTTGTAAATGTCATTTTGGGTTGATTATATGGTTTTATTTTGAACACGAGCCTGCCATTCTAGCTTGTCTTCAAGTAATTGACGCATTAAATTTTATGCCAAAAGCTATAATTTATTGCCAGTATATTTCTTTGATTGACATTGATTTATAAAATTTTACAGTCTGCAATTTTTGAAATTCTTCATATTTTGTGTATTAACTAATTTCTAATACAAGGTTTTTTTTCCTTATTTATTGAGGTTTTATTACCAATAACTAATTAACAAATTTACTTTATCTGTAAAAAGAATTTATAATTCGTTTTATTGTAAAAGGGAAACTTAATCTGAGTATTAATAGGTTAAAAGGTTTTCTAATTCTTATTTATTGTATCCAGAAAATGTCTTAAAACCACATTTATTAATTATATATTTGTTAACAATACAAAAGATCAGATCAAAAGATCATACAAGCTACGAAAGTATTTTTTATGTCAAATAATTGAATTATGTACCTTCGCCAGTGTCAGAATCTGTAAAAAATAAAAGATATTATTGAATACACACATATTTTTTGAATTACATATAATTATTCACGATCTGACGTATGCATTCACATACTAAGTATATAACTTCTTGCCTTGAGGCATGGGAGGCATTTTTGCATTTAACTAGTTAGCGGAAATCGTGGGCGTAGCTTTTAAGTGAACATTTGATGCCGAAATGAAATGCTACATTGGTCGGTCTGTGATTACTTCAGTATCCCAGCACTTTGCACAATTATTTAGCCGGCATTGCAGGCATTTGCTTGACCGGTTTCTATCTTCCTTTGCTTTGGTGTAAGATTTATTAGCCATCGCCCAAGGCCCAAGGCCCACTTTCTAGCCCCACCCCCACACCTACACAATGACATTCTTCATTGCAGTTAAGTTCTTTACACTCTAATAACATGGCGGCAGTCGGGGGTCTGGGGTCGGTAAAATGCATCAAAATTCCGGAAATGTGGCCCCAACACTTAGGATTTATGTTCTACTGTTGCCTTCGCTCACTTTTCGCGCTCACCAATTTGGGTCAGCGAGCACTGATGGGTGACTCACTAAGCGTTCACTAACTGGCTTAACTAACTTGGCATCTACTCGTAATTGTTGGCTGGATGGGTGCGGCCCCTAGTCCAGTGGCATGATGGCCTCACGAAAACAAAATAAAACAAAACTTATAATTGCGTATACGCCGGGTGGTCAGGCTTTTGCCAGTTTATTTATAAACTATGCTTTTCATTTCGAATTGTGTTTTGCTTTTTGTTGTGGTCATTAACTTTGAACTGATAAAATTCTGAGGCAAATTGAAAACTCGACAAGCACCCACAACTATAACCGCAACGAGCAATTCGGTGTCAGTATTTTGGTTGGCATTTAATGAGAAAAGTGGCAATAAACGAACGACCAACTTTTGCACTGTGGTTTCAATCGGACTTCAACAATGGACAAGCGTTTCAAAACATTGAGAATGGGAAGACCGAGACCCCAAAAGACGTTGCCACTTGGCTTTGAAACAATCTTTTTTGTATTGTATTTGTATTTGGCAAAAAAGAAACCCGTTCTATAACTTATTGCACAATAGACCCCATTCTCGGCCCGATGCCATTTAGCTTTTGTGCAGTACGCTGAACTTTTGACTTGCCGTTTGACAATTTTGACAAGCCAAGCTTATCCAGTGAGAGAGAAGGGGGCATTGGGCCGGGCACTGGGCCGGGGGGAAAAGTTCACTGAACGCTCAAGTAGTACCATTTCCATGCCAGGCACTAAGCGCTTCAGTGCGGGTGTCTCTCAAAGCGCAGGCAGCGCATAAATTAAAGCTTGTAATGCCGCTCGACACAGCAAACCATAAAAGTCTCTAGTGGCCCCGACGCGATTTCTGCATTCAAAACCAGTTTTGCTAACTAAATGGGAGAAAAGCGTCAAGAAAAAATAATACAAATCGAGTTAAAACACGACACAACGCAGCTCATATACTCTTTTTCATAGCAAACGATGTTTTATTAGCAAGCAACCATTTAATATAATTATAAATTTTTTTGGATTAAAGCTAGTATATTTTTTGCACTAATACGTACCAATTGTTATAGGTATAATAAATATTAAGTGTACAAAGTTGAATCAATATAATCTTAGACGTCTGTTCGTTTGACAGTCTTCAGGCTTTAAAACTAGAAAAACTAAAGAGCAGGTAGAAGAAATGGGTGTACTTTACAGGAACAAAAATACGAAATGATAGAAGATATATGCACAGAATATAACCATTCGATTTATAATATCATCGCCAAATTTTTAATTGAGTAATTGCTGATTAATATCTGATTTGATGAATTCATAATGCGCATTAATGCGTATTAAACAAAATTGGAAACAAAACGGAACTCTTCAACTGAAAGTTTAGTTTGACTTCCTTATATATAAGTTTGAATTACTGATTAAAACATGATATTTGATTGAATATGTCTAATTGGAATGATCTCGAATGTCCATTCTTATGAGAATATTATTAACAAAAAATAAATCCTGTTTTCAACTCTTAATTTAATTTCCTGATTTATATATGCGATTAAACCCGCTCGCTTGGTTCGAAATGCTCGTTTCTGTAGAGTATATATGTACGCAAAATTGTCGACTGCTGCAGTTGTCAGCGCCGCGGGAGCTGAGATTTGTAGACAACAAGCATTGCTGAGCTCTCTTCAGCTCAGCTGACTCGACTGAGTATGAAAATCTTGGCCCATAAGGCGTGCGAGCGACAGTGAAAGTGATTGATTTTTTTTTTACTTAGTGGCTGTTAAAGTTTGTGTACGAATTTCGCTTTTCGGCTTGGCTTGGAGTGCTGGGCGTGGAATAATGATTTCTAGCCACTGCCACTCACTTGAAATAAGTAACGAAAAAACTCCAATCAGTCGAAGGAGTGTCGTTTTCTATTTAACAAGAAAAACAAAACAAAAAACTTGATTAATTTTGGCATGCTTTAAAGTTTGCAAAAATTCGACATGAAACTATTTATAAATGCTGACAACAATGGCTCGCTGGAAGAACCTGAAAGGTATTTGGTTTCTAAGTATGCGCTATTTTCAATATTTCAATTATTAGCTTCGTCAGCT